TGCACAGCACGACTGGGATGTTCTGAAGGCAAACCTTGGCAAGGTTTCCACTGCCATAGAGGGTGATGAGCTCATCCCAAGCTCCATTCTGAATGACCTGGGCTTGCAGTTTGTAGACTTTATTCTTGAGGTTAACTCGGGACGAAAAATGGTGCTTTTACAGTAACATCTTAAAATGTTTATGATGCTCAAATACCAACTCAAATTTTATTCTAGAATTATTATCAGGCATATTAGCATTCATTAAAAGGAGATACCAGAGATTTTTTTTTTTTTTTTGCAGCTGGAGGAGAGGAGAAATTAAATAGTATTGTGATTATCACCATTTCTTAACTGGTAGGACTGAAAGGAGGTGAAGTGTGCTGGCTCTGCAGGTCTTTGTAGCTTATTCCTGCCAGCTTCTCTGACAGCATTTTCAGATTTTTATTTTGTATGTAGGTTGAGTTTTTTACCTGGGAGACACTGAAAGAAGATCAAAGTCTAAAATACAAGTTGTTATATGATCTTCTCCTCTACCAGATGACCCTTTTCCCTGTGCAGTTCTACACGTGTCATGGGACCAATATGTGTTTTAAATAATAACCTGTATTCTTAGAAGGAATTGGCCAAATGCTGGGTTCTGAAAACCCAGCTAAATACAGCTTTTGAGAAAGGATTGAGGTATTTGTAATAATATTGGGGGGTTTTTTTCATTGTCCCCTAGTTTTCTCTGGAAATAGGAAGCACTGAGGAAAAGAAGAAAAATGAGGGAACATATTTATACCGTTTCCCTTTCAGTGGCATACTGGAATAGAAAGGGTGAAGGTGGTATTTATTTCTGGGAGAAATGTCTGCTGAACCATTATTTAAGGTAAGGGGAGGGTACAAGATATGAGGTTTCTGCTTAGGGAGATTGAAGCCCTAATGTGTTGCTGTTCATGCTTCAGAAAACCAATCTCCTGTACTTTGTTAAAGAATTAATTTTTTTTTAATCTGTTCTTTATCACCAGTTTCCAATTCAAACAGAAAATTGATCTGCAGACTCTCTCCAGACTACCACTGCTTTAGCATTATCCATCTATTAATGCTGTGCCTGCATTCATAAATTGATGCTCAGTCAGAATTTTTGCCTTTCAGCACCCCCCAGTAATTAAACCTGTCCGTGAGTTAATGCAAGGGCTCACCAATCCATCCCAAGCTCTTTGCCAGGCCTGTCCTTTAGTTGTCATCTTTGCATGTTACGCAAAAAATCCCGACAACAAAAACTCCCTGTGGGCAAAATGCCACTCCTGCTCACCCAACAGTGAATTTTGTCCCTGTTTGCCTCCTCTTTCATGCTGAAAACGTAACGTCCCAAACCATTGATGGCTTCCTTCCTTTCTGCAGAGACAGATGCCAGTTCAGGATGGTGCTGCTTTTCAGGCAGTTCAGGGCAGCCAAGAAGTGAGACACTACACTCCTTTCATTTTTCCTTCTTTTCAAGTGAATGAACAAGAAGCTGTTTGACTCTGCTCATCAGGGCAGTGGCTCCCAGATTTGAGCAGCGTTAGCAATTACTAATCATGAGAGTGATTGTAAACCCGGCCTTGCTGCTGCACCAGAGGTGCTTTCACTGTGCTGTGAGTTAGCACAGGAGGAGATGGTGCAATTAGAGTAATTGAGGGTTGCTTACAGCACATGGGAGCAAAGGAATAAATAAGCTTTTGTTTAAGATGCTGCTACTACTGTGGCACGTCTTCGGTCTGAACCCAGAGAGGTAAAATGTTAGTTCTTTTCTCTGTTTGATGTGTTTATCTCTGATTTTATGCAAGAGAACTGATTTCAGTGTATCTCCAGAATAGCTAAAAATTAATATTTATTGGGTTGTTGGGTTTTGGGTTTGTTTTTTTGTTTGTCTGGTTGGTTTGGGTTTTGGGGGTGTTTTGATAGTAGGAGGATCAAGCAGTCAGATTTCATCTTGGCCCCTCCCCATACTTAAATTCCACCACTCATTTGGCATTTGTAACTACTGGGGGGTTTAATTAATTTCCATATGGAGTTTATTCGCATTTGCTACTCTGGTCTCACTAAACTGGACTTTAATTTAGTTTAGATGCTGTGCATGGTCTTGTCCTTGTGCAGAAGAAAAGCTTGAGGAAGAGGCACACTGAAGATTGAACCCTTTCAAAGGACATAGCTCCCAAAATAAGAAATTAAATTACTGAATTCCCATTAAGTTTCTTGACCCTAAATGTGTGTCTTTTTGTCTAAAAAGAGAGCTGTAGTGACAAATGAAGGCAGTGGATCTTCAGGTCACTGAAAACAGGGTTATTCTTCCAGATTTGCTTTGACATAGACATGAATTTCAGTTGTAAACCGGGAAGCAGGTGAGTAACTGTAACTGGTTCATAACATGGACCAGCAGCATTAACACCTTCCAGTCCCGTTCCAGGGATACAAACATCAGCAGCACAGTAAGATCCTAGTGCAGTAGTCAGAGGAATTTCTGTAAACTGTCCTTGATCAGAGATTAGAGAAATACCAGAGATGGGGAACAAAACAACAGGTTTGGGAGAAATGACCTGCCAGGAAAGGCGGAACTGGAGGTTCTTGGACAGATGACTCTCTGTGTTCCCCTGGTCTCAAATGCTGTGGATGACTCAAAGCCCCATTAATTATTTAGTCATACAAGCTCAAGAGGACTCAAGGAAGGACTGGAAATTAAAGGAAGGAATTTAAAGGTTGTTCCTGAGGTAGTGCTGGAATAAGGGAACAGTTGATCAGGCAGGTGGGAAAGATGGTGACCTGCTTCATTTCTTGAAAAGCACTGAAATATGGGGACAGGAACCAGATTTTTTTCTATGGCTCTAACAAGCAAAAGGGGAATTACAAACTTTAAAATATTTTCAGTTATTAATGGGATGAAACCCTGCAAGTGAGTCTCCAGAATATCCATCTTTGGATGTTTTGAAAGCAGACCAAGCAATACAGCCTTTGGTAATGAATGAAATATATATATATATATAGACACCTCATCTCACAGACTTGGCACTCCCTTCTCTGCCATTGTCTGAGGGACAGCCTGCACAGGATTTTGTGACAGACAGTATTGTATTCAGCTTCTGCATGAAAATGAAATGCTCATTAGTGCTGAAATAATTAAAGCAAAACCTGTGTTGAAAGTTCAGAAGTATATCTTACTGGCAATCTAAAATAGAATATGTGATGTTGTTATTGAATTATGTATTGAGTAGATGTAACTGTGAAGAAGTAAAATTGTTGTTGTAATGTACTGAAGTTATAATATTGCCCTGCTCTCCACTTAAAACATCACAAAATTCTTATTAGAAGATTTGGTTATACCTCGTCATTAAAGCATTTGCTTAAACATTCTTAACTTACTGATTGATGTGTCAAAGCAGTTGTAGGTTGAGAATCATCAAATATCTGTTTCTTTGGATTTCTTTGGGGCTTTTCAGCAGTCTCTGAAGTTATAAATATTGGTGGCAAATAATTAAGTTTAGAACTGACTGGGGTTGTGGGATACGTGGAGATTGGGGTGACAGTGAATGACAGGGAGAGTGGAACAGCCAGAGAGGATAGCCTGGATTGCTGAGCGGGACAGACTCTCACAAATAACCGTGCACAGATTATAACGAGGGGTGTGAGTCGTGCAGAGCCATCCCGACAGAATCAACAATTCTGAAAATAGATCAGCATTTACAATGGACAGGTTGCAAGAGCTGTAGTAAAAAGGCCAATTTGTGATGTCTGATACATTCCAGTCAGGATGAGCAGGGACTTGGCTTCGAGTGTGTGGAATACACAGATGTGTGTGTTGGTATTTGTGGTGTGGGTGGTGCCAGTACCAGGCTGTTACAATCCTACATTTTTAGAACTGTTCATGAAATGCTGTTGAAAAATTGCACCATGTGTAAGTTCTATAAAACATTTCCAGCACTTTTTCTTGAGTTTCTTAACAGTTTTAAGTTGCTTACTTGTTTGGGGGGCTGTCACTCTTACCCTGTAAGAGATGAGCTTTCCTAAAGGGCTCTTTAACACAGAGAAGAAAGTAACGAAAAGCAGTGACTGCACACTGAAATCAGGTGTTTCTGAGCTGATGATGATCCATGTGGATTAACTGTAGGGATGAGTGACCTTTGGGAACAAACTACCAAAGTGTGTACACTGTGTTTTCATATTTTTCAGGCCAACAGTACTGGAAAATGTGTCAAATAAAGGTTAATGGAGTTGATACAGTCATACTGGATAGAACTGAAAGGATCTGTGAGATAATGGAACTGTAGCTGAAAGATCTATTGATGTGCTCTCTTTTTATTTCTGTGAAAATCTAGGATGAAAGTTCTGGTCTAGAAAATCTAGGAAGAAAATATGTGGTGTGGTCTTGCACACTTGTGAAAAAATTACTCCTCTGACGTTTTTTTGCACTTAAATTCTCTGCCTTAAGAAATAATATGAATGCCCATGTCCTACTACCCATAGTAAGGATTCTCATTTTGCAGTCTGGCTGTACATGCTGGTTTTATTCATAGAAGAGCTGATTAATTTGATTGATAAGAGTTGTATCAATTGAATCGTAATGTATTTGAATTAGGATATTGCCTCTGTAAATACTGCGTGTTAGAGGAGATTGCTTAATCGGTATTCTTGTTACTTTTAGTTTTGAGTGGATTTTAATGAACTCAGTTTTACCAAAGGCCCTCAGCAAGTTTGCCTTAGCCTTTGCCTGGAGGAGTTGTAATGTGCTCAGATTCTGTGCTGCTTATATTCACATTAAAATAATGTTATTGCATCATGAATATGCATCAACACAGTGTTTTCACAAGCAGAGTACTTGCTGGTAAAAGTCTTCTGTGCTGTTCCATGTCATCTGAGGAAGATCAGGCAGTGCTGTTTCATATACATTGAAATTATAACAACCACTGCTTCTTTTTTGTTTAAAACCCCCATACCTACCTGTATTGTTCTGTTGAAGTGTGTACCTGAAGCACTTACATTTTTTAATGTTGTTTGTTTTTCAGTGAGAGGTTTATGGTGAGGTTAAACAAGAATGGAGGCCCCAGGAACCCGGAGAAGATCGATCGGATGTGCGCGCTGTTCACAGTACGTGTCTGTTCCCTCCTTTGCCCTTCCAGAGCTGTGCTTGGAGATCACTCACCCTGAGGGGGGAAAACCAATTCTTCCCTTCCAGTATATTGAGCAGAACAGAAGCTGTTTCTAAGTTTTGTTATGGTTGTGACTAAATGTTAACATAGAAAATGAATGTCCTTCTAAATTATTTTTATGGCTAAGTAAATAACCTGAAGTGCTTCCTTTGAAGTGCATATTTTCCTGCTCATAATGTGAAATTTTTAATATTTTCATTGCCTGTGCTGTACTCTTAGATATCAGGGCACAGGAAGATGCTGTGGTGTCCTGAACAAAAAACAAAGCGCTGTGTTCATAATCAAAGTCAGGCAAACAACTCCAACAGCATACAGAGGAAACCTGACCATTCTCCAGGCAGACTTTTGTCACAGCCCACTGGAGTGTCTGTGTAGCAGCCCCAGGTGGATGGTGCAGGACACTCCCAGGTAGGGAGCAGAGGGTGTGGAGGGGACAGAGGGACCAGGATGTGCTGCAGAAACAACAGCCAAGTTGAGCTCTGGGGAATTGGTTGGAATAAAGGGAACATTGTGACATCCAGAGCTCCCACAGCAGGTCTGTGCAGACAGCTACCCCATCCTGAGGCACAGCAGATACCACCAAGTGCACCAACAATCTTTGACTTTCTGTGCCAGAAAGGCTGAAGAAGTAACACCTGCCTGGTTCCTACCAGATGATTCCTCACTTGGGAATGAGATAGCCAGCTAAGATTTTTCTCCTTTTGATTCTTCAGACTGACCCCTCACCTAACTGCCTTCTTGTTCTATACTGTTATGTTGAAATGGAATCATGGAATCACACAATGGTTCAGGTTGGAAGGGACCTTAAAGATGATCCAGTTCCAATCCCCTGCCATGGGCAGTGACACCTTCTACCAGACCATGTTGCTCAAAGCTCCATCCAGCCTGGCCTTGAGCACCTTCAGGGATGGGGCATCCACAGCTTCTCTGGACAGCCTGTGCCAGGGCCTCAACCCTCAGAGTGCAGAATTTTTTCCTGATATCTAGTCTAGCCCTGCCATCTGTCAGTGTGAGGCCATCACCCCATGTCCTGTCCCCATGTGCCCTTGTCAGAAGTCCCTTCTGCACTGGTCTTAAGTTATGTTTAAATTCCCTCAGAATTTCCTCTGAATCATATGTCAGACCATGATTTTTTTCTGCCGCTTTTTCTCAGATATGAAAATCTAGAGACGTTGAAGCTTAACAGCCCCTGACAGAATAACTGTGAGGAACATCAGATCCCAAGTGTGAGAAACACCTTCCATCGGGTCTCACCTTTAGCTCGTGCACATGCTGGGAGCTCTGGGGCTGAAGTGAAGAAAAAATATGGTGGAGAGCTTTGGTATCAGCTTTGGTTCTGGCAGTGGAACCCTCTTAAGGTCAGGCAGGGTTGGACACTGAAACAGCTTCCCAGGACTGTTCCTTTTTGTCCTTTAAGAAAACAGTGGAATTTCTCCTCTTAAGGAACACAGTATATCCAGCCAGATGTAAGGATGCTCAGTTCTGCCTCCATGGATGTAGGAGATGTGGGTCAGTCCAAAAATAGCACTGACAGGGATGCTGACAGCAGTACAGCTCAGGTTTAGGAAGTGTTCCAGCTGGTTAAACATCAGCAGAGGTGACAGTCTCTTAGTGTTTCCATGGTTGGTAACTCAACACCAGGAGTGGCCAGGGAGCAAGCTCCAGCTCTGGTGTCTGGTCCTTATGGAATATCCCTAAGGAATATTCCCAAAAGGCAGGGTGGGATGCTTTGCATCGAGTTTGACACTTTTAGGCCTCGGAGGTTCCTCATTCTGGAAAAGATTTTCACCATCAAACTTCCCCATCTACACCAATGCCACGTGACTTTGGGTTGACTTTCTGGAACAACCGTCCTGCTTCACTCTGTGGTGAACAGTTTGGAGCAGTTTTGCTCTGGTGACCTTCAAACCAGCCTTTACACACTTTAAAAATTGATGATATCCTGCAGCCAGGGACACAGTTCGGGGACTGACCTGCTGCATGTTATGACAAAGAGTCTGCAGAAGGCCAGACTGGAGCATTGCAGACAGTGCCACTCTGCAGCTCCTCTCCTGACCAGAGACCACTCCCAGGGAGCTACTGTACAAAAATACCAAAGCTGCTGCAGTATCACTTCTCTGAGGTGCTCAGACTCCATCCCTCTGTCTGGTGTAGGTACTTAGACCCTCACTCTGCTGGAACATCTACTCTACATAACAGGAATTATAATTGGAAAAATTATCTGTGCAGAAAAAGGCATGCTTCTGATACAGTGTTTTTCATCAGTGTATTCAAAGGACTTTTCAAAGTCTGCAGGAAAAGAGCAACAAATAATTGCTTTTTGAAAAACTGTTTTATCTCCAATAGTTCTATCTTATCTAATTTCTTAATTAGGAAATGCTCCCTAGATAAGATGATTCTGTGATTATCAGGTTTGTTCTCAGGCTTTTGTTCATCTTGACTCTAAATCTATTTATTTATTTCCTTGCCCTGCCTCACCACACTGCAGTATCTTTCAAAAACTCATCTTTCCCAGAGGCAAGAAGCCCAATCTCAGAGAATTCAAGGGATCCCTGTCTTTTCCTGCTCTGTTATTCCAGGGGTTCAGCTGTCTCCCTGTGTGTGATATCAGAATCACTCAGGCTCTGGTTTTACACCTGCTGTCATATCACAGCGAAGGTGAGAAGCTGCTTCCTCTGCAGATCAAAGCTCACTCAAACCTCAGCCTGTGCACTCTTCAGAAACATTCCTGGGGCTGAATTGAAACATAACTACACAGTATAAGCTTGTTATTTTTGTTAAATACCTTATTTTCTCTACCCTATGAGGTTGGCAGCTGAATTAAATAACTAATTAGTGGCAAACAGGTGTCCTTGGTTCCAGAGGTTTGGAGGTGGTTGTGATGGTGTTTGGGTTTTTTAACATACAATTAGACATTTTTAGAAACCAGCATTGAAAAGAACTAACCATTATTAGACACTAACTCTTTTCCATACCCAATACTGGAGGGAAAATTTAGGAGTGATTTTCTAAAAAGCCATTCAGTTATATTTATAACGTAACTGTTTTATTTATGAACCCATATCATTTAAGAAGCAGCTGAGAAGGAAATACCCACCCTGTGGAAGGAGTCCTAAAAACACCTTTCTGTTTTCTTTTATGTGGCACACAAGTAAACAATAAATGTGGTTTGTGAGGACAGACTGGTCCTAGGTCATGTGCATGCATTCTCTGCAGAGGAATTATCTGAAAACTTCCTCACAGGGACTGAGGCTTTTGCTTGTTTGGTCCATGCCACAATTAGAACTTCTTGCCTTGGAAAAAGCCTCTGCTGCACAAACTCAAATACGAGGCCATCTGGGCCCACGTTTCTTGTCTCTTGACTGTGCCACAGTGTATTTTTTTGAAGTGTGAACCCATCAATATGTTCATGCCCTGCCATTTTCTGATGTTTTGACAGCTGCCCTTTAAAAAAATTAGTTCTTTAAATTGCTGTTAATTAGAACTGGTAATCTGATAGTATAATAAAATTCTCCCTGTCAAAGCATAGATATTTTCAGGAATCTATTGCTCTCTAGAGCATTAAGCACTCCCTCCAAGTTTTTTTGCTCTTTGAAATGTCTTGTCAGGCACTACTGAGATTAAAACTATGTCAAATCCACTCTTAGTGTGGAACCGCATGTCTCCAAGACATGTAAGATAAAGGCTACCATATGCTGCCACACTGGTATGTTGGGTGATGGAGAAAGCCTAGAAAGTGTGTTCCCTTATTGGTGCAGCAGCAGCAGCAGACTTGCAGAGAAAATGCTAAGGACGACTTTTATAGCTTAGTTTTTTGGCTCAGGAGAGACACGATCTGCTCTTTACAGGATCCCAAACAGTGTATTTGCAGCTTCCTGCATATGCTGCCCTGGGAAACACAGTGCTGCTTTTAAACAGAGGGAGGAGGGGCAGCCACGAATTTATTACTGACCTGCTGGAATTTAGCAATATTGCATGATTGGAAAGGGGTTGAAACCTGTCCTTAGAATGAATTCTCTCTGTGCCTGGTTCTCAGTCAGTGTGCCCAGATTTTACTCTGCTGCATGTCACTGTAATCTGGGGGTGCATTGCCATCGTAATCTCAGTTGTTGTGATTTGGTTTCTCAAGTCACACGGGAAAGAAATTTGCTGTGTGACTTACAGTTCGTGTTTTAGCTTTCAGCAAAATACAGTTTTTAATTCTAAATTGGTTCAGTCTAGGAATAGCACAACTTAGTTGTTCACAGTTTAAATTTCCTCCCCACCTTTATATAAAAACTCCACTTACTCCCTTTTACTCCTCTTAGCTGAGGAGTTTCTTTAAGCAAAACCACAAGAGTTTATCTGAGATTGTTGCAGTTAATTTTTACATAAGCAGTACCTGACAGTAAGAGGACAGCACTTCATAGAGTGGAGAAAGGGGCAGCAGCTGCTGCTGTAAAGTACAAGGAGCTTGTTTTCATCAGTCTAAACCATGGATGAATATTCTCATGCAGTATCTGTTCAAAATCTTCTTGTCTGGGAGGTTAGTAGCATAAGGAAAACTTGTTGAACAGTGCTGGTGGTTTTAGGAACAAATGTTTCTTAGATCTTTCCTGTAATTTTAAAAAAAAGGCAGAGAAATGTCTCTGAAGTTGATATTTGTAAATAAAGTTATCAGTGAAAACTACAACACGCCAAGGAAATTGCAGTTGTCTTTTAACATGTTAGTGCAAAATGCTGCAGTAATGAATTATTGAAAAGTGTTATTTGTGTTTTGTTAATATTTCTTTATTATTAAATGTTTCTCAGGGTCAATAATACTTGCTTGTCCTCATTAACTCCAGCTTTCCTTTTGCTCTTTTCCTGTTCTTTGGGCTTTTCTTCAAGCTCCCTTTCCGAAGCTTTGACCTGTTTTTCTGTAACAGGGAGTCTGAGAGTTTTCATCACATAACACAGTAACAGGCACTTATGTTGGAAGTGCAACATTTTCCTTTTAATGTCTGTATTTTTTCCAATCTTTCAGGATCTCAGCAGCAAGGACATGAAGAGAGACTTGTACATAGTTGCCCATGTAATCCGAATAGGTACAGTATGATTTAGTGCTTGAAACAGATATAATTAACAATGCCTTTAGAGTGGATTTAAATGTATGTTTTAATTAACTGCCTTTATAATGCTTTAACCACTTAGAAAACTCAGTCTGATTAACATGCAGACCATATGGAGCTAAGTGTTAGAAAGTTACTGGTGACTGTTTAACAGTGATGGTTTTTTCTTAGTCTGGAACAAAATACTTGATTGAACAGCACATTTGGGGAGAAAGCCTAAAAAGGCTTTTTGTTTAATGTTTAAAAATTTCAAATGAGGTCTTTTTACTGATGGTTGTAGTTAGTTTACAGGACAGGACAGCAGCATACCTGACCATGCCCATCTAGTAAATCAGAGGCTGTCAAACAAATATATAGAAAGGTCTGCTTTCTACTGAAGGTGCTTCCAAGAACTCACACTTGAGTTTAGGGAGATGGGTTTCTCTGACTAGTCAGCTAGGCCAGGTTAGGCTTCATTTGTTCTTTTTGACACTTGCAGTAGCAAGAATAAGAAGTGTTTGTGACAGAAGTTGAATTTAAAATGTGTCTTACACAATATAGTGCAGTGCTCAAAGTTCTTAGCCCAGCAGTGTGTTTAAAGGAAAGTGACTGTTTGATTTCTGGTATGTGAATTGAATTACTGGAATCTCTTATAGATGGAAGGTGTTGGAGAGAAAAAATTTCAAGTTAAAAGGGATATAATTAGTTAGTAACAGGTTTAAATGGATTAAATTATTAATGTCTGTACTTCCCCTGAGAAATTAGCAAGTATATATTTTACCTTTGTTAAATACTAAATTGTTTTAAATATTAGACCTAAAATGTTAACAACATGAAGTGGGAATAGCAGACAGTTTCTTCAGTTATATTGTTGCAAACGAGTGAGTGGTGCAGTGTCATTCCCATTTTTCAGGTTTTCAGTGAGCTGAGGAATGGCCAGGGAGTGTTTGCAGTGGAAGGTGTCTAACCCTGTTGCCAGCCCAGTCACTGCTGACACCCATCAGCAGCCACAGACACCTTTTCTGAAGAACAGCAGGTCTAAACAGCTTAGTGAAACCACAGCTTGGTGTGTTGTCCTGTGAATGACAATGTGCTTTCAAAGCCACAAATGACTCTGTTATCACTTGAGGTGAATAATGAAGCTTGTAGGAATATATGCTGTGTTAACCTTGATGTGAGAAGTGCTGGACAAATTATTGTGTGTAATGTTACAAGTTCACTTAGATTATCACAGTGATTTTTCTGGCCTTGGCATTTTTTACTCTATTCTAAAACTGCCTTAATAATAGGAAGTGAATCACTGAGCAGCTTTTTACCTCAGAATTCTCCTCCCTGCACTCCAAGACAAACGTGATATATGACCAATATCTAATATGTGATATGTATTATATACAATGTATAATGTGAGAGTTTGTGTAAATACTGAACTATAATGGAGGGACCACAGTGGATCTCTGTGTGGATCAGATTGGTGAGTACAAGCTGTATTCTTGGCTCAGTCCAGAGGTGATTTGTAGTCAGCCCATCTGGATGCAAATACACGTCATGGAGCTGCAAATCAAAGATGGCCAGACGTGATGCTACTCACTTTGCCCTTGACTGTTCTGTTTAGCTGAATGAGGTGATGCCCCTTCATTAAAGCAGCCCAGGGGGTCAGGGAGGTTCAAATGGACCTCTGGGTTTGAGGCAGTTTAAGAGTGAGAAGTTGTGGGGGGTTGACACTGGCTGGACTCCAGATGCCTTCCAAGCTGCAATTTCCTCTCCCCTGCAGCAGGACAGGACTGGGGAGGGGGAACAAGATGGAGGAAAACTCATGGGTGAAGGTCAAAGCAGTTTAATAAAGCAAAAGCAAAGGCCTTGTGCAGAAGCCAAGGAAAACAAAAGATTCATTCTCTGTGTCTCATCAGCAGTCGATGTCCAGCCACTTGTAGGAAGCAGGGCTGCAGTGCATGTAGGGGTTGCTCCAGAAGAAAATCCTCAGAGTCACAAATGCCCCCCCCTTCTCCTCTGTTCTCCTTGCTTTTATTGTTGAGCAGATGTCATGTGGTTTGGAGCATCCCTTTGGTCAGTTTGGGTCACAGCTGTCCTGGCTGTGTCCCCTCCCAAGATCTGCCCACCCCCAGCCTCCTGGTGTGTGGGTGTGCCTGCTCAGAGGGACAATGGAACACAACAGACAGGATGGCTGCATGGTGATCCCTGATGTTTTCAATTTCTCTTCACTGTAGGTCGGATGTTGCTAAATGATTCCAAAAAAGGGCCCCCTCATTTACACTATCGCCGCCCCTACGGCTGTGCAGTGTTGAGCATCATGGATGTGCTTCAGTCAATCTCTGAAATAAAGGAAGAGAAGGATTTTGTTCTCAAAGTTTACACGTGAGTAGCTGTTAGAAGGAAGTTCTTTGCTTCTTTATTATTCCAGCAGCTCATAGAAACTAATGAATATTATCCACAGATATCTCAAATATGTGAAATGCTTCTGAAATTATTGAGCATTGCCCAAGTCTGTGACATGCAAAAAGCTGCTCTTTTATTAATGTGATTTATTTAAAATCTGCTGAGCTCAAACCCAAAGAAATATTCTGTATTTCATCTTAAGAAGGCAATAGCTACTTGTGCTCCATCTCCTGTTCCTTCCCAGGCACAGTGACCAACGAAAGGAAATGGAGAACAACTGAAGTCAACAGTGTGTGACCAAAAAACTCAAAACAAATCAACACTTCCTGAGCAGGAATCTGTCTTACAGTTATTTGTGATTTTGAACTTTGAACTAACAAATTCTTATTCTGAAATGTGGTCTCACAGTTGTAATAAAGAGGCCACAGACAAACTGTCTGGAGACTGCAGGGAATATTTAAATCCCTTGTCAGTGAGAATAAATACTGGCAAGATCTGCTTTGCAGATGGGCTGAGATACAGCTGACACTGCTTTGTGGTCTGTGGCCACAGTAATAAGATAATTTGGCGGGTTTCAGGACTTTGTTATTCTTTGAGAAGTGCATTCAGCAGCAGAAAAGCTGACCTTCAAGGGAAACTATAAATGAAAAAAAAAATGTCCTTTACTGTTCACTGAAAGATTCTTGGATTTCTCTTCGTACATTAGAAATCTCTGAAGTCCAGACAAAAGTCTCTCAGAGTCAGCTCCTCCATTCTTCCTTTGCCAACAGTTATGAAAACTGCAGCAGAAATCTCAAATTACAGGGAAGAAAAGGGTCATCTTTCTTCTCTCTGTTGGTCGAATCTGGATAATTTTGGCCTTTTGTCACCATTCAGTTTCAGCTCCTCTCAGACCAGTGGGTTTTGGTTATGTAGTGCATGTTAATATTGTCCTCGTAGGGGTGGTGTTAATACATTGCAACTGCAGCATCCTGAACGTTTACAGAAATGGAACATTCTGGTTGTCAGATATCTGGTTTGATGCCCTTTTAATGCATCTTTAGCTTCTGATGCACTGAAAAATAGAAGAGAAAAAACTTGTTAAAATCCTGGGCAAATAAAGTCACACAGCCACTTAGAGCCATCCAAAGTCCTGGTACAACCATACAATAAAAACTACAGCATACAGAGCTCTCCTTTTCTTGCTCTTAATCTGAAGTGTTTTGTTGACATGGATTCCCTTCTGACACCCAGAGTGCCAGCAGTGTGTGCCTGAGCAGGTTTGTACCATCACATCTGCTCCCCCCAGCCCTTGTTTTCACGTCCCCCACGCAGCCCTCGCTGCCTTCCCAGAGGGGAAGGAGAGCCTGTAACAGAATTCAGCTCTCTAATCAGATGCTTGTAATTTTTTATCACTCTTATCACTCTCTTGGGTTGTTCAGAGTCTTGTACATTCATTCTTTTACGTTACTGCTGCTTGGAGTGTTCTCTGCAAACCTCCAGCAGAAATACTCAGAAGGGAAGGTGGATTTATTGAAGGGCACCAGCTTATCCCCTCTGCAGCTTTGGTAGCTGTTGGTCCTTCATGGCAGAGTTTTCACAGGTTCATTCATCTCTTGCATCTTCTCTTTGCACACTCCTTTAGCAAACCCCCCTTTTCTTGCTTTGCAGGCTAAAATTGAAATGACAGTGTTTTGTCCTCTGTAAGTTTAAAATTGAACATGAATGCTTAAACGGCACTGAACTGATTTTCTTACCTGCTGCTCCTATTTTGATTACTGCTCACATGCCCCAGGCCAGCTCAAAACCATCATAAAGATGAAATAAGGAGGGAGGTGTATTTGTGTTTTTGAGGAGCAGTAAAAAGCATTCCTTTTGTACACTCTCTGGCTAAAGCTCCCGGCTGCCATGAACGAGGCAGCCAGCAAAGCCTTCTCACAGGGAGAGGCTGGAAAAAATTGGAGAGACTGAAAACCTCACAAAGGCTGAAACAAATACATGGGCTTTCAATGAGACTTTTGCTGGAGCCACAAGAGAGAATGCTTATGAGAGGGGGGAAAAAAAATCAATTTACTTCACCGGTCTTTCTCTGCTTGCCTTATTATTGTTAAAGATTTATGGCTGAAAAATACTTCTTTCTCACAATTGAGATTTTCCTCTTTGTTAATCCCACAGTCATGTTAAAATCTCACTAAGAGGATCTAGTACCACAGCTGTAGTTATAAGCTCATTATGTAAAAGCATAAACGTTTACTTTTATAATTCTTTTTAATATACATGTAGAATATTTAAAAAGAGATGGAAATTAAATTCTCAGTCCATTTTTGAAAATTACTTGGTTTCATATCTTTATATTTATTTTTACATTAATTTTTATCTCTAATGAAAGTTTTTGCTCATGTAACATTACTTTTTGTGTTAATCTTACCATTCCTCTGAAAACTTCATGTATTTCTCTTTCATATTATCTTTTTCAGTTTTATTTTTTTGTCCTATTTTCCTTCTATCCTTTTTTTTTTTCCCTCCTTCTCCAGCACTAGCTCTTAAAATTCTTTCCCCTCAGTGCCTGAATGCCTTTCCCTTTTGATATTCCATAGTTGTTATTTGCCCAGCTGGACAAGAGGGTAGGCAAACATTCCAAGTGGTAAATGTACTGCAGAACCAGCCCACCTCAAAGGGGGATGGCTGGCTCAGGGGAACATTCTTCTCTGAAGGAGGAATATATCCTGTTATCTCTTTGGTATTTGGACAAGTAGAATCTGAACACAGTGAAACACAGCCCAAGCAAATGTTTCCAGCCTACATGTCAAAGCTGGGAGAAGATCCTCCTTCTTTGTGTTCAGGAAATGCAAAGTGCAGGCTCACCTTGGTACTTGGTACAGCACTGGCTTTAGCAATCTTTACGGTCTGTTGATTTGGGGATAACTTTGTCTCAGGTTAATTGGCAAACATAAGTCACTGGAGGCTGAAATCTATTTTAACTTGCACTCCAGAGGCTGGTACAGCAACTAAAAAATTAGGGAGGGAGGAGGGTATAGAATTTGTTCTATAGGTTAGCCCTCTACTTTTAGGAGAATATTATTTGCTGTAGGATAAATTACTTTTAATGCTGTGGCCACATGAAGAGAATGATTATTTTTTCTTGATGAGTAAGCTGAATTAGCACAGAACACCACAATTCCTGACAGGGGGTTTGTACTGGCCATTAATGCCTCAGCTCTGTTGTGTTTTGGTTTTGAGAGATTGTTTTGGGGAGTGCAGATACAGTCAGTTTGCCATCCTGTGAAGGTCTGGAAGGTCACTTCAGTGCTGACCTGTCTTAGGTGACTGTGGATAGCTGATCTCTCCTCCCAAAAGGGATATGGTACTTACAGAAAGGGGGGAGTCGAGCAAGGGAAATGTTTAATGACACAGGGACATTTCTTTATCAGAAATGAAGAATGTGGGGAGCTTCAGCTTGAAGAGGAGGAAAATGATGGTGGGAAGAGATACAACCCAAGGCAGTGTGAGCAGGTCCAAAGGGGGTTAGACCAGTTTATGAACAAGGGATCCATAAACAGAGGAGCAGGGACAGACAGGGAGGTACCACCCAAACCCAGCCCCTGGGGCAGGGTACCTGAGCCTGGCTGCTCATCTGCCCTGCCACAGCATCATGGCCTGTGGCCAGCGTGGAAGCTTTTAGTGTGTTCTGGAGTTCCTAACAGTCAGCTGAGGTGTCTGATACCTGAACTCAGTGCAGGGGAAGGGAGGGATGATGGGACAGGTGGAGCTGAGGTTTCAGGTGGGATGATGCCAGTCTAACTGCACCAGTAAACCCCAGAGTACAGCCTGAGCAGTGCTTTAATGACATGAATCCTTTTGGGTAGCACAGTGGAAGAAAGCAACTCCTAATGATTTTTCTCCGTATTTTTTGCTGTCTGCTCTTTGTATTTCATTTATTTCGAGTTGTCTCTGTTGCTTTTGCTGTTCCAATATCATTTGGGGGGATGTCAGTAAGTGCCATAACAGGTTTTGTGGGTTGTCTCATTATCCTTGGCAGCAGGTGGTAATGCAGAGGCTGTAGGAAATCACCAGCCACTATTTGTTCTAGATAGCCCTAATTCCTTTTGCCATGCTATTCTTCAGTTACATAATGCAGCAAACAGAGAAAATCCCTGATGTCTTCAGTGTAGCTGGTTTGTGTCTTACCCTGGTTGTGCTGCTGTGTTGTACTCTTGGGATGGAAGCAAAAAAGGGAAAAAATGTTCATATCCTTGGGAGAAGTTTTGCAAAGTGACTTATTTCTCAAGCCTCATAAGAGCTGAAAGCTTAAAGCATTAGCTTCCCTTTTTTTTTTTTTAACCTTTAAGAGTCAATAGGACAGAAGTTTAATTAAATTGTTTAATTCAATTGCATTTCAGGAGAAATAAGATTCACTTTTGCTGCTGAGTTAAAAATTGCTGACTTCATGGGGAATCATTAATTCTTGGAGTTGTGATTTAAATAGAGCACAGTTGAATTTAAAATGCAGTTAGGCTTGATCAACATACTGGTTTTCCTCTTTTTTTTGGCCAGTAGCACTGTTTGTGGTAAAGTTTCCATTTTTATTTTTTTTTTTTTCAGAAGAGAGGAGATTATATGGCTCATTTTTCATGTAAAAACTTAATAAAGAGGGACACTTCAGTTCTTTGCCTTTCTCCCCCAGTCCAATGTCCCTCTCTCATACAATGGGACAGTAAGCTATGGACTCAGAACGTGGGCCTTGTTCCCTTGATTCCTTTGGCCTCTGGATTTTGGGAGATTGCATCGTGTTTCAAGGCATTCTGTAAAATATGTAGGCAAGCAAAGACTCATTGTAAATTCCTGAGATGCTAAAAAAATCGGGTTCATTTAGTCTTTCAAATTGCACTTTTATTTCTTGATTGGAACTTTTTTAATAAATTAAAACCAAAAAGGTAATATATGGCAATAGTTAATTTTGGCTTAAAATTTATTTGCTACCTACACAGGATTCAAATAGGCCAACCAGAGCTTTCTTGGGTTTGTTGTAATCTGAAGAGTGGAACAATGGCTTTGATGACAGAAAAGTCACTGCTGGCTCCAAAGTGTCCATAAAAATGACATAACTATTAGGGAATATTTTGTTCCACTTTTAAAAGCAAGAGTTATGTGGGATTTCTCTCATTCATCCAACCTTCCATATTACCTCTCCAGCAGAGTTGACTCTCCTGGTCTAAGATGGTTCAGCAGAAAGCATTTTCCTTGAATTGGTGTTCTTTTCTTTTAGGTGTAACAACGAGAATGAGTGGTGCCAGATCCACGAGAATATCATCCGCAAATCCAGCACCAAGTACACAGCCCCCAGCTCCAACTATGGTAAATATTTACTGGTGCTTGTTTGTCTTAATAAGAGCTGAAGATTTCCTTTAGGAAACTGCTGATTATTTATAGCGGAGAAATTCACTCAGATGTGAGGTTTTACTTTCCCAGCTAATGACAGATAAATATGGAAAGTAAATCTTATCTTTTTACCTCATTTAATGATGTCTGGAGTTGCTAATTCAGAGATATCATAGCTCTGCCATTCCAAATGAACCAGCTGATAGGATGCAGTTGTGCTTCATTAAAGCGAGTTTTGCATTCATTACCAAGTGCCTCATTCATGGGCATTCTGATGACCAAATACTGAATTTGTCTTCATTTCCCTTGTTTGCATATTGAGATACTGTAGTGGAATATGCATTCACACTCCCACAGAAGATATTAAGTACAAGAATAAACAAATAAAACTTTTTTCAGGTTTGGGATTTTACTGTGTGTCAAGCTGGTCTCCTTCCCTGCTGCTCCTCCTGTATAGTTAGGGTTATCCCCTAGTTGTCATTAGCATATTGCCCTGAGTTGTTTGTAAATGATTTAAGCATAAGTAATGTGATTTAGGCCTCTCAGAACCCACTCTTACAGTGACAAAATTCTCAAACCACGAGTGTGATGTTTCCCTGGAGAAAAGCTCACTGGGTCTTCCTCTCACCACCTTCCCAGGTCTTGTGTAAAGTTGGTCTTTCAGGTGTGCTGCAAGGAATAGAAACAAACTGGAAGGATATGCTGGGTAGAAAAGAGGAGTGGGAAGTACAGAACCTTTGGGGAGAGCAGGGAGCTGAGCACAAGTTTTTTGGGGTGGATTAAGTGGGAAAGTACCACATAAGTAATATATGTAATACCATGCTGGAAAAATTATATGTTCTGTTACCTATAGTGACTGACTCTAATAGATGATAGATTAATTCTGGTGCTTTTTATTAAGTACTGGGAGATCTGAAGTTCCAAATTTGCTCTAGTGGTTTTACACTGGAATGTTTTTAATTTATTTTCATTGGTTTGTTTGTAATAGCAGAAGGGGATATAAAATGACCAAGCTTTTCTGTAAGTGGCAAAAATAGCCAAGACTGATTTGTCACGAGCGTGTGTCTCGTGTGTGCTGTGGAACCTTCTGTAGCACACACACACTCACATCCACTTGCACATGGTGTCCAAAAGGCCTGGATTTTTTCCATGGTTTTCAGGGCTGTGTTTTCCCTGCAGAGCTTTGCAGTGCTCTTCTGCCTACTTAGCTGGACAGTTGCAAGTGCATGTTTTGGCAGCTTTTGAGTCCATCCATGCTGACTGTCCAGCTGGCTGGTTGGCCTCCCTTTTCCTTCATTTTAAGGCTCTATCCTCTTTCTTTTTTTTTTTTTTTTTTTTTCATCCCAACTCCCAGTATTCATAAAATTTATACACTCTCCATGTAGTCTAGAAATCCACTTATTTGCCAAATTTGGCTGAAGCCAAACAGCAGGATTGAAAATTGTTTGAAGAGAAGAAAGCGGGAGTTGGGTGGGAGGTACATGATCCTCCTGGTTTCATTCCCCTGGTAACTTGTCTGACAAAATGGTGACTAAATACAGTTCACAAAGCCCATGTGTTAAACTTAGGAAATTGCAGAACTTCAGATGGCTCCTGCAAGAACAGGGTTTGGTTTGGTGTGGGGTGTTCTGGGGAGTGAACAGGGAGGATACAAAGAACTGACATGGAAGGAGACAAAGGATGTGGGAAATGCCTGTGTGAAGGTAATTCCCATGGACATCGAGGCTGGTAACGTGTGCCCAGCAGGTGAGACTGAGCTCGCAGGGCTGAGCTTAATCCTGGTATTTTTTGGTATCAAAATGCTGGACTTTTTAGTTTTACCAATACATTATCCTTGCTTTAGGGGTGTAGTATGGGACAAATTAAAAGCAGCTGGAGAAAAGAAGCTGGACTGGGATTACCTGTGTAATTATTCCTGGTCAAGCTGTTCTTCAGCTGATACACTGAACAGCAGAGCTGGTGGCTGAAGTCACTTTGCCCAGTTGGTATTCCTGAAACGTGTTGAGGTACTGATGGGAATTTCATTAAAATCAACACCCCTCTATGAAGCAGTTAAAGAAACAAGTGGAACTGATATGCTGTGAGATTTAATGTTTTTTCATGGTATTAAGCAGGATTAAAGGTACTTTAGACATGTTCTACAGCATTGTGTGGTTGTTCAGATAGAGTGGCATTGTTCATACATGTGTTGTCACCTGCTGTGCGTGAGGAATAATTACTGTAGCTTGTGACCTGTGTGAAATAAAGTATTCTGATTTTTTGACGCTGTGTGTTAATATAATGCTGTGCTTGTAGCTGATCCCTTGTATCAGTTTTGTTTCTTCAGTTTCAGCTTTAAATTACTCCAAGGGAAAAAAGAGCTCTGTTTATATACTTGTATTAAATTAACTGTGGAGCCAGACCTTGGTTTACCTGCATGCCTTGTATACCCAGACATCTAATTCTTAAGTCAGATACAAGGAACATATTTGTGTTTTTTTCCAGGACTTATCATTTCTCTTCAGCTTCTTCGTGGTGACATGGAGCAGATTCGAAGGGAAAACCCCATGATCTTCAACAGAGGCGTTTCTGTTACCAGGAAGCTGGGGTTTCCTGATGTTATAATGCCAGGTAAACACAGCAGCTCCAATCTGAAAATATTGGTGGGATTTTTCCTCCTACTCTCCCACACAAGGGCACTGGGGTGGGGGATTTACTTGATCAAGATAAATAACAGAAGGGTTGCCTTATTTATCAGTAAATGCCAATTCTAGGTTTGGGAAGGTGTGCTAAATCACTTTAATCAGTGGACATTACAGTCACAGAAGGTGCTAAATGAACATGACAGAGGGTGATCTGGAAGGATACTGCCCACCCAACCCCTGACACTTGGATATCCCTCATGTATGGAGATTGTCCTTCAAGCCTAGAGATGTTTCTTCTTAAATGCTTGACATTTCTTCTTCCCAGTAATCCAGAGCCTGCAGAAAGCATTTCCATTTGCACCCTTGATTTTTTGGGGTCGGTGTGATCCTTTTGTAATGGTTGACAGGACACAGGGTGCAGATCTGGTTGGATTTTCCAGCTGGCCTTGCAGAGCACCTGATCCGTGCAAGAGGTGCCTTGGCTGGAGCATTACTGTGCTTCCTTCACTCCTTAATTCTGGAGCAGCAGCTGGAGATGCTTCTTGTTTTGGCAGAACTGAGGCAGCCCCAGCACGGGCAGGAGTTGAGTTAGGGAAGAACCCGGAGCGTGGCCGGTCGTGCAGCCACAAACAGCTGGTGCTGCTCTGTCCTGACCTGGGCAGTGTGGGAAGGAGTGGGCTTGGTACTTACCCTGCATGTGGAGCATCTGAGCTGTTCCCTCACTGCTGTGCATGGCAAGCAGGACCAGGGATGACTTTGCAGACATGGGGAATGTTATGAAAGCATAATGGGGAAAAAAGCAGATCTTACTACTCGACAGGTGCAGTGACACATCAGGATCAGAAGTAGTTGCTGTAGCTTTGTTGTGGAGGCTCTTCAGAAACCACAATAAAACAGGGAGTAGGTGGGAAGAATTTAGAACATCTGTTTTATTTACTAATGAGCTTGAAAAGAGTAGTAATCGAGCAGCAGAGGATGTGGGCTATAAGGCCAATTATAAATTTTAGGTTTTAGTGACCTTATAGCAGTTCCAGTCATAACCCAAAGCAGTCAAGAAACAGCTGCTGCAAGGGGATCTGCTGTGATTGAGATCCCAGCTGGATATGTCTGCTGGAATAGCTGAATCACAGCTAGAGAAGGCAACGTCAGAAATAACATTTACATACCTGCGTGAGTGAATTGATTCTCCTGCAAGAATTGCTTTATCCTCTATTTCTGTGTGTAGAGAAGTCCCTCAAGTGCTTAAGGAACAGCTTTGTGTCCTCACTGTTTCCCTGTATTCTGCTGGTTGGGGCAGGGCTTTGGCCCAGAGCTGGAGCAAGCAAGGCAGCAATATCCACGCAAAAAATGCTCCTGCCCTAAGCTTTTAAAATTCTCTGTTCACTGCAGCTAATTCAAATTTCCAGATTTTCTTTATGATGAGAACCACGGTTGTTGTTGGAGAAAACATTGGGGTTTTAGGATGATAATCTCTTTGGAATTGGACTTGCAGATATGTATATATACATATGCTTAAAATACTGATTGATAGTAACAGATGTGTCAGAGAGCCACCATTCTGCTGTTAAATGCCTCCTGCCTCTCCAGAGGCATTGCACACACACAGCTTCTCCTTGGGTCAGAGGGAGCTACAGGATACAGTTTAGATGGGTAGAGTTTAGATGCAGAGCTTTAGGCATTTGTATTTGGAAAGGAAAAGGCTGCCATTTGTGCAGAAAAGCAGTTTGTGCATGTCTGTAAACACCAGGTAAGGAAAGAAAGGCGGCCAAGGGAGCTGTGAATGGACTTTCACTGTAAATGAGGACACTGCCAGAGTAGAGATGAGATGTGAAGAGACAGGTGATCAGGAATGGGGCTCTGACCAAAGGCTTTCACTGTGTTGGGTATTTTCCAGGATAAGAAAGGCTCAGGAAAATTAGGGGATTGAAATGTAAGGGAACTTCACTGATGTAACAAACAGTGTTCGTTCTAATTACTTACCAATTTATTTTTTTTTAAATGAAGGTATGTTTGAGATATTCAGGTGACTGCACATATTTGCCTGTTCTTTGCTTTTAAAACATTTGATCAAACTGGGATCTGAGTTCACCTGACATCCAGGACAGAGTGTTTGGGTTAAGTCACCTTTCAGGTGGATTAGCCAAGCAACATAAACAAGGGATGTGTATCAATTTACTCTATGCTTGTGTTTTTACAGGATCATTCTTCCTTAGCTTTCTGAGTAGTGTCTAAATTTGAAAAATAAGTAACTGGGGACACACAGCCAAAAAAAAGAAAAAAAACCACCCCAAACCAACCAAAAACTGAAGCCTGTCATGCACATGAGCAGTTCTCAGCCATGTCTGCTGCATTAATTGTCTTTGTCAAACTACTTTTTCCTTGCTTTGCTTCAGAACTGTTTCTTTGTCATTAAACAGAGGGTTTTTTCTTCCAGAAAAGAGCACACAAAGTTCATGACTTGTATTTTGCAAGTGGATGCAGGTTTTTCAAGGCAGTGTGGTTTAAAAATGTTTTTTAATGAATACATTAATAAAAATACGTCATCTAGTACTGTTAAAATATGCAGTGATCATTCTGCTGAGCCAAGGAATCTATTTTTAAAAAAGTAAATAACTGTAATATTTCAAATAATTCTTCTTTGTCATAGGTTTGAACATTTTAATTTCTTTTTTAGTGGAAAATCCTTTCACATGTGCACATCTTAACCATTAAAATTCTGTAGATGTGTCTTACCACACAGTTTTCCTGTCCTGTTTTATTTCCTAAACTGGAGTATTGGTTGCCTGTGCCAAGCCCTCTTTCTGTCCCTCAGATATGAGCAACATGGATGGTAGCTGGTCATCATTAAGAAAGTGAAACTGGTCTTTATGGGCTTGTACCTTCCACGGCTGTGCAGAACAAGCTTGATATTGTACAAAATAACCATACCTGTCTTGGTTTGTAAAGATAAAATGTTCTTTGTTTCCGACTGTGTTGAATCCGAGAAGAGCCTCGTAAAGGCTTCCCTTGTCTTTTTTGTCCTGATCAGAAGGGATTCAGCCAAACCAGCCTCAGGAAGAACTGTGGTGGGGTTTGTTCATTGGTGGTTGGTTGTTTTTCCTTTTCTGAGTTGCTCCTGGGTTTAAGGCCCTGAGTCTGATGGTGACAATTTTACCTTTCCCCAGAGCTCAGAGCACTGAGGCATGTGCTGCTGTGGGATTGCAGCTGTGTTTGTGTGCACAACTTGCTGATCAGAATCTGTTGCATAGGCTTGGCGTTTGTCAGTCCCCCAAGGACATCCCTCCCCTTCCCCATGTGCTGATAAGTATTCTGTCTTTTACTTTGATCCTCTGATGAAAAGTGCATGCTTCATCTTCTACTCGTGAGTGATGGTTCTTTCTCTTTTTTCTCTCTCCTTGTCTTAATTTCCTGGCTTCTCTCCTGTTCCTTTCCCTTTATTCTCTCTCCCCTTTCTTTCTGATGCAGAGATGAAGATTGTTGGGTGTAAGTTTCTGCTTTTCTGTGTAATGTCTGCTTATTGCTTGCCTTTTTTCTTTCCATTTTCATATCTTCCATGGAATGTTGGGGATTGGTAAAGACAGCAAATCATAACATCACAGGGAGACTTTGGTAACAGAGAGGTGGAGACTTTGTCTCTCTTCACACCACAGGATTTCAGGCAAATTTAGTAGCTGTGACAGGTGAGTTGGTAGCAAAGGTGAGAAACATCTCAGCATCTGTTCTGTCAGTGAGCACAAAGTCATGGCAAAAATCTGTTAAGAAAAGGACGTGGCAAAATCCATCAACCAGTCTTAGAATGTTCATGGTAAGAAAGTCAGTAAGACCAAAAGACATAATTAGGTAAAAAAGTTTTTACAGGGAGTGTAAAAAGTCTTACTGTCATAAATAAACTTGTGGAAATGGAAAGTTGGAGGAGATAAAAAATTAAAAGTGTTAAAAAACGACTTCCTGTTACTGAAAGGCAACTGTTCCAGGGAAATAATTGAATTTTAAAAGAGCATTGTATAAATTTTTTCTATACGTAGAAGTCAAACAATGGATAGTAAATAACCCAGTAAGTAAGAGGGGAAAAAGCTAATTTAATTTACCGCACAGGCAGTAGATAAAGCCTTTATTTCCCTTTCCTGCTGTAATATTGCTCACAATTATATTAATAGTTGCTCACTGTAACTATTTCAAGAGTAGAGGCCTTGAGAAACGTTAGGGCCTGGCTGGTGAAGGGGCAGGCAAATAAGCTGCTGAACTGGATGCAATGGGATTCCCAGGCTGTGACTGTGCCAGGCAGGCAGGAATGCAGCTGTGACAGAGGTGATGTCCCTGTGACAGCCAGGGAAACCCCAGTGGGAGGACATGACTGGGAACAGTCCCTGAGGGTCAGCCAGAAGGAAGGCCAGAGGTGTTGGAGACCTTTCCCACGCAGTGCCCTTGGTCAGTTTGTCCTCCAGTCCCTTTGGTTTGTTAGTGATGTGATGACCCCGAAGCTGCTCGTGGGTGTTGTGCTGTTGACCTGGTCTGTGCTGGAATCACTGCACTTCAGGAGGAGTCGTGTGGTTTTCATTTGGAGGAAGTCACAACTCTGAGTAAGGGCGTTGTTTGCTGTTTGGGATCAGAATCTGATCCCTTCTTCCAAAGCAGCAGCTTCCAGAGCTACTGCAGGGAAGAGCTGTCCACTGAGGGATTGTCCAGTTTAAGATGATATTCCATCCAGAAAGCAGAGCAGTTACCTGTAAAGAGCTAGAACAGATGATAACACTGCACATGAGTAGAAGTCTTCTACCTCTTACAGCTTCCTTCAAAGGTTTTCCTTACCCCTCTGGCTTAAACTGCTGTAACTTTGCCCCAGTCAGTGGGGTGATGCTGATTGACTCTGATGGGGGGTGTTTATACATAGAGGACATAAATGCAAGGGTTTGTTTTTTCCCCAGAAGCCTTTGGGGAGGATACTCTGAGTGCTCTCCTTGCCCGTTCGTTCTTCTGTAAAATGAAACTATTTTCAAGAAAATGCTAAACCAGGGATGTCAGAGTCAAGCAGACAGTCTGTCACAGGGTGGGGCCCTAAATAGGACCATCTCAGCAATTTAATACATAGAGACATAAATACTGATTTTTTTTAGAGATAGATTGGGGTTTTTTAATTCTTGGCTGCTTAAATTGTAAAAGGCTAAACTTTCAGTTTAAAAATCCAAGATTCCCTGGATAAAAACAGTTATTTTACTATGTTACATGTAACTCCCTGGACATTCTGACTACTGGGAGCTGCCACTTTTCCCCATCTTACAGGGGTACATTACAAGTCCTTTACAGGTTCACAAAGTCACAAAACGTTGACAGCTTAGAAAAAAAAGTTGTTAGAATTGAGGGGTCAGAATTTTGGGTTTTTTCCTCCTGCAGGAACTTGTGTGAATTATGCAGTCTTTCTTGACATGGTATTCCCCTGTATAAAACAGGGACCATTCCTGTCCTCAGTGGCCAAAATCTTTTAGGACCCCTGAAAAAAGAAGTGTTAGATTGAATGCAGGCAGTTTCTGTACATTGTTACTGCTTTGCAGTCCAAGTAACTGGTTGGTCTTCCAGTGGAAAACCCACACACCTTGTCAGGAAAAACTCCTATTTATTCCACTAGATAATAGACAATTAGTGGCCACTGGACTACTTTGTGTTGTCTAGTCTTGAAAATGATAAATAACTATTTGGAAATCTTCCAGTACATTCCTTTTATGTTGCAAATACAAAATCAATATTTGGCTCGTGTAGCCTGTTCCACCACTCCTTTTTTCCCCCATTACCATTAAAGGAGTTTCAGGTGATACGAGAAAGGATTTCATTTCAATATGAGCCAACCTCCCAAACTATAATTTATGATTACAATTTAAACAACTGAACATTTGACATTAGGCTTTGTAGATAGGTTAAAACAGGCAAACAAAACCCCAGTAAAGGTGAAGGGAGTTGATAAAGGAAGAGCCCCGTAACACATCAGAAAATAATCTTTTTATATTATTGTGCAAAATACTCTTTTTGAGGACATTTCATAGGGAATGAATCTCAGTTACTGTGTGTGTAAAAAGTGCACGTATTTTATGCTAAAAACCAGTTTACTTTTGGTTTTTAATTGAAAACAGTTGTGGAAAGATGGGCTTTGAAACAAATACCATTCTGAAAAGTCAGTTTAGCTTTTCAGTTCACCTTTGACAGCCATCTAGCACAAAGAGACCTCAGCTTAAAGTGACATCAGCAGGCTTTACTCTATAAATACCCGTGGCCCACTGGCCTTCTAGCACTTCTTTATTTCTGTGTTGGTGATAGGAGGCCACAGCTCACCCAGTTTATGATCTGCACTTTCTGTTTGGGAAGATGAGAGGCCTCTGGGATCCAAGCTGAGGTGCCATCCTGGCTTTCCCTCACAATGTAGGAATTACTGTCATAAACACGGGGCTGTCTGTGCAGTGGTTTGTGCAGAGGGCGTGAATGGTCTGGGGTCTTAAACGAGTTCCTTATTTATCTCTCTCTTCCTACAAATGGAATGAAGATGGGGGAAGCTCTGTGTGCCAAGAGTTCTCACTCAGTGCGTTGTCAGTGTGGCTTAGAGCTGACAAGCACCACGTCTGGGTCCTGCTGATCACACCTTTGGTGTTCACGCTGTCCGTGTGTGCACAGGGTGGGACATGGTGCTGAGTGTTCTCTCTGGCCCTGCCCTTTGCATCCTCACAATAAGCATTTTAATCAAATGCTTGGTGTTCAAGCATTTGCAGTAGTTTCTGTGCAGCCCATTAGTGTATCAGGGCTCAAATCCCTCAAAGGCACAAGAAACTGGAAGGAAAAAAGAAGTCTTGTGAGGACTCAACAAGCGATGTGGTTAAGTGGTGTGTCGGGGAAAGGAGATGGCTCTTTGCAGGAAGGTTATTTTCACTGGAATGAGTACAAGTCTGGGAGTTTGTAGTTTTAACTCCAGATTTTCAAGAAACCAAGGGGCTCCATACCTGATGGTTAAATGCTTTTTGTCTTTGCTAGGCTCATTTACTTCCTTAATTTTACTGTATGCAGTGACCTTTTCTATTTTTTTAAGATTCAGTGGAGTATTTTTGCAAGAGAAAGTGCACCATTATACTTCACTAATATACTTTTTCCCATCTTTTTTATGCAAATCCACTGGTTTTTATATCCCTCTACCCCCCACCCCAAAGGCATTTTTTTTAATTAGTGCAGTAATATCCCTCCTGTTGAACTTAATAGAAGATAAGATGCTATATATAACCAAATGCTGCCTTTAATTTAGGCTGGAAAATGATTTGCAGTCTGATATTGGACTTTGTGTAGCCAGACTGTCTTCCAGAAAAGAGGTCATAAATAGGGAGCTCCAAAATGCTAATTTTAGTGGGTACAATTAATTTCTGTGAAGATTTATAGCTTACAAATTGAAACTTTTTTTTCTCTGATTGTGCAAACCGCCAAGAAGAAGGGATGGAGTCAGTTAAGCAGAAGGATTTTCAGAACAAAAGTCCCAGCTTAAACTATCTCTTGTGATGAGTTTTGTATTTCCTTGATATCCCTGTAGTCAGCATCGAGGTAGCTCAGCTTGATCTTGACCAGCAAGATAATTTTCTGCTGTCGTGGGCCGGGGATTGTTGCATTCGATGACGGTTCTTTGATAAGAAGAAACAGATCGAATATTTGAGGCCTTTCAGCAGCCTCTCACTGTCGTCTTCTCCCTGTTAATGAAGCCTGGCATTCCAGCCCTCTGACTGTGAGGTGTTGCAGCTCTGTGGGAACCCACAGCGACAGGGAGGTTGATGGAAACGGGAGGACGTTTTGCATTCAGATCCCCTTCCCAGAGAGCTCCTCGCAGGAAGCTCCGACTGGTGGCTGCAGAGCTGCGTTTTCTGTGCCTAAAGACTGGTACTTATCTCCAGAAATAAAATTGGAAGGAAAGACAGGGCTGAAAACTTCTATTGTTTGTCCCTACAGTAGATTAAGGAACAAATTCTGTGGGGTTATAGACTTCAAGAAGAATCTGAAGCGCTGCTTTGATGGACACAAAAGGATATCCCTCAGTGCCTGAAAGCAAATGCTGCCTGTTCATTGTGCTTCTGACTCATACACAGATTCAACTGCATCAGCTTCTCCAAGTGGAAGAAGTCAGACATTGAAGGAGTCTCTGCTAAGATAACCATTCCATTAGTTTGCTATTTAGCCTCTTGAGACTGTTTCACAAAATACTTACCTTGCAAGGGTGTAAATATTTTTTATTATTATTATTCTTATTTTTATATATTACCCTTTAGTATCTCTACCTTTCTGGCAAGCAGACAAAAAGAAGTGGTAAATATGAACCATCATGAAGTAGTGACAGTAACTAAATCTTACAGAAAAATTTTGGTGCAGGGGCTAGAATTGACCACAGCAGTTTTGGAAGCAAGTTCCCAAATCAGATTCTAAAAAAAGGATATATAAAAAAAAGAAGTGAGCTAGAGTCTGTGAAATTTAGGATAACAAGATGCTGAGAGAGACACGAGCACTTCTATTTCTGAATATAGTAATTTGCTCTGAAAGCTCCTGAGAGTGACGTAGTGAGAAGTTGGCAAGTGTCCATCCTGCCCTCTTTCATACAGCCATGCATATGGATACCAGAGGCTAGCCAGAAATCTAGCAAAAAATGTATTTGCAATTCCTCCTTAATCCATCTGAACTGAATCACAAGCAGGTTTCCAAAAAGGCTGTTTTTATTTTGCTGCTATGATAAAAGGAAATTATGAAAATATAGAAATTCCTTGAAGAGCTAACTGGGGACAACGTTCTGCTGATCGTCACAAAAATACTTATTTTTCAAAAAATTATTGGAAATAGGAAGTTTGATGCTAATGATGTTTTGTCAGGCTTAGCTTGATCAATCCAGCCCAGCTAACCAGGCAAAGTTGTAGGAGTGAAAGGTTTTTCTCCCGTCCTCACTTACATAACAAAAGCCAGCGTCGATTCCGAGTTCACGTTTAATAAAGGCATTACTACTAACAACGGTCTGATTTGTGCACTGAGATTGAAATGTCCATCCTTATTAACAATTAACTTGCTGCTTGGAATGATTTGGGCATCAGCCATAGTCTTGCAGCACACAGAAACGGTGTGCAGAATCCACAGCGCCCCCGGGGAGTGCTCCCGGGGAGTTCAAGGCTGTGGCTCCGCTCTCTCCCGTAGGTGACATCCGGAACGACCTGTACCTGACCTTGGAAAAGGGAGACTTCGAGAGGGGGGGGAAGAGTGTGCAGAAGAACATCGAGGTGACCATGTACGTGCTCTATGCCGATGGGGAGATCCTGAAGGTGAGTCTTCATTTCCTCTGGGAGCTGCAGGTGCAGCTGCTGCCTCCAGGGATGTGCAGGGAGGAGCTGCAGTAACACCAAGGGGAGTTTCTGAGCTGTGTGCTGTGATGAAGGAAGTGGTCAGTTATAAATCTGAAAGTATTTGGAGCACTTCCCCTCTATGAGGATAGAAGACTTGGAGAAATTATTCATAAACTGAAAAGCTTGTGTAATGCCAAAATGTGGTGCCAGTGGCTAAAGTAAAAAGAAAATTTAGGGTAGCTGTAGTCAGAAGTGAAGAGTGTATGGCTTATCTAAAATTAAATGATGCGTGTCATACAACAAGATGAAATGGGATTCCAGAAGAGACTTTTAAGTCTGAATTGTTGGAGTTGTTAGAGAACTACTGAATGTAGTTCTGGAAAATAACTTGGAATAAAATTTCACCCTGGGCTGGCTCCATTCCAGCTAGGGATTGGGGATGGTTTATGTTTTATGGTGTTTCTTTTAGTTTTATTGAAGAGAAGAAGGTGGGGTGGGAGGGCATGAGGATAGAGAAGTAAACAGTATTTCAGCATGAGCAGGTGTCATAAATAACTTCCCCTTACCTTTTCTTTTACCTCCACTGCTTTGAAGCCATTGCCATGAAGAGTCTAAACACCTAAAGTGCTTGTGTACCAAACACATCTTTTTAATTGAAGGGAGAACTTTCATTACTACAGGAACTTGTGATTTCATTGAAGTGGATCTCTAGTACAGACCTGGGTTGTGCTCAGAGCCGTTGCAGGAAGATCACACTCCTTTTTTGGTGTTTTTTACCTTTCAAACTGAGTGACAAATTCTTAATCCTTGCTTGATTTCACAGCAGTCTGCTAAGGACCAAGAGAGGCCTTCACCCTCAAACTGCAATATCAGCATCTTCAAATGCTAATGCACAGAATGGTCACTAATTATGCTGTGACTGTGGCTGATGATTACAGATAAAAGCCAGATAATTTCTAGACATTACCAGTCTTAACTTCTGTGATTTTGGTTGGAATGGTCATTCACAGAGATGAAGTAATCCTTTCTTACCCCATCAGGTGTTTACATGGGCAGTGTAACAGAATGGTACAAAGACCCTGAAGGGTAGCAAGTCCAACTGGAAGAAATTCAGGCGAACAGGTTGCCCAGAGTAGCTGTGGATGCCCCATCCCTGGAAGTGTTCAAGGCCAGGTTGATGGAGCCCTGAGCAGCAGAAAGATCTTTTATGGGTGTTCAGAATTTAAGCCACATGTGTAAAAGACAATCCTTATCCCAGTTTTGATGTTACTTCCCCTCTGTATAGTTGCAGTCAAAGCAACAAAGATCTTTGGTTTCTGCCAGCAGATGTCTGGTGTGTGATGATGCCTGTGAATATGGGCAGAACATGGAGTTTCAGTCACTGAGGCACTGCTGTTCCTGCTTGGAATATCCCCTTGCATTCCTGAGCTGTGGCCTTTCTGGAGCAGGGACTGCTGAGGGAGACAGTGTGTGCAGACTTACACAGTAAAGGGGGCAAAATGCCACAAAGTTTTCATCTAATGTTGTTAGAGTCAAATCTCTATAAACTTTTCCCAGCCAGCAGCACGATCCAAGGCTGAATTATGCCTTTGTGAAGACTTTAGCAGAACCATGTGCAGCAGTAATGAGAATATTCTCAGCTCCTCGCTGCTGTTGAGTATCTCTTGATCCAGGAATAGTCCTATTGAAAGCAGTGAAATTACTTCCAGAATGTAGTGCTGTTCAAAATGAAAATGAGTATTTCCCTCTCAAAATGGTCTTACTCCCTTGTTAGTATCTTTCAGTATAGTCTGAATAATAATAATAAAAATACCTTGACACATTTCTCACTTATTATTCTTTCTGTTCCACTGGCAGGAATATCTTATGAATTGCAAGGCACACCTTTAACAATGGAAATATTAGCTGATAGTTTTTCTCGTTTAGCTTGCCTTACTTGCCTCTGCCTTCTAATTCACCTGCATATTTGGGTCTCATGGTCACTGGCTGTATGGAGACTGGTTTCATGTTTGTATTTTGCAGATCACAGTTCAGGATTAAACAGTCTGCCCTCCTCAGACTATATAAATTGTAGTATAACTGCATAGAAACGAAGTTAGCAACAAGAAAGAAAGACTATTCATTTATTTAGGGTTTATAGGATGAAACAGCATTCAGAGACTGACCTTTGTCGGCCAGAGCAGGGAATTTTTTGAGGGGACAAAAAAAGCTCACATTAAAATTTGAATTTTTACTGTACCTTGTAGAGGAAATAGAAACATTTTTTTGCTGTCTCCTAAGAACCTAATGCAGAGTTGAAACCCAACAAGTTACCCTTGCTGCAAACTAGAACTGGGATCTTGCAGTTGTGCTTTACCGCTAATCTACTGTCACTCCAACCTGAGAGTATCTGCAGCACTTAATTCTTGTTGCTGTATTGCAAACAGCACCTTTATGGCAGGATTGTGACATCAGGTGATTGCCAAGGCTTACCTGAGAGGACTGAGTTGTGAGTCTGTGCTGCAGCCACTCTGTTTGGATCAGAGCCTTTGCAGAGAACCTCTGTGCAGGGAGGCCCTTCTTACATTAAATCCTGAAATTCCAGGGAACATTTCTTTCTTGTTGGGTTCCTTTGCAAATTCTTCTCTTTCTCAGAGCCAGAAGAACATTGCCAGAGGTTGAACTAACTGGGTCTGGTTAATGGGATATGCTTGACTGGGTAGTCAGATGACTACATATTAAAAAAAAAAAAATCAAAATTGTTGGTGTTTCTTGGGATAGAATTTAGAGATGCCTTGGGGAAATGACCAGCAGTTCTTCTTGTCATCATCCCATTCCATGGGGGTGTTTTTAAATCAGAATTTATGCTGCATGTGTCATTCTGGGTCTGCTTAGCTTCTGTCCCTTCCTGTATTCATCATCCTTGGAGATGCTAAAGGTGAAGAATCTCCAAGCTGGCTTTTTCTGCATGGTTTTATGAGTTGTCATATCTTTTGGATCTCTTTGCAAGTGCTGGGTCTAGAGCTTAGATTAGTGCTTATATATCAAATAATGTGCTTCCTACTCCTTGTCTTCATCACAAAGGATCTTTTACTGTTCTTACTTCAGGACTTCAACATTTCTCCCATCTTCACTTGTGTTCTGACTAAGGATTTCTTTATTTCCCAGACAATATCAATTCATGTTTTTCTTCATCTGTATTTTGATAATACATAGATTGAGCAGGAACTCTGAACTTCTTATACCTAAAAGCAGAAATTTGAATCCCTTTGTATTTTTAGGTGATGGCCATTACACAGAAATTCTTTGCTTACCGTAAGGAAGTAACTTGATCAGAATTTTCTGGGATACTTTTTGAGACTGGGTGGCTGTAGTTCTGAAAGATGAACATTTGTAAGAGCTTGAAAAGTTCAAGTGTCACTTCTGAACTGAGATACTGAAGCAGAAATCTGGAATGTCTGGAATACAAGAAGTCTAGTTTTACAAGTGATGTTCCTATTAGTTCCTGTTGTTTTGACTCATCTTGACATATTTGGACTTAGGTGTTTATTGTGTCTAGTCTCTGCTTCATGGAAAGCTTAGCTTAAATAATAACTTAAGATACTGGAATTCATCCAGTATTATAGGTCTCCTAGCTCACCCTTTGACCCCAAACAGAGTTTAAAGATCTCTTCCAAAATTTCACATTTTGTTGTGTCTGAGTTTCTGCTTCTGACTCTTCTTTTATGTCTACAGAACAATAAGAATTATATAAAGATTATCAGCGTGGAATAAAATGACTCATTGGTAGTGATGTGATGTCTTCTAATGCAAAATTGTTTTCTTTTGTTCCAGGACTGCATCAGCCTGGGCTCAGGAGAGCCGAGCAGGAGTGCCTACCACTCCTTTGTGCTCTACCACAACAACAGCCCCCGCTGGGGGGAGATCATCAAGCTGCCCATCCCCATCGACAGGTTCCGGGGGTCCCACCTGCGCTTCGAGTTCAGGCACTGCTCCAGTGAGTCCTGACCTTACCAGGGGAATGAGGCTGTTGCTGGGTGGAAAGCAGGACAGGGGTGCCAACCTGTCAGCAAAGAGCTGGTTAGCAGGGCCCCTTCACTAAAGTGAAGAGGCTCTTAATCAGCTCTTTGCTGACTTTATTAAACAGCATTAAAAACATCATGAACAGTCAGTGCAGGGCAAAGCACTTTGTAGATGTTCTCCCCTGCTGTGTTTTCCTAGAGAACGTTTTCTTTACAGGATGACTGGTTTATATTTTGTTCTGTTGTTTGGATTTGAAACCTGTCAGTCCTTTGCATAGAATTAGAAAGAAGAAATTAGAATTACAGAGTTGTTTGTTCTGTAAGCTGTGTGCTTTTTGTTAGGCATGTGGAGAAGTTAGTGAGTAACCTTGTGGTGTGTTTGGACAGACAGGATACCTACTAAAACAGTTCCTTGTTTCTGTCTCTTGCTACAGCAAAAGACAAGGGAGAAAAGAAGCTCTTTGGTTTTGCGTTCACCCCACTGATGAGAGATGATGGCACTACCTTGTCAGATGATATCCATGAGCTTTATGTTTATAAGGTACTGGTTCTTCTCTGCAGACTTTTCACCTGCTCATCTCCACTTTAAATGAGTAATGGTCATCATATCTTTTTCCCCCTTACTAGAAGTATGTATGAGATTAATAGATGCTTCAAAATTTTATAAAGTCAAAATCACATGGTGTGGATAGAGCCTTCTATTTTAAGTCCAGCTGACCTTTTCCATTCAGATGATGATGATTTATCTGCTGCTAATGCCATCCGTTTTGACCTCAAACACACTGGTGTTCATGAGCATTCAGCAGCTTATGGTGTTACTCTGTACCTTGTTGTGATGACATTATGCTGTACTTCAAATGCATCGTGTTACTGCAGCTTGTGAGGGATCTGGGTGGGTGTTTCTTTTTACCTGAGTTTATTTTTTCAGTGCAGTTTTCAGGCAGCAGCTCTAAGTTGTACAGTTGGAAGATCTCAATAAGTTCTAAAGTTCTGAAAAGTTCTTTGTAGGGCTGGGCCTGGTTTGAGTGTGCACAGGCCCCAAAGGTGGTAGGCACAGCTTTTCTTAGAAGTGTTTTTGTGTACCCAATAAAAAGATCAATAAAAGCAGTGTTAGGCATCTGCTGAGGCTGTGAGCACGTGGGATGGGATGGAATGGAGGGGGTACAGCTCAGTCCTTGTGCTGTGCCCACAGTGTGATGAGAACAGCACATTTAACAACCACGCGCTGTACCTGGGGCTGCCCTGCTGCAAGGAGGATTACAACGGCTGCCCCAACATCCCCTCCAGCCTCATCTTCCAGCGCAGCACCAAAGAGACCTTCTCAGTCTCCACACAGCTTTCTTCTACCAAACTGACCCAGAATGGTGAGTAGCTGATCCTTCAAAATTGCCCAAGGCAGCAGGAATTATGAAAGAGAGTAATAAAATGGGTATGTTTGTGCTTTGCTTATTTTACTAAAATATTCTTTGGTTATAATTTCAGTATATATGTGCTGTTTCTGAAATGAGCAGAAACTTTTTTGAGGAAATAAAGATTTTGACAGGTGGCAGAGAAATTACAGACATTATGTAAGTGCATTACAAGGTTAAAATGTTAAAGCAGAGCTAATTTTCATTAAATGATTGTAGACCAAAAAAATACAATGTTAGCACTTCTACGCAATCCAAAATTTGTTTTGTTTGGGTTTTGCAGTGTTACCAAGTAAATAAAAATTTGTCACAGCAGCATCCCTAAAGCACAAGAAGGCAGGATTGGATTGTCCACAGTGCAGTCAAGTCACATAGGGAAAAACACAGCCTTTACTCTTTTTAAAGCACTTTACCACTCCTGCATTCATTTCTCTGTTAGTACTATTCACTTAGTGTTTTGCTTCTTGTTTTCTGCTATATATGTGTGATTTCCCAAGAAGTGAGAACTGTAAGAGGTGAGGTGTAAGGTGTGATGAATCTCTGGTGGGTTTGGGGTCCCCGTTCTTCCCTGTGCACGTGGTTCCAGCTCTTTCTCCCTGTGTTCTGCAGTGGATCTGCTTGCCCTGCTGAAGTGGAAAGCTTACCCAGATCGTGTGATGGATATTCTGGGAAGATTGAGACATGTCAGTGGCGAGGAAATTGTGAAGGTACTACATGAAATAACAGTCTGGGATAGTGAACTCAGACCCACATTCAGGCTTCTGAATGTGCCCCCTTACTGTGCTTTTTGATTCCCACTGTGAATTCTTACTGTGTATGAATTGGGATTTTATTATGATGTGAAACTGAGCAGGAAATTGCATTTCAGAGATTAGTGCATAGTTAGTCCTTGGGATCAAAATAGAGCTAATCCTCAGTAAAATTCCCTCAGCCACATGAGCTGGGAGAGGTGGGTCCTCAGCAACAGTTGCTCCACTCTGCAGGCTCACACAGCTGCTGGAGCAGACACAGACACTGGTGGAGGTGTTTTGGGCAGTCTTACCTGTTCAGTAGTATTTCCTAAATGACAGTGTGAGACCTGGCCCAAGCATGGTTAGTCCTTTCTAGAGTGAAGAAACAGCTGACACTGAGAAAGCTTGGCTTGCTCAAACCGGCAGTGAAGTCGATCTGTGTTGATGGTTTGCAGATATCTTCCAAATGTCCCCAGAAAGGACCTTGAAAGTTGAGTTTTGCTCAGGGGCCACTGAACCATCCTGCCAACCCCTTTTCCTGTCCCAGCACTGTGAACTGTGCCTAGAGCACCACTTACTCTCTAGTGCATCCAACCACCACCACCACCATTTCTGTCTCCCAGGTCGTAATTTCGCTGTGTTTTGTAACCACTGTTGCTCTGCGTGACAATTCTTGTGTGACCTGAACTTCCTTAGGTCCAAGGAACTTCAAACTGCATTTGAATATCTGTAGTCTCAGCAAAATAACCCTGCATTCCAGATTCCCTCTGATAATTTTAGGGGTACTGAGAGCTCTCCCTAGAATTTACTTAAATCAGTAAGTAAAAGAGGATTTGTAACAGCAAACAACCAAGGAGAAGAAACCAAAGACAAATCCATCACTTAATTAGTAAGTGATGATTAAAGCCATTCAGTGTAACACATCTGAATGTTGCCATACCTGGAATGTTAGTCTTCCTGATAACTTGGTAGCAGTGACAGAAGAGCACCAACCCCATCTATATTGTGGTTCTTCAAGAATGTCATGCTTTGTGTACTTTGCAGTGCAGTACAAGTAGCTGGTTTTTATAGAGAAAGACAAAGAAGGATGTGGATTAAATTATTTCGTGGGGAGAAGTAATTGATTCCCTCCATAAATCAGCTGCCATTTGGCACTGGGATAACAGAATGCAATAATTCAGAAAAAAAGAAATTTTATAATTTCAGGGACTTCATACGTTGTCATAAGTTATTTCTTGTTTTCCACATCATAAATTTAAGTAGAAGAGATTAAAAAAGTCATGAGAGAATGTGCAGTTGATGATCTGGAGCATCCTCCTTCACAGTCATCCTTTTGAAGACTGTGCTTTCAGAAAGAAAATCATGGCATTGTCAGTGCTCAGCAGGCTGAGGTGTTAGAGGGGAAAGAAACAACAGGCAGTTTGTAACAGGACCCAGTTAATGCTTGTTAGAAAAGCTTTACTTGCTGTCACATAACAAAAGTTTTCAGTATTAAACATAATTTGGAGCTTTAAATTTGATGCTGAACAGTACCTGATACACTCTAATGACTCAAGAATGAAAGTGAGTTGTTCTGCTACTGTTAGACAGCACTTTTAGTCAGCTCACAGTGAGAGGAACACTCAGTCAAGTTTACAAATCAGGCATGCTCCTTATTTTTTGTTTTTCTGTCATATTTGTTTAGAAATACTCCCTGTAAAGAGAAAAAAACCTTCTTGGTAAAAACAAATTATATGGATGGAAGTGAAGTGGTTTGTCCTTGGCAAGTTTTTCACAAAGATGCCAACATGTATGAACTAATTAAAGCAGGGCAGAAAGACCTTTTGAGTACAATTTAATTTGGAATTCTTTGTTTGTTTGTGTCATTTTAGTTCCTACAAGACATTCTAGACACGTTGTTTGTAGTTTTGGATGACAACACTGAGAAGTATGGTCTGTTGGTCTTTCAGTCTTTGGTAAGCTCCTGGATTGTTATTTACCTCATGCTCAGTGAGTTTTAAGTTTCTTGTCATCATGTTGCTAGCATTTTACTTCCATAAAATATGAAATATTCAGCTGGATCCAGCCTTATGTTTCCTGTAACGATCTTGGGTGAGGAGGGCAGGACAACCTCGACAATCTGAGTGCAGCAATACCTGCTCTCACTTGGGACAAGCAAACAGTGACATCTGATAACACACATACTGTTTAAAGGAGCTCATGTGTGTATTTTCAGTGTTCCTTAGCTTGGGTAACTTGTTTATAGATACTTAGGAACAACGTGCAGGTTCCTGTAGTGTGGGTTCACTCCTTCATCTCCCACAGGTGTTCATCATAAACCTGCTGCGTGACAGCAAGTACTTCCATTTCCGGCCGGTGATGGACACCTACATCCAGAAGCACTTTGCAGGAGCTCTGGCGTACAAGTAGGTTTTGTTTATCTGCCACTGGAATGATGTCACCATCCCAATCATAACCTTCCTGTCAGCAGTGGTTTCCAAAAGTAGAATTGCTCAGCTGGGAGTTTTCCAGCACAGCTGTGGGGAAAAGCTGCCGAGTGTCACCTGAGCGAGGCCAGACTGGGGCATTTCTCTTGCCCTTCTGAACTGGCAAATCTTTCTCCTTTGTTTAACTGAAGAGACACTCACTCAGCAACAGCTCATTATCAGTCTGTACTAATGAGCTACCAGGAGCATACACATCCCTTGTCTTGAGCATGTTGGGATACCAGCCTGGAGTGAAAGCTCAGAGAAGTAACTGTAACTTCCTTTTCCAGAGTAGACAGGTTTTCACATAAAATGATGTTCTGTTTGAATGCAGTCTAATTTCAGCAGACTATAAATTTAAATTTCACTGTTACTTTGAAGATTCTGCCTTATTTTCTAGTATTCAAAGACTCTTGCATCAGATAATGAGATAGATTTTTTTAAAGCAGTAACAGTTCTCATTCAGGGTGTTGCTTTTCTTTTACACCATTTCCTTGGTATATTTGAGAGTATTTTATCTTTGGCCACAATAAACTATTAAAACCAGCTTATAATTAGTTTTGATTGTTTTAAGCCACTCACATTTGTGTGTAATTAAAATAAATATAAAAAATATTTTGTTAATGGCAGGTTCAAACTCATAGATACTATACAACACTAGAAGTCATAGTCATGTTCAGAAGATAAAAATACGTTCTGCTTTGTGTTGTCACCTCTTTCAGACAAAACAAATAGGTTTTGTTAGTAATTTCTGAAATAAAACATGGTTTTAATACACCTTTATAACAGTCCAGATGGTGGTGTGTAGTTGGGAAAATAGATGTATGTCTTTTCTTTGTGATCTTAGTTTCTAAAGACTTCTTACTTAGACAAGAGCTGGAATTTCTTATTACAAAAAAAAAGGTATATTTTGGTCTTAGAACCATGCCTTTATCAAAGCTGTCTGTTTAATAACATCTTTTTTATGTTCTCTTAGCGTTCCTTATTATCTAAGCCAATTACAGAGAAGAAATTACTTTCTGCTTTTGAAACTTAAATAAATGCAAATTACTACGTCATTTCAGTATCAAGGACAGCTATAACTGACCAGTGAAAAGAAGTGAGATGAGGCTGGTTTATAGATCTCTCCCCACAGCCCAAATGTTTGTTGCCTGTGTGATTTTAACCCGTGCTGAAGGTTCCTTCGTGTCCCCTGCAGGGAGCTGATCCGCTGTCTCAAGTGGTACATGGACCGCTCTGCGGAGCTCGTGCGCCAGGACCACATCCAGGAGGCCATGAGGGTGTGTATGAGTGCCGGTGTGGGCTGGCTGGCCCCCCTGGGGCTGCAAACTGGGCATATACACTCCATTTACGGGGTCTACACCGTGCCCTTAAGCAGCAGCATTTTTAAATTTATTAGGCACAGTTGCTGTGAATGAAAGGTTTACTTTTCATTTCTGGCTGTGGCTCCATTGTACTATGGTTGAAGCTCTGGAGTATTTTCAGCAGCAGATAAATGAGCCTTTAGGTGGATGGAAATGTTTTGAATTAGCACTGCACAGGGCACGAGCCACAGCTGCATGACAAGAGTAGGAGGGCACAGCTTTCCAGTGGTATGGGAAACACCAGGAGTGGTTTTGCTGCTGTTAGAGAGAAACCAGAGAATAAATAAAGCATTCATTTTACCTTGTGTAGTTGTAAGCCAGGAGGATGGTGTGTCAGGTACATAAATACAAGATTCCAAAATTTGAAGGAAGGTGTTTGATGGAATGTTTTTACTGTGCTGCTGTCCCAACACTTGGGTCTGGGCACTCGTAGAGGTGGCAGCAGTGGCAGCATTGGCACTTGGTTTTTCTCACTTGTCAGTACAAATAGGTGAAGCATCTCCCAGGTGAAGCACAACGTCAGTACCATTAACTCCTGTTAGGATCCTGCTCAGATAATACAGGGGTGTTACACCAGTGTTTACCTTGTCCTGTGTAGATATTTACATCTTCTTTGTCTTATTTTTGAACCACAGATTCATAGGGAATGGTAAAAATAGGGCAAAGACATCTTTTCAAGAAATTATTCTTTTTTTCCCCCATTCTTACCTTCCCTTCCCCCTTTTTTTTTTAATTGCAAAGAAATCTATTAAAATTACGAGATGAGAGGAAGATCTCTAGCTGGAATGACTTTGAGGATGTTTTCTTCCCTCTCAAACCACTCATTAGTGCTCTGTGCAGTGCAGCAAATGGAGATGTAGGATATTGTCCCTATGTGATCTGCATTTTTTGAATCTCATGGCAGTCCCCTTGGGAATAGTAACAGTGTGACTGTTGGAATGCCTCTCAGAAGCTGGGATCAGTCAACTTACTGTTAGTGAAAAAGGCATGTCCTGTCTGGGGATCCAGGGCAGCTCTTTGCTTACTGGGAATCTCAGGGACTTGTAGCTGTTCCCTCCATGACTGAGGTCACTTTGAAGACCTGACAGCCCAAGGCTTTCCAAGCACAGGAATTACAATTACCACCAGAGTCTGTGCAGACCTAACAGCACATCCTCCACCACCCACACTGCTGCCACATCTCATTCAGACAGTTGCCTTTGCAGGTGTATCTTGGAGGCCCAAATTAAGATCTTTCTCTCCTTTCTGTTACAGCCAAGTGATTGATTTCATTTCCTTCTTTGTTTCCAGATTTTATTTCAGGCATTTAGAGCAAGTTTGTACCAAACCCATTATCATTGCTAACATGTCATTACTAGTGGTGGATTCTACTGTTGGGAATTTCTGTGGTCTTTGATGTGTTCACTGCATTCCTTGCATTAGTAGTTCTTATACCAAGAAAACAGGATAGCTCTCGATCCCTTTTTCCCTGAATTAGCTGTTAAGTGCAGTACCCTAAAGCTGGTGTTGAAATATCTCTGCACTCTTTTTTGGCTCTTGACCGGTCTTGCACATTCATGGTGGATGTGCAGATGTCCCATAGGATTCTGTTTTCCAACCCTGGCATTAGCAAGTGGTGCTCTGGAGTATTTCTTAAATTTCTCACCACCCTCAAGACTGCTCTTAATTCTCAAAAAACTCCTGTGAAACTGTAGCTCCTCTCCTGAGGAGCTGTGATGAGAAGGACATGTCTAGCTGTGCTAGAACACGCTCGATCGTGCCCCTTTGTTATGTCCTGTACCCAGCTCCACGGGAGCTGCACTCGGGTACAGCTGCCTGTGCTCCTGGAGCCTTCTGTAGTGAAGTGCCTGTGAATGGCTGCACAGCCAGTTTTGTTGTCCCTGCTCATCAGGGCAAAACTTAGGAAGCTTCTCGAGCCCTTCCAGCTTCAGTTATCTTCCAGCAGTGGAACCACAGGTGGGTTTTGCCCAGACTGAGGAACCTGCTCGCAGTGTGTGTGCTCAGCAATTGCGGGAACATGCACACAGACTGCGCTTGTGAGGGACCTCCTTTAACTTGATACTGATTTTTATATCATGCCAAAGGTAACAGAAGGCTGGAATTTTATTTCAGGGCACTTTTTTGTGTCTTTAGGCACATACACACATCATAGCTGTGATTCTGTGGGTAGTAAGAGTCAAAGTTAGTCCCAAGTGCTGACTGTGCTAACGAGACTTGGTTTGTGTTTTTGGAATCCCAGCCATGTGCCTGCAAACACACAGAACTTTGCACTTCACTGCCTGTGTGGGCTCACTGTTCAGGTTCTAAGGATGTCAGAGCCTTGCCATTTCCCCTTCCACAGGGAATTATGGAAGTTCATACAGAAATCCTCTGACTCCTTGCAAAACATAATCTTCACACTGAAGTTATGAGCTTTCAGGTTAGAATTACGGTTGTCTGTCCCAAACCCATCAAACAGCTCATAGGAGCACTGGCTGTGCTGGATTTGGTGTTAGCACAGAGGTGTTAACCTTGAAGAGCTGACTGTGAACCGACTGGCCTTCATCTGGAAACCAGCCAGAAATGCACCTGCTCTTTCCTGATGAAGTTCTTTAATGTAAGGAGGTTTCACTGGGAGATGGTTTAATACAGAAGTTGAAATAATGTGCTGCTGAATTACCAAAGTTCCATGATTTCCAAAAAAGGGGGAAAAAAAGGCTGTCAGAGTCAGTGGCATTTTTGAAATCTGTGATTGCTGAATCTCCAGCCTGTTTATTTCCTGTGCTGAATTTTGAGGCTGTAATCAGACCATGCATCATGCCCTGCCTTAATCCTGCTTCCGTGGTGAATCATGTTAAGCACCAAGGGAAGGAGTGAAGACCAGTGTCATTGATATTTACTGCATGTTGGTGTTGACAGTTGTGTGCACCAAGTGATCAAAAGGCTGTGTGGAATGTCACCCTGCGGGGTTGGTGTCTGGGAGAACTGTTGATAGGTTGGTAACTTGTCACAGCTGCACAGAACAGTGTGTTCTTTGTTGACATTGGTAAATGCAGTTCTGTATAATGCCATTTACAAAATGTTAGAGATGTTTAGGTTGCAAATTCAGACGTACCCTGAACATGTCACAGAGCAAATTCTACCACAAAAAGACCCAATTTGCTAGTCCTGCACATCATGTACTGGGTTAAATTCCATCTTGGGTGTGGGTTATTCTCCCTCTGCTGGGTGCTCTCCAGGCTTCACGTGGATAAGAAAGAAAGACACCTTAACTTACCAGTTTGAACTAAAGAGATGCTCCCTGCAGTGCTGCTGCTTGTCCTATGCTGCCAGAGGGCTTCACATCCTGCCCTTGCCTCCTGTTTCTGCATCTGCATTTGCTTCTGTTGCACATGTGGCTGCCAGAAATAAAGGTGAACGTTGCTGGTGTGTTCAAATTGAAAAGCAGATTTACTGATTTCCAGGTAACCCTTCTTGTGTTCCAGTGACACTCCACTGATTGTAATCTAGAGTAGCTAACTCAGATAATTAATGGTACAATTGGAAAGTAAACAGGAGAACAGCTTCTTCTGTCACTTCAGTCACTGTGCCAAGTAATGAGAAAACTAGAAGTTCCTTACCTTCACCAGGATTTTCCTAAAATTATGTAACTCATATTTGTCTGTTTGACTTCAGTGCATGATTTTGTTGTTAGTGGGACATGCTGGTAACAAAGATTATTGGTTGGGAATGGGTACTTGCCTCTGAGCAGCTCTTCCTTAACTGAATGATATAGCTTATAAAACCTGTTTTTCTTTCTCCTTTCTAAAGCTGAAGAATTTAGTAATTATGCACCTAGAATCTTTCCTGGTTCTCTTTAAAGCTCCTTTATTTTTCTTTCTCTCTTTTTCTCTGTCTTAATCTCCTTCCACTCCTGCTCCTTAAGGCCTTGGAATATCTTTTCAAGTTCATTGTCCAATCTCGGATCCTTTACTCCAGAGCTACTTGTGGAATGGAGGAGGAGCAGTTCCGCTCCAGCATCCAGGAGCTTTTCCAGTCCATCAGATTTGTGCTCAGCTTGGACAGCAGGAGCTCTGAGACTCTCATCTTCACACAGGTTTGCTATTTTTTACACTTCCACTGGCAAACCAAGAGGCAGCTGTTTTCTGCATGGGTAGCAGGTGTGGGCACGTGGGGATTAAATGCAGATTAGTAGAGTTTTCCCCTCCAACAAGATGATGATTCTGGAAAACAACACAGCCGGTTGAAGGTGTTGGGCAGTATCTTTGCACAGGTGAGCTGGACTGGGGGCTCTCAAGAACACGAGAACACAGTTTTTGCTCTTCACAAAAGTAAACTGCATTTTTAAGTCTCATTCAGGTGTCTTATTATTGGCCTCAAAAATTTTTAAATCCTTAATTATAGTAGTTCAAATCAATACTTAACAGTCATAGCAGCATCACAGTAGAGAAGTTCAATTGATGTACTCACAGTCAGGTAAACTTAATTCCAGCATACACTAAAACTGTGGTCAGAGTCATGTGCAGCCTGACCACATTAAATGTGACACTCACATTTAATACATAGTTCTGAATATGGCCTAGGGGACTTCAGGAAGACTTCACATGGGCTTAAGCTGCTCCTCAGAGTGAGTGAGGATGCTGCTAAGTTTTGATTCCTGTTTCAGAGATCACTGCAGTATATTATGTACTTCTGCATTTGAAAGTTCTGAACAGCAATGTCAAATGTGCCGTGGGTGCCTCTGCTCAGGCAACATCAGAAGGGACCACCTAGAACTGCCCGGTAACATGGAGGGGATTCGTCCTCACTAATGCAGAGTTCCAGATGTTCTGAACACCTGCAGTGGTTTGCCAAAGCAGCAGCTGCTGTGAATGTCACAGCCAGGCAGTGACTCTGCTGGTTGGGGAAGCTGCCAGTGGTGTGATCTCTTTCTTAAGGAGCTGCTCTGGAAGGTTTCGAGAACAGCTGCTCTGATCTTTTATTTAATCACCCATTAGTGGGTATGGTAAATGGGCCAGGAACATGAGGCATCAGCGCACAGAATTTTGCAGACAAAGCGGTGGTGAATGGAAACAGCATCTTAGGATTGTTTTCCAGTTGAGTTGGTCACAAATACAGAGGGAGACTCACTTTGAGGATGGGGGTATTATCCCTTTTTCTCTTTGTTTCTCTTTATTTATTTTTCCCTCCTTTCTCTCACTATGGTACTTCTTACTTTGGACTTTTGTAATTTGTAAAGCCTGTCCTTATTTAATCTTTGAAAAGTTTGCTTTTTGTTTCCCCCTTGCCACTGTGTTGCCCCTCGATCCCACTTGCCCCCCATAGGCCTCCCAGCCTGGAGGGCAGGCGAGCGCAGCCGGGACTTGTGCCCCACAGAAATGTGGGGGCACGTCAAGGCCGTCATTTAATTCTGTAAGTAACGACCCCCACAACTGCACAAGTGTTTCGTCGTGGATGTTCCCAGTTAATCTCTCTTCCCTACCCCAAACCCTCTTTTTCCTGCATATAAACTGGAATTTTATGTTCAAGTGGCTGGTATTTCGAAACTGGGAGATGTGGAGTATTTCAGTATTAATGGAACAGTTTATGGCATCCACACACTGAAAAGACAGGAGTGAGGGTGTTCATGAGATTATGTAAGTCAAATTGTTCAGAAGAGCCAAGGATTTGTTTATATTTGATTATTAGTTCTAGAAATCTGGACAGCTGTTAAATACCTACAGAAATGCTCGAGGCCCCGGCAGACATAATTTCCCTCACACTTGTCCTCATCTCCAGGATATTTGAGAGATCTCAGTATAGTTCTTTCCAGCAATGAGAGTAAAACTGATTTCCTTCCTTCCAGGCAATTAGTTTTGACATGAGTAATGCTCCAGCCTATTTTAGGGTGTTGCACAAAAACGGGCCCTTCAAGGAACTGATGAAATGATGAAGCCTCAAGAGAGCTCCAAAGCTTCCTGAAGAGATCCCATAGATACCCTTGGATTGCTCCTGGATATACAGAAATCCTTCTGCTTTACAAATCATAGAAAGTTTAGGAAAACTTCTGTAAGGATATCTGGGGCCAGTGTTGTAATTTCACTTGATATTATCCCAAAGATAAAGACAGTGACCGGATTTGTGGCTGTTCCAGCCTTCCAAGAGTTCCAGGAGCTGTTGAGATGACTCAGACTTGTTGATTTTCTTAGTACATTTTATGTATGTAGCAATAAATAGGTGACAACACCCAGGAGGCTTTGTGGGAGTTTGTGTAATCTGAGTGGATTGTAACAAAATGAGATGTTGAGAGAGAAAGGTGAACTTGCATTCAGAATAATTTAATGAGCTCTATGGTGTTAGTTGTAAAAATAACCTAGATTTTGCTCAAACACTGTTAAATAGATTTTGTTGTTGTTTGAAGGAAAAGATGCTTGGAGCACAGAGTTGGTAAAGGAGGAGACTGGGTATTATATGGATTAGGGGAGGCTTGTCACTGTGAGGGAGGTACAGAAATGTTTATACAATGGCAAAACAAAAAATCTGTGAGGAAAAGGAAATACTGAGAATACTGAAGTGTTGAGACTCTGGAAGGGCAAAGCTGAACAGAGATCTGCACAAATTCTGGTACATCTGAACTTCTGCAGGAACTCAGCGTGATCTGTGTGGAGAACTTTGGGCAGGAGAGGTGGAAATGGCACAAAGGGAAGAGTGGAAGTGGGGCCAGTTCAACAAAGCAACAGTGTAGGAATTTAAGTAGTTGTAATGAGGAAGCAGATACAGACCTTGGCTAGGATGTGGAGGAAGAAAGAGAAGAATTATAAAACATTAGAGGTGTGTTGGCAGTTTTCTGGTAGGACATCGTGTCTCTGGAACTTGAGCACTGGGTGGTGTGTGGAATTTTCCACTCTTGTGAAGAAATTAATTGAAAAATGGGAAATAGGTTTTTGTTGCTGTTGTGCTGGTACTGTTTGCACTTGAGGAAGCACTTCCAAGGATAACTCCAGCTTACTGGAAATATCTGTTACTGCAGGAATCACATGTGCACTTGCATGATGTGATGCCTCCTTCACGTGAAATCACACCCCACCCCCTGTTGCAGACATCCCCAGTGTCACATGGCAGTGCTGCTGTGGTTAAGGGTCTGCCAGCATGTTCTTCAGGATATTTTCTGAAGACTTTTAACTGTCTTGGGTAGTTGCTTAGTACAAAAAAATTTGTATGTAACTCTAATCAGAAGCAAGTGTTGTATTTATTGAAAAAAGTAAATCAACAGAATGGACTATTTTCTGTCCTCTGGTACCTCACTTTTGTCCTGTGTTTTAAGCTCTGTCCTAAAGTGCAGCCTTTTGGAGCTGTGTCTGTGCTCCACTTACTGTGAGAGTATTGCAGCAGCACTCGGTGTTTATACAGTCCCTGTGATTTGTTCAGTGAACTTAGGGAATCACAAACCACGGGCACCAGGCACAGCAGCCCTTCCTGCAGACCCTTAATTCTGTTAGTGCTGCTCCCACCTCACCGCCCCGGCCGCACTCACAGAGTTCCCTCCTTCCCCCAGGCCGCTCTGCTCAACTCCTTCCCCGCCATCTTCGACGAGTTGCTGCAGATGTTCACGGTGCAGGAGGTGGCCGAGTTCGTGCGGGGCACGCTGGGCAGCATGCCCAGCACGGTGCACATCGGGCAGTCCATGGACGTGGTGAAGCTCCAGTCCATCGCCCGCACCGTCGACAGCCGCCTCTTCTCCTTCTCAGGTGAGGCACCGGCTCCCGGGGCCAGTCCTGCTGCTGACCCAGAGCACAAACACGGTCTGTCATTTTGCCAAATGTCACTTGATGCTTTGCATTGCTCTGCCACTGTTGCCAGGGACAGGAGGAATATCTCCTTTTCTTCTTATGCCTAAAAAACAGGGATAGTCGTGTGAGAAACCCACCACATTCCTTTAAAGTATCATTAATCTTTATAGTGTAACTTCGGTATTTCTTCAGCTCAACCTTCTAGTAATTCTTTTAAGAACTGAATGAAAAACGGTTGAAGACTGTGGGTTTATGTCACACATAAAAGTGTGACTGAAAGAAATAATGAAGATAATAGTGGGAGATAAAAAGCACCATTGGGTTTATCTTCCCTCAAGTTAGTGCACTCAAATTATTCTTCTCAGTGCATGGTGAGAATGGTAACAGCACAGAATCTTGTCTAAACCATCCACTGTAATTGTTTATTAATATTTTTTTTCCTTAAATTGGAAATTATTTTCCTTCTCTCAGAGTCCCGGCGCATCCTGTTACCTGTGGTTCTTCACCACATTCACCTCCACCTACGACAGCAGAAGGAGCTACTTATCTGCTCTGGGATCCTCAGTAGTATCTTCTCCATAATCAAGACCAGTTCTTTGGTAAATCTGCTGCTTGATTTTTTATTTTTTTTTAATTGCACCACTGATTTAGTAAAATGAAGACTGAGAGATTTTTGTAGGTTAATACAGGTTTTTCGAAGAAACTTTTAAAAACAAAATTCTGCTAACTGTCAGCAGGAGAACATCTAAAATGGGGGTCTGGGTCTGTGTGTGTGACTCAGAGCATTCTGATTACACAGTGTTCTTGCTCTTAGGAGGGGAAAAACGCATTCGCATTCACCAGGTTTGACACTGTTTAATTTTCTTCATCCAAGCCCAGAACTTGGATGTCAGTGGGGTTTAAAAGCTCTACACAGCTCGAGGACTTGTAGTTCTGCAAGAGACAGTAACTAGCACTTTGTGATTCACATTAAGAGAATACTCTGAAATTATCCAATCAATGAGATCCCACTTAGTTCTGGAAATTGCTGCTGAGTTTAAAGACCCAGCTTTGATGGTCATAATACTCTGATCTCAAAAGGGAACCAGATCATTTAAAGCAATGCTCACAAAGAGGGGGTGGGGAAGCTTCCCCACCTGACTCCAAAGTAGGAAGCTCATGGTGCTAAATATAATTTCAATGTGTATTTCCAATTCCAAGTCGTGGTTCTGTGTGAAAGGAATGAGATGGAAGGTATGGAAATAAGCTAAACTAATACTGCCTTGGAATTAAAGTTCCTGAACATAATTTCATCCCGTTGTGGTTCTAGACCTTTGATTGTAGATTTACCTTAATGGCTGTGACCATGAATGTTTCCATCTGAGACTGTCAAGGGAACACACAGAACAACAGGAGCTGGTACCAGTGAGGACTTTGATTGCACTTTGAACCTCTGTTGTGGAGCTCTATCCAAATGAGGTTGTGGTATGGCCGACTCAGCAGAATTGTCTTTGCCATTTCCATTGTCTCCAGTTTCTAACTGTGTGTTTGCTCACCACTTGCTGTAGGAGGGAGATGTCGTGGAGGAGGTTGAGATGATGGTGGAGAGCCTCCTGGACGTGCTTTTACAAACCCTGCTTACAATCATGAGTAAATCGCAGTCTCAGGAGGCGGTAAGAGGGCAGCGCTGCCCGCAGTGCACAGCAGAAATCACTGTTAGTAACTAACAATCAGTTTCTATTTCCTGCTTCTCTAACCTCTGGTTCAGTCCCTCACCACCACTGGCACCTCATCATCATCTCTGCTGCATGAACACCCAAGGCTTTGGCTCTTTCCCTTGATAAGCCCCAAACCCACTCCTTCCTCTGTACACTAGTGAGGGCTGCAGGAAGCAGTGGAGCTGAGGAACATTTTGTGCCTTTCCAGGTTATTTTCTTGTTTGTCTTTGCAGCTGTGATTGAGAGTTATTAATTAAAACTTTAGGCCTTGGGGAGCTGCCTCAGGCTTCACCCAAGGGTAGATGAGTGTGAGGCTGTGACTCCCAAGACTGAGAATATGATAATGGTCAGTGATTGTCCCTCTGCTAAAACACCCTGGAGAGCTTCTGTCCAGGGCCACAGAGTATTTATTTATTATATTTTTTCCAAAGAAATTAAGAGAAATTAAGAGATCCTAAGTCAAGTGAGCTGTTGAGCTTGGTGGGGAAAGAGGGAGTGTCCAGGCTGTGTCCAGGCTGCCAGCATAAGCCACAGGGAAGAAATATTTCTTTGCCATGCAAAGAAAGAGAAGAAAAGGAATAGAATTTTGCCATTCAGGTTTCTTCTTTTCTGGATTTGTGCCCTTTTCTATTCTAGCCTATTTAGGTCTATTTTTGCTTGTCAGAGTCTCTAATGCAGCTTTTGCACAGTGTGGGATGTTGAGCTGCTGTTCAGAACATCCTTTTTTTAGACTTGCTTTTTTGTCAAGTGGCTGAAGCCTCATTGGTGCTGCTGGGGGCAGGTGTGCACCAAGGTAACCTCTCACACAAGGTTGTATCTCCCCTTGTCAGCCCAGATAACGAGCTGGTCTTTGATACAGGACGAGAACGGTGCTGCCTTGCAAATGGCCAGTAACCTCTCAGCCTACCTTTGCCCCTGCCATTTGACTCACTGTTTATCACGTGCCACCTCGGAGAGAAAAGCACACCTTTCTTCCTCGGGAAGTTCAGCCCTGTAAAGTTTACTGGGACAACCTATGTGAAAACTTCTGGGTAGGGAAAAAAAAAAAGAATGGGCAGTCCCACGTCTAAAATCCCCTTGTATTTGTTCCTCAATTTACACATTGCAGCACAGTGATACGTGGATTCTTACTGGATACTGCTCAGAATGTAGTTTGTGTATTTTCCAAATTAGTTGCTCGTTGTTGCAGAAAAGAACAGTGTCGTGCAAGGGTCTGGCAGTCAAAACACCCAGTACTGATGTTCTTGGCAGTGCCTTGCTTGTTCTCTTGGACAGATTGCTTAACTTCTCTGTGCTTTGCTTTCAGATTTGTAAAATGGGGGAGCTCCTCTTTGGAAAACACTTTGGGATGCTGTGGTAACTGGTTAGGGGGCATCTACTTTGCAGGGCAGAAATGTAATTGTAGCTCAGCTTATCCAAACTGTTCTTGGGGTATCTGACTGCAATCCTGTCAGTACTGCAGCTATGACAGCACAGAACTTGGTGAACACTAATAAGCCATATATTTACAAGATTGCAGACACCTTCTGTAGCCCAGCATGATCCCAAGCTGTCACTGCTACACTGGTCTGAGTGTCTGAGCCAATTAGTCCCAATAATTCTGGTATGGCATGAGCTGCAGTCACACCTCTGACAGACACTGGTTATTAAGTCCCTGAGAAAGGTGATTGTCAAAACCTGCATGCTTGGAGAGCGATTCGTTCCTGTCTGTATTAATAATTTAAAATTATTGTTCATGAGACTGCAACATTTATTAAAAACCCTTTAAAACTGCCATCTGTGGAGGAGCCTCTGAGAGGTGTATTCCTGTGTATTAACAGTAACTCAGGAACTGTTAACCTGCAGTACTTTTAATCTCTGCATGACAGCTCTCCCCTCACAGGCATTGGGGCCATTTCAGACCCCTCCCTTTATCCCTTCCCCCGGGTTAAGTTGTTTATTTAGGACATTTCGAGATTGTCTGAATCAAAGAGTTTCTCGTTTGGTCAACAGGGAGAATATGTCTCCTGCCTTTTATCTCTGCTCCGTCAGATGTCAGACACTCACTTCCAGCACTTACTGGACAACTTCCAAAGCAAGGATGAACTGAAGGTACACCAGGAGATGATGTTTGTAGGGCGATTCCCTCCGAATGGGAGAGCAGAGGGGAATCTCTCCAGCACCACTCGCTCTGCTGATCATTCCCAGCCACTGGCACTCTGTTCAGGGATCTTCCTTTCGCTTTTATAATCAGAGATGTTTTGTTGCAAAAAAAACATTTAAGACCACAGGGCACTGAATTAGCTTTATAACAGCAAATAAAGTCCCAAGATAGATGTTCGACAGAAAGGATATCGTAACTGTACCATCTAAAACACACTCAGAGGAACAGGGGTTTTTTAATCCTGTGAATGTGAAGTCAGTTGTTGTAAAGCATTTTACTAGATGTTCAATATGCATTGGAGCTTTCTTAAAAAGAGCATTGATTTTATGCCAGAAGAGAATTTCAAGCCTTTTGGGGGATACAAATGTCTCTAGCAGATGAAATCTTTTTTGAGAAAGCAGTAACCTTAGCACTCCACTTGCTGCACCCTTCTTTGTGAACATTTACTTAAATTAAGGCTCTCCAGGAACAGCAGGGGTTGGGGAGGGGTGCAAACCTTGCTGGTGGCTTTTTGCCTCTGACATTTTGGAATGGCACATCTCACAAAAGCAGAAACCTTTTACCTCAGCTTCCATTGGGAGGAGGAGTATCTCCAATGACAACCTGTTTAAAAGACAGAATAATCTTATAAATAAAGACAAGCTTTTATATAAAATGCTTTTGGTTAGCATGGCACTCACTAAAATATACACAATAAGAACAATGTGATGTGGCAGGAACTTCTGTTGCCTTAAGAAATGAAATGGAGAAACAGTGAGGAGTCCTTTCTGAACAGATTTTCAGCTTCTAAATGTGTGCATACAGAGAGGCTGAATAAATCAGGGAGATGAATTTGGGTTGATAAAATTCTTATTTTTAGATTGCAGGGATCAGTGTACCTGAAGTTGATAGTTGTCTGAGATTACTACCTTTCTGGTGACTTTCAAATGGTTCACAGGATAATGATTTGGGAAATTAATTCCTATGAAATTCCTATATATTTTAAAAGCTATTTTAACTATATGTCTTATGTTCTTACGTCAGACTCACGAAAAAGGTCACTGAACTGAAATTTGTCTTTACACCCATAAGAACAAACACTGTTGTATCTCTGATAATCTGAGGGTGTATTCCAGGAGAGGAACAAAGGCTGAAGATTTTATATCTAATTTTTTTTTCAGCTCTCAGTTGACCTAATAAAATATATTGCCTTTTTTTTCCATTCAAAGATTGCTATAATAATATTTTCAGTACTTTTTCTGGCATGGAAAGGTATTATGTTCACTTATCACTATTACACAAAGAGCAAAATAAGGCCAGAAGTCAAGGACCTTCTAATGCTTTGCTCTGTGCTCAGTTACACCAGGATATTAATCACACACCCCACAGAAACCCTGGGCAGTTACTTTCTGTGCCATCATCATTTTATGTGGAAGTAAACCAATAAAATCATAATTTGCAAAACCTGGGCACGTTCAATCCTCACTGTTGTTCTGTACAGACACAGAGGGGCAGGCAGTCAAAAGCCAGAAATGTCTTCAGGTTTGGGGATTTTTTTGGAAAGCAGATATTCACCTGAATGTGTTCAAGAGCTCTTTGCTGCTGCATGTTGCCAGAAATGGGGTTTTCAGTTACTATTTTAAAAAGAGTGTGTAGGAGTTTTATTGGGCTTGGGTGTGTGGTTTGTTCTCGAATTTGTGACGTAAGTGCTAAGAGATTTGGACAGATGAATTAATTAAATGAATGCATAAATAAGTGATCATGAGTCCAGTATATTTGAAAATAGCTGCAAACTGACACTGGAACCCTGGGTGATAATGTGAGAAGTCATATACAACTATGCATATAAAGAAGATTTTCATCTTACTGCAGAAGTTAAGATTTAAAAGAAGTTGCAACTTGTTCAGTACATATTAGATGCAAACAAAAGGAGTAGAGCCATATCCAAAAATGCATTGCTTCCATTTTGCAGGTGAATGGCCTTGCAACACAAAGCTCAAGTGGAGCACACTTAGCTAAAGTGTCTTTCTTGTAGTCAAGAAAATAGATTAATCTGCAGCTGCTGGGGATGTTTAAGGTTTTTTCCCTGTGTGACAGGAGTTCCTCCTGAAGATTTTCTGTGTGTTTCGGAACCTGATGAAGATGAGTGTCTTTCCTCGAGACTGGATGGTGATGAGGTTGCTCACCAGCAAGTAAGTAGAGAAGCAGGTACAATGTTGTTGACATTCTGTAGCAGAATTTGGGCAGTTACAACCTGTGATGCTGTGTTTCAGCAGGCTGGGATCAAGACAGGAATTCTCTAGTGCTCATCCTCATTCTGCTGTTATTTTAACACTCTGGACCAACCCTCTGTATTTGTTCTGTTTGTTAAACTCTCCCAGAATTCACAGACATCAAAGAGTTGGAAGCCAAAGATGAGGGAGCTGCCCTGAGGGTGAGGGGCACAGTGGCTCCCACACCACAGGGCAAGGACCAAGGGCTGCTAACAGGCCTCTCCCTCCCCTGCTCAGGGAGTCAGATTGAACATCTGTGCCTTCCTATAAACATCACCCATAAACCCAGCTGGGGGGAGGACTCAGGGGTTTTGGAAGGGGAGGAGCAGAGCCCAGCGCTGGCACCAAAGCGTTCCATACAGAGATCCTTCTCAGTGCAGTTGTTTTCTGCCACTGGAATGCTTCAGTTTGTCTCAGTTTGCTTGTGAGGGGTTAAGCTCTGTGCTGTTTGGATTGGCAGCAGTGCTGAACGCAGGGTGGCTGCAATTATTTAGTAGTTTCCTTCGCTGGACTGGCTGTGGAATTACCCCTGACTGAAAGACAACCGGGGGTTCCCATTACAAGGGAACACCCTGGGAGTGTTCCTGAGGGCTCCCTGCCCAGCTGAGCTGAGTGCTCTGTGAGTCCACCCTGCTAATGAGAGGTGAAAGGAGCTCATTTCAGGATTTCAAGCGTGAAGATTCAGTGAAGTTCTGTAGGAAAAGAAAAATCCATCTGAAAGAGCAGCTCCCTCAGATGCTGCAGGTTATCTGTTCCTTTTGGTGTTATTTTGCCACAAACCTTTACACTCACAGGTGTATTCAGAAGTGCTGCTGGAGTATTGCTTGCACGTGAATGGGATGTGCTCACTCCTTTGATACTATTGTTGCCTTATCTACCTGGTATTTATTAATTCCTGAATTTATCACGTGCCTTGATTGCCTTTCACTAAAGTGTATTTAGCCATCAGCCTTGACTTGAATGTGAGGCCAGATAAAGGACCATTGTATAGTGAAGAACAAAGATAGCTCCAACTTTTTGAGTTGCTCTTCTCTGGGGAAAAAAATAAATCTTTCTGTTTAAAATAGGAAGACAAGGAGTGTCTTCTTCCATTTCATTGGAGGTCATAGGCCCAGCCATGCAAAATAGACAGGATTTTGAATGCTCCTGGGTGAATTTCAAAAGCTACAATAATGGTGAAGGTTCTTAATCTTGTATCACTTAATACAAACTGTTCATTAAAACACAGAAAGAAAGGTGATTTCTGTGCAAATCTCACTGTGATTACACAAAGAACACTCATCTCTGTGCCTAAAGTTAAATCAGCACCACCAACCACTGTAACACGTTGTACTCCAGATTCAGATGTTCTTTTTGTTTTCTTCTCTTTGTTTCTGCCTGCAGTATCATCGTTACAACAGTGCAGTACCTGTCCTCTGCCCTGCACAAGAATTTCACTGAGACAGATTTCGATTTTAAAGTAAGGATTGATTCTCAGAAAACACTCTGACATCTTTTTAAACCAGCAGCAATAAAGGAGCAAGAGCTGCTGTCTGCATTAGCTGATTGTATTTGCAGCATTTCTGTGGGTGTCTGTGAGGAAGATGACCTGATAAAGGACAGGGCTGGGAATCTGCTGTGGAGTGGAGGGGAAGCAGAACAGATACAATGTGAGATCAAATCAGGGAAAGTGAGCCCTTTGTGAAGGAGACAACTGTCCCCATAAGCAGTGGAGCTAATGGCATGTGCTGTCTTCCAGGCTGATGGAATGTAAACTCAGGCAATGCTCTTCCTGAAGGTGGGGTATTAATGGTCTTCCTCTCCCAAGGGTTTCTCGTTCTGGCTGCTGACAAAAGAGAAGGGGAGGAACAAGGGATCTCAGACAGTGTTGTCCCTATGTGAGGTAGCTGAAGATGGGCAGCAGGTCAGTGTTAGGAGGGCAAAGCTGCCAGACATGTCCCTGGGGACACGTGCACACAGTAGGGCTCAAGTTTTTTAAGTTAATAGGTTTTAAATAATCCATTGGTATCCTTAAGAGTTTAGTATCTCCATTGTAAGAGACACAGTGATTAAGTGTTGATTACAAAAAGGAGCATATGTCTTTCTACTCTTGTTTAAAGCTTAGTCTTTGGAGTGTGAATGTTATAAAATCCTTTCCCTTGTCACAGGTCTGGAACTCTTATTTCAGCCTGGCAGTTTTGTTTATAAACCAGCCAAGTCTCCAACTAGAGAGTGCCACACCAGCCAAGAGGAAGAAGATTCTGGATAAGTAAGGACATGTTTTGCTGGGTCCCCACCTCAAAAAAGAGATTTCTTTTTCTGTGATTTATTATGTTGCTTGGGAGTGGAAGTGCCTGGGAAATAAATAAGTAGATCTCCTAATTCAGTGTTCAGTCAGGTGGTTTGGTATTCTTATGTTGACATAAATGTGAACTGAATGTGTTTTTAACAAGTGGATTATTAGTTTTTTTCACATCATTGCTTTGCCAGCTTTTGTTGCATGGGCAGTTGTGTCTCTCTCCTCTTTCAGGTACGGTGACATGAGAGTGATGATGGCCTATGAGCTGTTCAGCATGTGGCAGAACCTGGGTATGTCTCTCCTCCTCTGACCTGACAACCAAAGCCAAAGAAGCCCCCACTTCTGTTGGATTTTCTTTTCTTCTTGTGGCATTACAAAACACTTTGTTTCTCTGAAGAGGTGTAAAAGAAGGAAGCACTTCTCTTCTCCCACCAAAACCCTCCTGCACTGTCCATCATACTATTTATTGGAAATAATTCATTCTTAGGAATTTGAATGCTTTCTCCTCACATGTGACAGTGGCAGGGTTTGGTTGTTTTGACACATCAGTGACAGATTTGATGTATTTGCAAATATAAAATCTCTTTGGCTGTGCTGCAGTCGTGTTCATATGCAGATGCACTGTTAACTCTGACTTTTCTCTGACCGTGGCTGTTAAGCAGGAATTTAATTTTTCGCAGCTATAACCAACTTTATAATTTTTTAGATGATTCAAAATTACAGACCCACAGAATCATTTAGGTTGGAAAAGACATTTAAGGTCATCAAGTCCAACCATTAACCCAGCACTGCTGAGCCCACCACTGAGCCATAGCTGTGTGTTTGGTAATACAGCCCAGCAGGGGCATACAGTAAAGCTGCTTTTGTGGTGTCTTCAGGTATTTAGTATGCATAACAAACTCTGTGTTACTACTTTAAGAATTAAAAAAAAACCAAAAAACAAACCAAACAAAACAGAAAACCCAACCTAAAACCTACAAGAGCCCTGCCCACAATAATGCAACATTTGTGCTGAATTTTCTGCAATTCATTTGACTTTCTCCTAGATATCTGGATTAAGAAATTAAACATGTTACAAAATGAGAAAAATTTATATCTCTCCACAGGTCTCAAAAGGTAAATGGAAGTTTTTCACCTGGGACTGGCACTTTTAGAAGTGTGCTGAGGCAGTCTTGGTTTGGGTAATTTAGGATTTGGAAAGGTCAAATAACAACTGAACTGAATCAGAGCAAGTCCAGCTGGGCCAGTATCCTGTCTCCATCAGGGACCAAAAGGAATACCTGTGGAAATGTTTGAGAAGGAAGCATACAGTATTCTAGAGCAAAATAGCAAAATGTCTGCTGATAGAGATCACAAATACAAAGAACAGGTGAATCATTAAGAGGGCAAAAGAAATGGTACAATTCAAAATGGATAACTTAATAATGTGGCTGCAATATATTAAAAAAGCCAGGAATGAACATTTTATGTGCAGGAATGCAGGTAGGATGCTGTTCAAGAAAACAAAGACTACAAATGTATCATGCTGGTAGTCAGCTGAAGGGGAGCTGCCTGTGAAATGCCACAGGTAAAACACACACTGTAATCTTTGAGAAAGTCTGCAGGAATCTTGAGTAAGAGAAGAGAAACCACATTAGTGCCACAGGTTTTTTGTAAGTGTACTTGATTCTAGATGAGTTTGCCCAGTCCTGCCTTCTACAGCTTAAGGAAACAACCAAACAAAAAGAAAGCCAACCCACAAGGAAGGCAAGTTGGGCAGAGTTGAAGCAACAACCAGGAAGAAGACTCTGAAAGCAAGAAAATGTCTTATGCTGTGGTGATGAATAAGCCTGGTCTGTCTTGCACAGCTGAGATGATCCAGCCAGAGCTGGTCAGAGTTCCAAAGCATCTGTGTGGGAACAGAAGATCCCAGATAACTCCAGGATAACAGAGATCCAGTAGCCAGGAAGTGATGCTGCACAAACTCAACTGAGAGGAGAGAAGCTGGTTTTAGACATGTGGATACAGATATTTGTCACTGCATGCTGTTCCAAATGTGGCTCTTTTGAGCTTCTGCCTGTGACTGTGCAGTGAGGTGGCACAGAAGAGGCTGTCAGCAAAATGCCTCGGGATTCTGTTGGAGCAGCAATTCCACTTGGTCTCAAGTCTGTTGGGAAATTGGAACTGCCACAGCACCAAAGGATGAAGAGCTCTGTAGTTCTTTGAAATCTAAATGTGTTCTATTAACTACCATTGTTCTCACCAGCCCTTTCAAAATCCTCTTCATGAATCAGAAGTATCCCTGGCCTCTTTTCCCCCAGTTAGTATGTTTTAGTTGGGTTGTATCTGACAATTTGAATTCCTTTGCAAGTAAAATGCACTGACAATTCTTGCTGAAGGCTTTCTCAGTGAAATTAAAAATGCTCTTAGAGACTTCACAAGGTGTAAAGCAAATACAGATTTTTCATTCCTTTCAGGAAAAGAATGTTTGGTTTTGTAATGCTCATGCCTACTACTTTGTACATGTCATTATTGCAGGGCCTCTCTGTTTTCTTAGTGGCAGATAACAAAGGCTTTTATTTAATGACATTTGCTTTGTGTTGTACAGGTGAGCACAAGATTCACTTTATTCCGGGAATGATTGGCCCCTTCCTCGGTGTTACACTTGTGCCACAACCAGAAGTCCGGAATATCATGATCCCCATCTTCCACGACATGATGGACTGGGAGCAGAGGAAGAATGGCAACTTCAAACAGGTGAAGGCACTTCCCAAGCATTCCCAATATTCCTTTTTTTTGCTCTGTCTGTCTGCAGTGTCCAGCTGGAAGCAGGGACTTTGTATTTGTTGACCTGTTTCTGATTGTGAAGATGTTGCCAAGTAAATATCTATAAAACCAGAAAATTTGAAACATCATTCACAAAACTATTACAAGACTCCCAAGATTGTTTAACCAGTGCACTTTATAGCAAACTGAACTGAAGATGGGGAAGAGGAAGGACGTGCTCAGCACATCAGAGATGGGCAGAGGGGGAATTGTTGTGAGTGCTGGGTTGTCACTGCTCCCACTGGTTTCACTTAGATTATTAGTCAGCCATTAAATGGGCCAGACTGAGAACCAAAAATGGAGATGTGAGGTTCAGCCAGTGTTTTTGAAAACAGTGATCTCTGCTTCTCTGTCTCCGATTTCCAGCTAGGAAGTGGTGTTGTATAATTAGATCATTTTACCGTGCTTTGAAACAGACTTTGGAGCTGTATTTATTTTGAGAAACTTCAGCAGCTCTCTTGGAAGGGTTAAGTCCAGTGACAGCTCTGCAGCTTCCACCTGCTGTGAGCTGTGATTGCAAATCAGGGAGAGAAATCTTCATCATTCTGTTTCCCAGCTGTGGTCAGAGAACTGCTTAAATTTTCCACTGCAAAACAGATCCTGAAATGCAAAGCACTGATAATGAAGGAGTGGCTTAGACTGGATCCTCAGATGACAGTGTTTCATTGTCATTGTGCTGGGGCATGTATCTGCAGAGAAGTGCTCTGAAGTAGTAAATCATCATTAAATTATCATGATTCATGTGATTAATTATTATTCACACAGTCATTAAAATGCCAGATCTAATCTATCATTCCAGGAGAATAGCAGACCTTTCCCATAACCTGATCTATTAAAGGCTGTGTGGAAAAGGAGCTTCTGTTTTTATTCCTCTTCAACTCCCTTGATTGCTACTGTTGTTATTATTTACTACTATTATTATTGCAGTTGCATTTGATCATGGTCCTCTTTTAACAACAGAACAGTCCCTGCTCTGGCATTTACAGTTACAGGCACCTACAATCATCTTCAAGTTTCTGGACCTGTTTATATTTTCTGTATCAAGATGAACTCTTCATAATCTTCATTTAATTCTTATACTCATTAATGTATTCTGAACTACAGCTCCAAGAATATTTCCTAAATTACCTGTGGAGCAAATTTCCACACTTATTTTATGAAGCATAACTTTCTACGGTTAAAGATGGAATAGTCATCTGTATTACTAAGAATGAAATAAACAGTCAAATAGCACAAGACATAATAAACCCCATTAACAATGTCTGCTTTCCAGTACAATCCTGGATAGCTGGACACAGGAATTACTGATTTCTGTCAAGTCATTGTAGATCACAAGCAAAGGGAGGGTTTTTTAATTGCGAGCTTCTCTTCACCTTTTGAATGCTCAGCTGGTTGTCAGAAAATATAAAAACCCCTGGAAATTAATTTTCAAGCCTTTTTCATTTTCTTCAGTAGCTCATGTTTTAACAAGGTTGATTTTCAGCAAGGCTGGGTAACAATGCAGTCTGAGTCAGGGATGAACTCTGGGCTCCCTTTAATGATTTCAGCAGCAAGAGCACCAGCTCCATTTGTGTGCCACTGGGTGAATTGCTTTTCCTTCTCATCTTTATTTCTTTTGCAATTTGCCAGCTGAAAAACAGAGAGAAGCTCAAACTATGCTTGTCTTTAAATAAAAACAAGCCATATTCCTGCAAATGGTTTCAACCTTTGGGAACCTCTGTCTTCATTTGTACTGAAAGGGTTTTTTCTGCAACATTTCCCAGACTACTTGAAATTGTTTTGTTTAATGTTAGATACATTGATTTCTGCACTTTAATCAATTTTATGAGAATATCTGATATCAAACTTGATAATAGGATGTATTAGATTTAGGGTGGGAATTAATATGTATTCAAAACACTTCTAAAAGAAGAGAAACACAGTAATGCTGCTGTGGCCCTTTATGTAAGTGTGAAAAGCAAATGTGTCTTGTAGTCATAGAGAGGCTTGACAAAAGGGGGGTTAATCAACAAATAATCTTACAATATAACGATACCTGGATGGGAAATCAGTTACTCCCAGCAGAAGCAGCACAGCAGCCCAGTGGTGATGGACAGTGAGCTGTGGGACAGGATGCAGTTTTCCTGGGGTACTGGTTCACTGCAGGTGTGTCTGAGTGACTGATTCGATCCCTTTTCCTGCAGGTGGAAGCCGAGTTGATCGATAAGCTGGACAGCCTGGTGTCTGAAGGAAAAGGTGATGAGAACTACAGGGAACTCTTCAGCCTGCTGTAAGCTCTGCCACTCTCTGCTCCTCTGTTTGCAGGGCCAGTGAGTCACAGCACTGAGCTGTCAACCCCAGCACTGATCTCTGGAGAGGGCAGCAAAGGGCCCCCAGCAGGTCTTCATGGCAGGGCTCAGGGAAGTAGAAATGCATCACTTACATCAATTACAGTTCTGAAACGAATATAAACCCCCTAAATTCTTTGTGTTCTTTCTGTGACATCTAAGATCAGGCTGCACAGGTAAGTAGTTATCATCCTCCTATCAAAGGCTGATTTGCTAGAGGAGCAGTGCCCTTGTTTCTCCACAGCAGTAAAGGAAATCCTGGCCTCAGGGTCCTTTAGAGATACAGTGCACTGCAAGTCAGGCCTTGGTGGAGCAAAGGACATTTTCCTCATCCTTTTCTTTTGCTTCTTCCAGTTTTTGAAGGCCACGTTTTGGTTGGTTCAACAGTTGCAGGTTGTTTCCCCCAGAGTCCATCGTGACACTGTATTTCCACTCCCCTTCACACCAACAGTTTGTACCCACCAGGATAAACTTGCAGACTGTATGTCTGACTTTACACTTAGTTATCTTTGAGTCCTGATCTGTCTCAATGTTTCATTTCCAGTGATCCTGGTTCATTTCAAAAGGACTCACTTTGACAGTCCAGAGCAGTTAACCCAAATCTGTTAACATTCCAGTGAGCAGAGGATCATTAGCAGGATTTTAGCCATATATTCCAGACAGTTTTCTGTGCCCCCCAATAGCACACTGGCTGTTTGAGGCAGGAACTTCTGTTTTGCCAGAACCAGTACTTGTGTTTTTGAATTTGCAGTTGCACATTCATTCATTTCAAGCTAGATAATGCTGCCCTTCCTATGTGCTTATCCTCAGGGAGTGTGTAAATGTATTCAGTTTGGATTTGTGTATGGTCAGCCCTGGCAAGCCTGGGACCTTATGAGTACAGATAACACAAGGCTATTTCAGGGATAAAGAAAAGAAAATATCGATTATTTTTTTTTAATTCACTTCCAAGAGGAACAGTGTGCAGTTCCAGTTGAAGACATTTGTTACCTGAAATGTTAAGAATTCAAGGGCTGTAGCTTGTTACTTATTTTTAGGTGATGGTGACAGGATGTATTACCAAGAAACACAGCCTGGAATTCCAGCAACCTGTTAGTTTATATTTACCACTAAGTGTTCTGAGAACAAGGTGAGAAAACAATTTGAGGAAACAATTTGACAAATTAATCAATGCTGTGTGAAAAAAACAGTTGAGCCTGAATTCTACTGTCTCAACTACACTGGTGAAAAGGGAGCTGGCTGCCTGGCTGGAAATCATCCAGTACAGAAGAGTTTGCCTGACACCCAAGAGAGCTTCTTTCCTAGAAGTGGAGAGTTCTTTGACTGGTAATCCAGTTTCAGGAAACCAACATTTAAATTTCCTTTTTTTCTTCACTTTTTAAATATAATTTTCAGTGTTTTAGCCTTCTCTCATCCCTCACAGCTCTCTCCCTGAGATGGGTGCTTGCTGTATTGTCTAATTTGTTAGGCAGGAACAGGTTGTCTTTATTTCCAGTTTAATTAAATTTTGATTCAGGGTTGGTTGGTTAGGGTTAGAGATGAAAGTTTACAGAGGGATGAGCAAAGAAGAGGTATTTGCAGTAGGTTTAGACTCCTTTCCAATTTCTGACTGCTGTTACCAGTGTTTAGGCTACAGGTAATAATGTGGGAATCAAGTCTTGCTGTGAGTGTTCCTCTTTTCTGTCTTTTAAATGGCAATGTGAGGATATTTTTCCTTCCCCTGTCAATTCTGTAATTTCCTTGTCTTTGCTTCACGCTGCCTGGAGTAGAACCCAACTCTTTGGGCCTTATCCCAGGTAAGATGGTAATTCTGTGCATTTTTTTATGAGGGAGAAACCAAGTTGCCTGAAGCAGCCTGCATGCACTGTGCCATTCCCCTGGAAGCCTCACCTGCTGTCTTTCCATCTCCAAACAGTTTGCTGGAGAAGATTGAGCAGGAAACTTGGCGGGAGACAGGAATCTCTTTTGTTACATCAGTTACTCGGCTCATGGAGCGTCTGCTGGACTACAGGTACTGGCACCACCAGTAATGGATCTGAGCATAAGCTTGGGAAGACTTAGGACCGAATTCCTGCAGGGAATATTTTTAATCTCTAGTTTTGTACTAAAGTTTGTTCAGGTTGCTAAAACACGAATTCCGTCCGTCATTGAAACGATCTCGCCCAATTCAGCAAAACAGATGCTAAATGCAGGAATGATCTCCAAAGCCTTGGTGACCCAAGGGTGCTGGATGCTCCTCCAGGAATGCAGGGTGGAGAACTCCATCTGTGGGAAGTCTGCCATGTCAGCTGGTGACTCCTGGGCAAGATTCCTCCATAAGCTGGGCAGCCTTCATTTAGTTTTGGACTGAAGTTTGCAGGCCTGGCGTGTCAATGCAGCTGAGCTTTGACTCAGTTACCACAAAGAATTTTAACTTCAGATAGATATAAACACAAGAGAGCTTTTATGCAATAACAGACAAATTGAGCCTATATAGAACTGGCCCAGATATTTCTATCTTTAGCCTACTGACAGGAGTTCAAATAGATTTTTCTGCTGCTGCTGCTGCTCATTAGAGGTGAAAACCCTGGGACTAGGCTGGGTCTTCTGCTGTCCCAAATCCTTTCCTGTGCTTTTTAGTTTGCTCTTTTCATTATCCCCACCACTTTGATCCAATCTCCTGGTTTTTTTCCTGACAACAACCACTCGACTGTGCACAACCAGGTTTTGGAGACACACTGAAAGGGAAAGAAGGGGAGCTGGTCTCGGGTTTTTCTAAATGAAATTTGCTGTCAACACAACATTGATATGCATTTTCATGCTTAATTGATTTTTAATACACAGCAAATTTTTTTTCATTCCTGGAACAAAACAGGGCACTGCATTGGAATTTGGAAATACCCAGGCTTGGAGTCCAACTGCCAGTTAGTAGTAGCAGTTCTCAAGACAGTTTGCTGTGTCGTTGCTTTAAAAATCAAGTCTCTTGTACTGCTTGAATAGAAATAATTTCTAAAATATTCCAGAATCTAAATTTTGTTGTATAACTTACCTATGAACACATTAGAAATCCAGTCTATCCAGTCTAAATCCTTCAGGTTGTGTCTCTCAGTGTGCCACACCGCAGTGGTAGCTGCACTTTTGGAGTTATTATTTATTTAGTCCCTTTGGCTGGGACTAGAACGTTTACATCTGGATAAGAAGAATTTCTCATTGTTATAGTAGATCTTGCATTCAGATTATTTTTGGCCAGTATTCACTGATTTTTGTTCAGATTCTTGTAAGAAAGGAAGGAGCAGTCATTTCAGGGGCTTGTTCTCAGGTACAAACATGTAAGAGAATGCTCAGTTCTCACATCATTTAAGTCATGAAATGGAAAGTTCTCTTGGAGGAACTTTATAAGATGAAGAATATGAGTAACTGTGATCCAGGGAAACTGGAGGACAAGATAACTTCACATTTGTTTTAAAAGGACAGTTTTTGCAGATGTTTGTTTCAACACTGCTCTGCTTTCTTAGGGACTGTATGAAAGGAGACGAAACAGAGAACAAGAAAATCGGCTGCACTGTTAATCTTATGGTAAAGATGTTCCCCTTTTCTCTTTGTGATACTGTGCAGTGTTTTTGAAACTGGGTTGGGAGAGTTTGGAATGGGAATCTGTGTCAGGCAAATGTAGCTTCAGAATCCAAGCACTGGGATGACAGAACAGAACGAACAGAATTGTGAGGTTCCCCTGGAGGTCTCTGGTCCAACTCACTGTTTAAAACGGGGCCAAATAGGTCAGGCTCCTCAGGGCCTTGTCCAGCTGAGCTCTGCATGTCCCTGTGACAAGTTCTACAACCTCTCACACCTTTTCTTTCAGCTTTTTACTACCTTCACTTTAAAAAAAAAAAATCATGACACAAGAAAATCAGTGGGTTAGATCAGCGTGAATGTGAAAAGAATTATTTTCTTTTCAATTAATAATATATTCTCTTTCCAAGAGCTCTACACACACACAGATGCTGCTGATTGTCCTGAGTGAAGGAAGAGTCTCAATTAGGGTAACAGCTCTCTCTCCTCCTCCCCAGAATTTCTATAAGTCCGAGATCAACAAGGAGGAGATGTACATCCGCTACATCCACAAGCTGTGTGACATGCACCTGCAGGCTGAGAACTACACAGGTGAGCAAGACTCGTCTGGAGTCTGCCTGAAATCCTGATGACGTTTCTTTACTCTCCCAGGGTTGTGTAATGTCTCATTCATTCTCCTGGAAAAGATCTGTATGAATCAGTTATGGCAGTTGGGAAGGGAAGGAGCTGAGGTGCAGTTCCTTCTCTCAAGTGAAATACTGTTTATGCCACACAAGCACGTGACTGTTCCATTATACTCCACATTTTATATTAAAGTGTTCTGTGAGGAAGACTGATCAAAAAAATCACAGCAGTGGAATCAAATTTAGGGGAAGATTAACAAAACTGCCATTATATTATCATATGCTGTATTTCCATATTGGAGTGTTGAGGGAGCACTTAGAGAGTGTAGGGACTCTAATTCTGTGTTGTCCAAGCTGGTTACATATCTGAACACCTGGCTGTGCATTTAAATCAAGTGGTAAAAAGAAACTCGACAGATTTGTACCTAAAAATCGAGTTCATAGGAAACAGCTTTGTGCTGCTATTTTAAGTAATTGAATCATTTAATGATCCTCTAAGACTTTGATTTTTTTCCTCACATTGTAGATCAAAAATCACAGACTATTTAAGAAGCAGGTCTGTGACCTTTCAGTACAGGCTGTGTTTATTTGCTGTCATTGATTCAATGTTCCGTAATTGCCTTTCCAACAGAGGCTGCATTTACTTTGCTTTTGTACTGTGAGTTGCTCCAGTGGGAGGACAGACCTCTGAGAGAGTTCCTGCATTATCCATCTCAGTCAGAGTGGCAACGTAAGGAAGGTCTGTGCCGTAAGATTATCCATTACTTCAACAAAGGGAAGGTATGCCAACTTCTTCTCTCTTCCAGCAGCTTCCTTCCCTATTCCTGACTGACTTAGGGCTTGCAAGCCATCATCTCAGTTCAGTAGTCTGGAAATAAATTTGTATGCAAGGGTTTTATAACTTGATAAATTGCTTCTTGGCTCTCAGGGCAAAAAAAAATTGCCAGTGAGAAAAGGGATGTGGGTATTTCGTGATGGCATTTGGAATGGTGTGGGGAGGCCAACAGGGCAAACACCAAAACATTTTGTACCTGTAACCAAGCCTAGGATCAGCTGATGTGGCAGAATGCCAATTCCTCAGCTTTTGAGAGGTGGGATTGCATTTTGTAGCTGTCTGTGCAAACTGCTGTGCTGTGACTCGCTTTAGGTTAACCTACGCAAGGAAATGACAGGCAAAGCACTGTAGGAGTCCCTTTAGTAAAAAAGATTTAAGTCTTTTCAGAGTCACTGTTATTTTAAAGTGATTTCCAATTAAAATGCAGTTCCATCCACTGCACAAGTAGAAAATCAATCCATTTCAATTTCACATATTCAGTGTGGATTTTCTACAGTTAATTATATTTTATTTCAATTACTGCAGAGGTAGAAATTTCAGTCCCTTGTGTTGTGGCGTTTTGGGAACATTTCAAAGGTGAACCTTAGAAGTGATATCATCTGTTAGAGTATTTTCAAATTTTCCCCTTCTCTAGGAAAATTCCTACAACTTATATTATTGGGAGATAACATCTGTATGTTTGCCTCAGGGTTGGTTTTGCCTGTGATGGCAATGACAGTGGCATTAAATAAAAATGTGAGTTGGTTCGTACGGGGCTGCCATTCCAGAGAATTCTTTCTTAGCCCTGATAGTGGAGAGTTGCACAGGCATTTTCTACAGAACCTGCAAGAGGAAGTCAGAGTCCTGCGTGAAGGAAGAAATGGCCTATTTATGAGGAAGTGATTAATTAAAATTGTGTGTGTGTGTGTGTGTGCCAGAATTGTTCTTTTGTAATAACAGTGCATATGGTTCTCTCTTCCATTTCAGAATTTTTCAGGGTTTTCCAGACTGCACTTAAAAAGAAATTACTGACTTGTGCAAATACTGCAGTACTGTACTGTCTGACTAGACAAAGATGATCTAGAGAGTGTGGACAGCAAGTGAGCCTGTATTGTCAACAGAAACAGGGAATCCATATACACACTGAAGGGGAGTAAAAACTTGACAGATGTAATTAGGCTATAAAACTCCTAATAGATTATAGAGTGTGAACCTCTTGAGGTTTTTTCCCTACTGGATGTTTTTGGAATTACTTGACTTTGTGTTTTAATCCTCCTTTATTACAAATGGTAGCTGAATGATTAAATAATCCACTTGAGCAGTGTGCATGTCACTCACACTGTGGAAGTGAAAGGCTGAGAAGCCAAATCCTTCTTTTCAGCCCTCTTCCTGTTGCTTTGTGACAGGGAACAGCTCAGGGAATGGAAGGAACTTGCCTCCCTCAACTTGTGTCTGAGTTTGTTCCTGCACTGCCCTGTCATGGCCCCTCAGGTCCTGCCGAGCGGGATTTGTTCTCGTGCCCTCACTTGCATTTCCAGTTAAAGTCTCATGCTGTTCCTGGCCTCTTCCACCAACTGAGGGGGTCAAGGCAGTAGCAAAAGGGTGTAAAAGTTCTGCATTTGTTAGGAGGAATATTTTCTCAGCTCAGCAGTGGGGGGAGAACTGGCCACAAGACTGTCTGGTGGCGTGGCCCATGGCAGTGGGTGCAGAGCTGAGGGGCTCCCACTCTCAGTCCTGGCAGCAGCAGCCCCGTGCTGGGAAGGAACAGGGTGTTCCAAAGCCCTTTTTAGCCTTCACTGCTCCTGTGCCCCTTCCTGCTGATTTCTGCCATGCTTTGAATTGGTTTATGGCTCAGCTGGCAGCGTCTGCAAGAGCATAACTTGAAATGAAGGTATTTTTAATTCACAGTTCCGATTTTGTCTGTTCAAACTCAAGGTTTTCAAGTTGAAGACTGTGAACAGAACAGTTTGAACCCAGCTGATCACGCTTCTGCACAGCAATAGCTTGAAAACTGCCCAGCCCTCCTCTGTCCAGTGCACTGCCAGATTTTATTAATTAACAACTCTGAGCAGCTCCCATCCCAGCACTGCTGTGTGTCCTCCTTAGCACCAGCCAGGTGCTCAGCTCAGAGCTGATGGTGCCGTAGGAGAAACTGCAGTAAATGTCCCATGGATGTGCCTTACAAGTACCAAAGAACAAGCAAACAGATCTGAGGTCAGCAAAGCAGAAAGCAGTACTGAGGGGAATTAACAGTGGAGACATTAGGAAGTTATTTGAAGAGGGAAGTGACACACAGAGCACATGGAATTACATATTCCATTTCTGTGCTGTGAAGATGCTACTGATGAACATCACAGATTTTAGAACTGAGGCTCCCGGTGACTTGGATATGCATTCATTTCTTTTCCTCTTAAATATCTGCAGTCTTTTCCCTCCAAGAAGTTACCTGTCTATTGTGTTTCTTTACTTCTCTAACTCATCTTTTATCAGCAGAACTCAGCTAGCACAGTGGAGTTTCTCAGGGTGGAAACCTCACTGAAACAGAGCCTGAGTTAGGATGACAGGAATGGTATCCAGGTACACGGAGAAGAGGTGGTATAAAGAGGAATTAGATGTGGTTACATGTTGCTCATTTAATTGACATCAGAAAAGGAGCGTGAAAAGGTTCCATCTCTCAGATGACCCCAAGGGAAGACAGCCAGTGAGCTTTCTGCTGCTGTCCAGAAGGCAGAGTAGAGAATTAGGTAGGCTTTAGCCACAGCATCCCATGTGGAAGTGAGACTGCTCACAGTCTGGGAAAAAAACCATTTATTCCTGGCCAGATGTTTCAGGAGAGACTTTTCCATCCTTTCAAGTCAACATAGATGAGCTGAGGACTGCAAATCTATGTAAAATATCTCTGTGAAGAATGGTCAAACTGTAAAAAAATGCAGTGGTGTTTGGGTTTGCAAATTTAAACACTTAATTGGTTGATGTTGTTGATCCCAATTCAGGGGATCAGTTTGCGTGTCGTGGGTTTTGACATCCCATGGCAAAAATTCCTGTTAATTTGAGATCACAAATACCTCAGTAACATTCTAAGTAGTCAGGTAACTGCTCTTTCAGTTCCTTTCCTGTTGTATGTATTGTACTGATCTAAATAAATCTCAGGCCTCCCATCCTCTCAAACTGCTAACGCTGTCAGAACATCCAAATTGATTCTGAAAGAATTTTTTATTTAGCAAGTTCTTATGGAAGTTTTTGTAATTAACTGAAGCTAAAGAGTTGTCAGATCATTATTTTTGTCTTTTTAATTCTTACAAATATCCCTTCTTTTAATAAAAAAGTTCTTACACTTGCTGGTTGTGCTGTTCAGATAAAAAAAGCTTTCCTGGTAGTAAGGATGACAGAACAGACACTACAAATGTGTGCTTAAAGGGAAACACTCTGAAGTATTTCATACACTAAAACAGTGTAGAGATTCACTTTTTTAAGTTTCTGTAACCAGAAAACTATTTCCATATTCAGTGCTAATATTTTGCATAAATGCTGTTAATTACTGTTATCAGTAATTTACAATATTGTATTAATATTCTTAAACCTGAAGGTGGTAGTTTAACTCACACATTAATTTTGTTTTCACTACAGCAGGGTCCCAGTTAAAACAAGTGGCAAGTTAGCCCAGTAATGAATAATAAAAATTAATCCAGTAAAGGCTCAACTGAGACCTTGGTGTTCTAAATAAGTATGGTAAGAAAGAGCCACTCCCCAAAAGGCTTCCTGTGCAGGTAAAAGGTGATGGAAGAGGACCTTTCAGTGTAAAATGAGCACTCCAAAAAGCCAAGTGAGGTAACAGGGGAGTCTTTCTCGCAGTGTGGGTGTGCCCAAAGTGGGTCTCTTGGCTCCTGACCTGTGGTGTGATGTGTGGTGTGCTAGGTTACTGGGTGAGACAGTGAGCTGAAGAAATGAGGGTTGCTTTGGGTTCTGAGGATGGATATTGCCCTGCAGTGATGCAGGGCTGTTCTGAGGGGGATTTGTCTCTGTGCTGGGTGTTTCCACTGCCTGACAGTTCGTGCTTTCAGTGAGAAGGAGCAGCCTGGGCAGGGGAGAGCGCTTTGCTGTGGAGCCAAGCCCTAACTCTGCACTCCAGCAAAGGAGCTGTTGGGGGTGGGTTGAAGGGGTGTCTAGCAAGAAGAAAAATTGTTAGTTTTATTACTTTCTCCAAATAAGTTCCCAGTCTCATAAATGAACTGTCAGAGCAAGCAGTGTGTGTGTATAATTTCCATGGAACATATGCTTCTGTTCCCATCTTTTAGAAGGAATTGATCCGATATTTAATGGAAATTGTTTCATTGCATTACATTTTCACATCTAATCTCTGCCATTTCATACCAGATGAATTCCCAAAATTGAGTTCCCATCATTCCTCTCAGCTGAGTGGCAATAACATTCTGTTTGCTGTGAGTGTGATTTGCTTTGGCTTCGCAGAGCTGGGAGTTTGGGATCCCGCTGTGCCGAGAACTGGCCATCCAGTATGAAAGTCTCTATGACTATCAGAGCCTCAGCTGGATCCGGGTAAGTAGCTGCACTTCCTTCCTTGCAGGCTCTTATATCATCCCCCAGAGAGTTCTGCCCTCCTGTCAGAACATTCTGAATTTAAAAAATAATCATATTCCCTTTAGAGCTCCATGCATTTCCAGTGGCTCCTTCACCATTCTGATGACTTTGTAGGTCCACTGAAATAATTCCTAAGTCTGGTAGCAGTAAAATCCTCTGGATATATGGAGACAGCATACATGCAGGAGATGGGCTTGCTATTGCAATTGCATATTTACCTATATTTTTGCATAAAATATCCTTTTTTTAATATATATTTCATTTTCATTCCAAAAAATATCAAGGACAGCTTGTCCCTCAGTGATATAAGATGGACAAGAAAGAAAGACCAGAGAAGGCAAATGTTTATGGCATCTATCAGTTTAGAAGAATCTGGTCCTCTGGTACAACCAAACACATGAGGAAATCAGGGCACATTTGCAGCATTGTGCTTTAATCAGAAAAAGTCAAAGTTCTGGTTGTTATTTAAAAGCTTTATGAATGTGAAAGCAGTTCATATCTCCTGTCCCCTGGGCTAGCATGCTTATATCCAAACTTGAGATTTATGCTGTGTGGATGTACTCTTATACACAGTGGTTTAAATTCTCTTTAAAAGTCAAATTTATTCTAATCTGAAGGTACTGGTGTAACAAGGTCTCATAAACTGCACTTCTGAAGAACGTGTTTTCTCCAAAGTGGCCCTCAGAAGAGCAGGGGTGACCAGCCTGGCTGTGCCTCTGTGTGCCATTCACACCATCACCTCATTCCTTTATGCTTCCTGCAATGATTTTGGGACCTTCCCCATTTTAGAGAAGGAGTTCAGGAGTGTGGGAACTGAGCACAAGCCCTGGGTGTGATACTCTGGGTGGGGTTCCCTGCAGTGAAGTGATGGTGTCAAAGGATTCCTCTCTTTAAGGAGCCGTCCTTTCACTGCAGTGCAGTTCCTGTGAGCCTTCCAGCTGAGGTTGGGTTTGGCAGCGGGTCTAGAAATCCCACTGCTGATATAAATGTTAGCACAGTGCCACAAAAGTAGGGATTGGAACTAGAGAAAAGTCCTTTCACTCTTTCCAACCCCCTTTTACCTCCATGTTAAACCTTCTGGTGCATGGAGCTGTAGAAGATTTAATTTTGTTTCATCCTTTTTTCATGCCCCTCAACTCAATTAAGGCAAACCCAATTGAACTGATGTAATTTTCCAGGCAGTGGTATGGATTTTGAGCTGTAGGAGAGAATAGGACACTGTGAGCCTGTGGATCTTAATCTCAGCTTTGCTATTAATTCTGCAGTGCAAAGAAAATAACATTCAAGACCTGTTCAATTTTAAATGAGATACAACAGAAAACGTTCATATGTTATCTCCCAAAATGTGAAATGAGTATGGTGATACTCTACTCTGTTCCACCACACAGACTGGTTTAATTAATAATTTTTATCTTTAACAGAATTTTGGTCTTTTCATGAAATACTGTGGGGTAAAAGAGTAATGGGATATTTTAATGAGTCTTGAGACTGTAATGTAGTGCAGCTTTAAGGGTCTGACAGCAGCTCTCCCCTTCCTCCACAGAAAATGGAAGCCACCTACTATGACAATATCATGGAACAGCAGCGCTTAGAGCCAGAGTTCTTCAGAGTTGGGTTTTATGGTCGGAAATTCCCATTTTTCCTGCGGGTAAGCCAGACTCACTTACACAAAGTGTGACAAAGTAGCTGTTAAGGCTTTGTATTTTTGTTTTGGAGATACTGTGTCTGCCACGCAGTTTATTTTCCACCCCTGCACTAGTGAAAACAGCTTTCTGGCTGAACTGGAGCATATGGTCCATTGGGAATGTTCCTGGGAGCAGAGATCAGAAATTTGACTCAGGCCTACGTGTATTTTCAACAATCTGCAGATGCAGCACAAATTGCCTCTATATTAAGCAAAATGCTGTATCGCAGCAATGTTGGGTCATTACTTAACTAATTTTCATCATCTCAAATTATCACGCTTTAAAAAGTCTCACATGACAGAATTTTAACCAGCCTGATGACTCCCATCCTATCTGCAAGCAAAAATTTCCTCTCTTTAACAGAAAGCCAAACAGCTCCTCTGGACACGTCCCTACTTGGAGTTTATTGTCTGCTGGTGTGTACAGCATCAGCTGGGGCTGCAATCCATCTTAAAAATAAAATTATCTTCTTTTCCTAATGAGGGATCAAACTTAAAATGGGTATTTGTTTATACCACGTCCTGTTGCTAGTTCAGAGAAAGGAAGGAATATAATCTGACAACTGCTCCAGGAGCTGCCTGAAAATTGATGGTAGATGCCATCGAGTGTGACAGCACAAGGTAACGTGAAGCTTTCAAGGACTGGAGGTGCATGGTTTGTGTTCTTTTTAAGGGAATGGTTTGACAAGAGGTGGCACCACTCAAGTTACACAGTATGAAGCCACACAGCCAAACCTTGAAAACTGAACTCTTAAAATTCCCTCTGATTATGAAGTCGTTTGGTTTTTTTAATTAGGATTTCAAGATTGGTGTTTAAGTACACTCTTCTAATGGAAACACGGGCAGGGCCAGTAAAGGCAAGATGGAATTAGTCATGGAGAGGAAAATACCAGTGGATAAAGGGTGACTTCATGTTATTTGAAGATGAACAGTGGCAGAATCAGAGAATCACTGAATCACTTAGGCTGGAAAAGACGTGAGATCACCGAGTCCAACCTGTGACCAATCACCACCGCATCAGCTAAACCAGAGCACTGAGTGCCACGTCCAGTCATTTCCTGAACATCTCCAGGGATGGGGACTCCCCCACCTCCCTGGGCAGCCTCTTCCCTTTCAGGGAAGAAGTTCTTCCTGATGTCCAGCCTGAACCTCCCCGGCACAGCTTGAGCCTGTTTTCTGTCACTTGCTAGCTGGGAGCAGAGCCTGACCCCCACCTGGCTACACCCTCCGTCCAGGCAGTTGTAGGGAGCAAGAAGGTCCCCCCTGAGCCACCTTCAGGGTAAACACCCCCAGCTCCCTCAGCTGCTCCTCACAGCACTCACAGTGCAGCAGCCTGGAGCAGTGCACAGCACCCTGCAGAGGATCCAAGGACAAGTGCTGCAGAGTGAAGCAGGATCTGCCCTTTCATGAAGACCTTCAGAGAAAACCCTCCATTTCTTTTTTTATATCCAACAACAGATGTTCCAGAAAACGAATGACAAAGTCATCATGGCACATGAGTGTTCCTAATGTCTGAAGTACTGCCAGTGACTGTAGCTTTCCTTTTTCAATTGTGAATCCTCAGTTGTATCTGGGACCCTCACGGCCGGTGTGTTTGCATGGCCAGCCCTGACTCTTTGTGCTGTAACAATGTGGAGCCATCACCAGCGAACAGGAGTGTATGTAATTATCATCCTTGTTCATTCTGCAATTATATTTGGTAGCAGTACTTCTGATAGCAAGATTACTAATGTAGCAATCTCATTAAAAGTCATCCTCCTCCTTTCTCTCCCTAATGATCCACAGAGCACACACAGTGCGGAGCATGGACTAAGCCCATTAGCAGTCACATCAGCATGGATCACACTGTAAAGAGATTGGAAGCAGCTATTCGAGAGAAGAAAAAGATTTACATGGATTTAAAATCTTCAAATGGATGTGGAAGTGATTTAAAGTGATCAAATAACTCCAAGCCCTTTTCTCGTTCATTTTTCTATTGCTGTATAGCTTAAGGCAGAAAATAACCACTTCTTTCTTGATTTTGAAGAGCCTTTGTCCAGAAAAGTCATTGTGCATGTTTCTGTGAATTCTGCATACATTTTCTAGCCTTCCTACATAAGTAAGTGAAAGCTAAATTAAAACTGTCCGTATCTTCCACCTACCAGAAGTTCAAGTAAGGCCTGACAAGCCACGTTTTGAGATCTTGTGTTGACATCTGTCTGAAAAGTCTATTAAATTTAGCTTTGAGGTGTTTCCAGGGCATTATTTTTAGAATCACAATAACCTTATTTATAGGCTTACAGTTTTCTAGATTGCTGCAATGAAAAGCTAAAACAGAGAATGCAGGAAGTATTATAAAGAGATTCACCTTCAAACGTGGCCTCACTCCAGATTTAATAATAGCTGCACAGTTTGAGCATTGCAGACCGAGCTGTCAAGCTCCATCATGCGATTCCTCTCCCCGTCCATTGGTTGCTGTGGCTGATGCACATGAAGTGACACATGTCACAGCCGGGACATGAGAGCTCTTCCAGAAGGGGAAAATGCAAAATCAGAGATAACTGAACTCCTTGGCTGTGTTTTGTGATTGGGTTTTGCAGCTTTCCTTTTGATTTTCCTACAAGATCAAGACCTGCTCGTCCACATCCCTTTTCCAGAACAATTAACAAAACATTCTTGCATAAACTGCAGCTTCTAAATGCAAGAAATAAAAGGGAGGAAAGTGTTGTGGTTTGTTAGATGCTTTGTTTTATGAAATAGCTCTCTGTACTTCTAGTTATTTTGTTATGTGTATGAGCTACCAGAATTAGAGAATTTGCCTGCTTTCATTGGTCTTGCACCAGGAGACATTAATACCAATCAAAATGGTGGGTTTTGAGGGTTAAGACACTGGAATACAATCTTTATGACACTGAGGACTTTAGAAATCCCGTATCTTGCTGTTGAGAGTTAGAGATGGCTCAAAAAGCATCCAAGAGCTCTGCACAAGTGGTTCAGTGCCTCAAGAGTCATATCTAAATGCAGCTTTCCATTATTAGCAGAAATGAAATTTTGTTCATCAAGAGGAAAGTGCTTTTAGGGCCGAAGGGGAATTTGCTAAGTGGCCACTGAGAATTCTTGGTAAGGCTTTTCCATATTACTCTGCTGTAGACAGGGGAGTTCCTGAGCGTGTATTGTTCAGCGTGATCAGGGCGGGGTTGTGTGGCTGTGATAATACAGCAGTGATTAAACAGTAGTTTTTGTGAACAGTTTGTTGCAACTTCTCTCTAAGGAGAATTGATAAAATGATAAACATATATCTCTCTCTGTTCTGTGAGGTCCTCAGGACTTTTATCCATCTGGTATAAATTGTATTTGACAGCAGCTTTCCCATTGCAGAACAGCCAAGCTGGTGACTTTCGTTTTAGTTGATACATTTCAGTATGGTCCAATTAAAAACAGTCCCTCTTCTGAAAAGCCAGTAAGAAAGGACCCCAGGACTGAGTGCTGCATGTGCACGGATCAGAGGCATCGTGCTGTTGAGAGATCAGTGGAATAGTCTCCTCATTCATCACCTCTAGATGAAATACGTTGTAAAGAGAAAGGAAGGAATAAAATACATCAGCTGTGTTAAATGCAAGTTTTACTCTCCCATTAGCATATTGACACTGTCATTTATCTTTGGTTTTGAAGCAGTAACATTTAAAGTGAGATAAAAGCCAGTAGACTTTAACTTACTTTTAAGGAGACTCATTTATGCTTGTTCTTCTTGCAGAACAAAGAATATGTGTGTCGGGGCCACGACTATGAGAGGCTGGAAGCCTTCCAGCAGAGGATGCTGAGCGAGTTCCCACAAGCCATTGCCATGCAGCATCCAAACCACCCCGATGACTCCATACTGCAGTGTGATGCCCAGTGTATCCTTCTGTAAGGAGCACACTCTGATGGGAACTGTGGCAGAGCACAGAGTAGAGCTGGAGATGGAGGATGTGGACAAAACCAGGTTCTGTCTGCAGCAGGCAGTAACTGGTTCGCTGTGCTACGTGGTGGTGGATGGAACTGTCACTTTTTAGCAGGGGAATAATGCAGGTCATGTTCCATGTGGAAGAGAAAGGGCTGTGCTTGATCACATCTGTGTTTTAATGCTTTACCATCAGCACTGCCACAATGCAGTTTGTGTCCTTAAAAGTATTCCCAGTATCTTCTCTTGGACAATACTTTGTTGGGAACAGATACAGATTCCAAAGTGCTGGCTTCCATCCTGTTTATTTTCTTACATGAGTATTATTATTTTTGTGCAGTCTCCCTTTCTTTAAAACTGATAAAACCTTTTTATAGCCAAGCCTTTGAAATCTCACCCTTCTCACTGATCACCTGCACTGGGATTTGATGCAGCCAGTACAATGCTCTATGCATTTAAGGACTGAACCACATAACATTTAATGGGACTGCAGGGACTTTGGGAGGGCTCAGTCATGGGAACACCACTGTCTGGCTTGTGTGAGAGCAGCAAGGAGACAGTGCCATAAGGGCACTGTCAGCACATCAGATCTGCTGCCTTGGGTTGCTGTTTCCCACTTGTGTTTCCTAACACGTGCTTTTCACTCGGTAAAAGCTTCCTTTGACTGCACAATGAACAGATTTACAGATCTATGCAGTGACTCCCATCCCAGACAATATAGACGTGCTGCAGATGGACCGTGTCCCGGATCGCATCAAGAGCTTTTACCGAGTCAACAACATCCGGAAATTCCGCTACGACAGACCCTTCCACAAAGGCCCCAAGGACAAGGAGAACGAGTTTAAGGTAGAAGCAGTGACCAAGCAGTGTTTAAAAGTGTTTCATCTCTTCAAGCTGATTTTTGTCTTGTTGTTTTATGCTAATAATGGTGACCAAAGATACCATAGTAACTGAAATAACAGGTGGCTATTGAGTCCATGGTCTGATTGAGTACTGTTGACTCCTGACCTGATTAAAGCATTTTCCAGTTTAAAGCTGAGTTATTTTAGTGCCAGGAGAAATGCATTTTGAAGCAAGGATGGCGCTTCCTTGTTTGGCTGGATTTTTTTCTTACTGACACACATGTCCACATTGTCTTCTTGGGTCCCATGAATTGGTGATCAACCTTTAAAAATGACAGAAATGTTGAATGTGTTGGTTAGAGCAGGTGTACCAAATTCCTGTTTTGTTGTTCAAGTGACCTTTCAGCAAGACATTCTACAGAATGAATGCTCAGGAGGTTAACGTGTTCTGTCCTAACGCTGCCCCCTCAGCACCTGTAGTAAGAGTACAGATTGTGACTCACTGGGTCCCTCACAGCCTCCGTTACTCCTTGCAGAGCTTGTGGATTGAACGCACCACTCTGACCCTGACTCACAGCCTGCCTGGCATCTCCCGTTGGTTTGAAGTGGAGAGAAGAGAACTGGTAACACTCACAGTTCCTGTAATTGGGGTTTCAAGGGATGGGTTACTGAGGACATGGGATAGGCAAAACTCCTTTGGCTGAAATCTTGCAGTTGAAAATAATGGAGTTTACCAAGGATTAAGTACGTCCTTTTTCTACCACCTGATCTAAGTAATTGCTGAATGTGACCAGGGGAATTATGTGAGGGAATGGAACAGTGCAATGGAGACAGTGCCAAAAAAAAAGGAATAATTGCATTGCTGCCACTTCTTCAGTATATAGAAACAAGTTATCACAACTCAGTGACCTGAAATCCAGCACTGCCAATGGTGACGTTTGTTAATGTAGTTAATTTTCTACAAAGCAGTAAAAGCAAAGAGAACTGAACAATCCTAGAGTATCATTTCATTACAAGGAAGATAATAAATCTCAATGAAGTGTCCATGGAATTAAAGTACATTTATTGCCTTTGAGGTTGAAGTAAGTCCTTTGGAAAATGCCATTCAAGTGGTTGAGAACAAGAACCAGGAGCTGAGGACACTGATAAGCCAATACCAGCACAAACAGATGCATGGCAACATTAATCTTCTCAGCATGTGTCTGAACGGGGTGATTGATGCGGCTGTTAACGGCGGAATTGCGCGGTACCAGGAGGTAAGCCGGGCTCTGCTTCCCAATCCACTATCACCCTTTCTCAATTTCATTTCCCTTTCTGTTTCAAAGAGAGTATGACTTAGTAAGATAAGAAATTTTCATGTCCATTGTCTAGAGATGAGGTTAAATCCCCCACTTGCTTATTCTGCATTGCTGCTTGCACAGCCACGTGTCAGCAGGGGGCTCCGGAGGTGGAGCTGGGATCTGGTGTGGAAGTGGGTGCAGGTGACAGGGGGGTTTCTCAAGGATGGCACTTGGCTTACCTGGAAATCCTCAACTGGCAGGTAAAACAGTGAGGTGGATTTTTTTATACTGTTTACATTATAAATTCATTTTGGAGTAGGGGTTGTGGGACTCGTAATTGAGACTGATTGGGCCTGGAGTCAGGAAAGAATGCTAATTCATGGTATTGAACCATTATCCTTGCTGATGGCCTACTCACTGTAACCCTGAAATGATCTTATATGCAATTTGTTATCCAGCATAATCTCTGGCAAGCTGTTACCTAAACTGAGCATTGCAAAAGGTAAGTTCAGGGTAAAACAGTGAAAAATGGCAGCAGTGGTACAGGGGTGTGGGATGTGTCTTCCCAGTGGAGCTGTGGAGAGAATGCTCATCAGGCTTTCCATTAGTTACCAATTTACTCACGTAATTCCTTTAACTTCAGGCAGTTATGTGAAGGGAACTATATAAAATTCAAATAACTGGATGGTACAGGGTTTAGTGGTATTGCTCATCACTGTCACATGGGGAAACTTGGTCAGATTCATGATTCAACAGGATCATTTCAGTTGCCAAGACCATTTTCTCAGCATCCCAGAGTGCTAAAACCAATAAAATTAAGCTCTGCTGTTATATTAATGTAAGATTTCTGGACCTTTTCCTCTCATCCTTTGACACCAAGTTATGATGAAATACCTGCCAGTAAGCAAAAGGTACATTTTTTCCCTTTTCCTGTAGGCCTTTTTTGATAAGGATTATATCACAAAGCACCCCGGTGATGCGGAGAAGATCACACAGCTCAAGGAGCTCATGCAGGAACAGGTACTGTTTTTCAGATGCAAAAGAACAGTGTCTGGATTCATCAGCAGTAAGTCTGAACATATCAGATCAAACTGATTCATTCAGAAGCAGAGTTTGGGTACAGGAGATCTAAACACATTCAAACAAAAACCAGGGGAGATGGGTAAGGAGATTATGACCAGCCTTTCACCTTACGGGATGTGAGGTGAAGCTCAGCTAAAAGTACATTAGTTTTGTTGTCTCATTTATAATCTGACAGACATCTTGCTGCGTTTCAAGCCTGCCATTCATTTTTGGCATTTTGATTTATGTCTTCCCAGCAGATTTCAAAGATAATCAGAGACAGGATAGGTCAAGCTTGAGATTAGACTGGCAGAGCCACATATGAAAACTTAATGCCTGTTTATATTATCTGCAGTTTTATTTTTCTGTAATGTCTCCATGAGACATCTTCATAGATAAAGCTGCAGGATGCTTTGATGGCAGTGAAATCAGATAAACTGAAAGTTTGGCAAGATATACCCCATTAAACAATGTGCCCAAGTCTGAATAGAGCTACTAGGTCTGTTTCTTCTTCAGCAAATCACTGAACTGCATTTCAGATTCCCCATCTGAAAAATAAAGATAATGCTTATCTCTCTTCAATCCTCAGGAGGATGTTTGAAGATTAATTAGTTATTGTTTGTACAGACTTTGGATCGTGTAGGGAATTACATACATCTTAAGCCTGCTATCGCTATTTTCTTTCATCTTATATAATCTCATTCAATCATTAATATTATATGTTTGACCTTTGAAGAAGTGACCTTTGGAAATAACTAATGAGGACCAGGCAGAGTGACTGTGGATGTGCCACTGCTACTGTGCAGCTCAATTACCAGAAACTCCTTTTAGAAATCTCTGCTGGCAACTCCGACCCCTTCCCTGGCACTGGGAGGAGGCATTTTTTGTCACAGGGCATTATCTGTGTGAGGGCATAATGCTGTTCACTCCAGAGAGAATCCCTCTGGTAATTTTTTACAGTTATGTCTTTAAAGAGCAATCCAACATGACACAAATGTACTTGTCTCACACTTAAAGTACTTGCTGGAGTAGTATGAACTTGCCAGGATTCCTTGGCTTGCTTCATTATCAGCAGCCTTGTAATGAACAATGGCATATTTTAGAGTACTTCCTTGGACATTGACAGAACTGCAGGACAGGCTTCTCTTCTCTCTCTTAGACACATTTCGTTTGGGTTTGTGATGTTACATTTTGTCTTTCACAGGTACATGTCCTGGGAGTGGGTCTGGCTGTCCATGAGAAATTTGTACACCCAGAAATGCGCCCCCTGCATAAGAAGCTGATAGACCAGTTCCAGATGATGAGATCCAGCCTGTACCATGTAAGTTCACAGCCACTTCTCCCGTTTTACTTTATTCAGAGTTACAATTAGTTGCACTAAGGTTCTCAAAAGAACTGGGCTGATGCAGCGTTGATTGAACTTGCTGGACTGCCAAATTACCAAAAGAATTCTTGACTCCTGTGCAAGAAGGAAGTCCTAGTAAATATGTTAACTCAGCCTTTAAACAAGAATTGTTAATATTTGTATATGCTTTGTTGCATCACAGAGCAGTTGTAAAGCTTAATTTTCAGTTGCTGTCTCATATAGCAGAAAATTATGTAAAAGAGAGGAAGATTACCAGGAAGTGTTGGAGTAGAATGACATGAAGAAAACGTGCAGTTTTCCATGACTGACTTAGCTGAAGTCTGTTTGCTTTGCAGGAGTTGCCTGGTTTGGATAAGCTGAGCCCAGCCTGTTCTGGCTCCAGCACCCCCCGCAGCAACGTGCTGGTGTCCCATGGACCCATGAGCCCAGAGAGCATAAAGCTGGTGCATCGACACAGGTACCCCCTCCTTCTGCCCAGACAGGGAGGATCCCTGCGCGCTGGTGCCCCAGGAGTCGAGGATCTGAGGAGTGGTTGACAGCACTGCAGGAGGGGCAGGAGGAGTTTCGGCAGAAGTGCCTTTTGCCTTCGTGCAGTGCTAATTATTGAAGTTTGGGAATTGGAATAAAATAGTTGAGAAATCCAGTTTGCAGCAAATGCTGAACACCTCCAGGTGTTACTCCATCACTTCACGCACTGTAGGGGCAGAAACACACATCTGCCACTCAGTTCTCCAGACTCAATCTGACTGGAGGTTCCAATCCTGTTATGCCAAGAGCAAATAACTGGGTCCTTATCTACCATAAAAGGAAAATTTCATTGCTTGTTTCAAAACCCAACTCAGTATGTGCCCAGATTGAAGGATCAAAAATGTTCACATCATTGCTTTTTATAATTCTGATCAAATCAGAAGCCAAATACAAGGATGATCAGAACATAAAAAAACGACTCTGTGTGCCCATCTATAAAATCTGAGATAATGACTGAGGATAAAAATTGGGATTATCAGGACAAAACAGTGGTTTTTATATCCAGTCAAAATTGCTCGTTTGAAAATGCTAATTATTCTTCTGTGTTTATTTTTCTTGGTGGATCTCTGTAGTTTAGCTGGTTTTAAAGCCTGGCATTAAAAGCTGTGGAAACTCAGTCTTCAGTCCATGAATGGAGGATGGTGTTTCTGCTATTAAAACTGAGTAGTTTATACTACTTCTGTGGCTTGGCAGTTGACAGTTGGTGTCTGGGTGATAACATTTTTTCCCTCAAAATTCCTCCCTTTGTAAAGGCTTTTTTAGTTGTTAGGACATCCTATGGAGATTCTGTAGTGTACAAAATATGTTGTTTATTTCTGTATGTGAATCAGAGTGACAAAGTTAATTCCCTGAGTGAGATCAGGGTGCATCCTGCACACCAGCTGGGCTGTGTTAATTTACTGTCAGCTACAAAGTTGCCTTCAGCAGTAATGCTGAGGCCCAGCGGATGCAATAAGGAAAACTGTATTTTGACCTGTGTGTCTTGTGCTTGGCTTCCTTTGGACTGTTGTTTTTAAGCTGCTCCCACTCATTGTACTTCAGTGTCAAAAATGAGAGTGGTTTCAGCATGTTCTGTTTAAACAAATATGCTCCCAGGGTCATGATGTGATGTTAACCTGGCTTTGCATTCTGAAATTCAACATCCCACCTATTATTTTGTCTTACATGGAACCTTGCTGTCAGTTCTTTCGTATTTACTCACATTTACGGATTTGTTTATTGGGCCTGATTTTTCAAAAGTGTTTGACATCTAGAGGTGACCTAAAGCAGCAGGTAACTGTAGGTACTTTCTAGCTTGGAAAAAGTCAGGCTTCACAAATGAAAACACAGGTTCAAAATGTAATTATGCCCTTGCTCTGTCTCTGGTTTTTTTTTCCAGCCCACTGAACTTGCTTGGTTCAGTCCGACACTCCTCATCCTCTCTGTCATCCCACACCTCCAGTGAAACAGGAAACCTGGTTATCCTGACAGACAGCTCTGTGGGGGAGACTGCTGAGGATATGTACCACATGCAGGTACAGCTCCAGCACAGCCAGGAGCGGTGGTTGGGAGCAGCACGGAACGTGCTCCGGAGGGTTACACTTCGAGCAGTGCTTTAGCTGTGCACGTGCTTGCATCTGTCTGGTGATATTTTTCTCAACAGAATAGGTAGAATCTAACACTGGTCAAGAAAGATGACAGTAATTCACTAGGTTTGCTTTGGGAAGAGATCTGTGTTTGTACAGTGACTGTGATTCTGTGGTCCAGGATGACACCACTGCTTTCCAAAAGTGAGATTTTTGCCATGTGTTATTTACCTGCCCTGCTTAGCACGTGCTGTTAGTGCTGCTCTTGGTTTGGGGGGGTGAAACGAGGCCCACAGTCCTGAGAGCAGGTTACCAGTGGCCTGCACTGAAGCTGGGCAGAGGCTGCCCTGGCTGATCTGAGACAGGTAAATCCCCAAGGCACTGATCCGCTCGGTTCTCCCTCGGTGGTTTCTCTGCCTCCTGCAGCTTGTTTACCCTAAGCCCAGGTACCAAAGCTCAGCCACCAACATCTCTGTTTTATCCTCATCCCAGGCCAGCCCTTCCACCTCCAGCCTGAGCTCCACTCACTCGGCACCATCCCAGATGATTAACTCTGCCCCTTCCAGTGCTCGAGGTAAGCACGGACAGGCCTCAGGGAAGGGTCACCTGCAGGTGTTCCCCAGACCTGGCAGCCTTGTTGATTATTGGTGAAAGACCACCTATTAGTTTCTCTTATAGGAGATGTTTCTCTTCTGGAGATGTAAAAGCCTCTTTGATAATCATTTCTTTAGAAATGTTTTCATTCCCCAGAAATGGATTTAATAATTTTTTTCAGCAGTATTTGGAATGTCTCTCTAATAAATGCTGGTTTCAGGCAGTTGAATTTCATAATGATTTCCATTGTTCCGCCACAAAATTGTGGCAGGCAGTCTAGAGGAAAACAAGAATAGTCCTTGGTATAGTACTTAAAAGAAAGATCATGAAGACAAAGGCAAATAAATCATTTTACGTGTTCAGTGAAATTATGGCAAGAAAAAGGTCTTGAGGCAGTTTAGCAGACATGTATGTACACAAAAGTGTATGCACAGGATGAATGTTGAAAGATACGAATTTTAAGTACTGGAGATAAAGAAGGGCTTCCCTGCTGGGAAATTCTTGAAGAAAGGAAAAATGGAAAAGCAGACTCTGGGTTACTCATACTGCCTTTGTGTTACAGTAGCTGGTCTTGAAATTGCTAATCATTTTCTTCCCAAGCCTCAGAGCTGAAGCAAAACAACTCCATGTGATCTTCTGGCTTTTGTAACTTCTATTAAAGGTTTTGGTTTTTTCCCCTCTCATTTTGGATTCTCCATTGCAGGTTCTACACCTCTTTTCACAGGTGTCTGGAGAAGGTGTCCAGGATATAGCCAGAGATGGAGGCTGATATTTTAATCTTACCCTTTTTTCCATACAGGGGAACTCTGGTTTTTTGCTCAGTCTGACAGTAAAATTCTAACTGACTGGCTGTTGTTAGGACACAGAGGCAGCAAAGTGATTTAATTGAAGGATCAGATGGAGTAGGAAAGTGGGAAGTGAACATCTTCAAATAAAGGCAGGTAGCTGCACTAATTACCAAGGGCTGGAAGGAAAACAATGACAAATAGTAAAGTAACCAGGTGAAAGTGGTGTAAAGGAAAAGGAAGATGGAACTGAGGACAGGGCTATCATGCCAGGAAGATGTCCCTAAATGGATGTGCCTGAGTGAATGTTTGGAGGGATCTGAGGGGGTTTGGTGCTCATACTGGTTCACGCTGTTTTCCACTTTAGAAGTCCAGTGACAGGCTCCCAGTGACAGGCTGTGACAGTCTGTCTGAGTCTGATGACTGCACAGCATCACCAGCTTCCCTCTTTACGGTATTATTCACTGTTGCTTGGAAACGACAACATGAATGCTCCAAAGGGAATGAATGGGTTGCTGGGTGAGCCAACAGCACCTCCCAGGGATGGGACCCAGACTGACCACAAATGGGAAACAATAAAAGAAGGAATGAGTTTGAAAAATACTTATATAACTACGATACAGCATTTATTCTCTGCTGGTTTTGTTCATTTCTAAGCTATTTGAGCAGAGCATTCAGACATTACCCACTCATTATGGGATTTCACTTGTATTAAGGTCCCAGATGCTCTCTGTGTTTCCCAGTGTGCCAGTCACTGTTCTGGTTATTACAACACCACTGTTGGGAATGGAGCTGTTCTTAACGAGAAAAAGCCCTTACATTTAAATTCCACTGTGGTAACAGAGCTTTGTTCTTCTCCTTGGTGATTCTTCCTTTTGTTTTCTTTTTTAACTGGGTGAATTTGGTGCTTGTGAAAATGAGATTCTAGTGTCACTGGCTGGAGCAAGGTACTTCACAGACATTACATGTGCAGCTCTGCAATGCACTCTATCCTTTTTTTTTTTCCTTTTTTTTTTTGGTATTTATTTATATTCTTTTTAATTTAGCGCTGGTGAAAGGTGCTGGATTGACCGCACTGGAGGCTGAAGCCCTCTATTTACCCACAGAACAGATACAGCATGGGCGGCAGCCGTGCAAGTTCCCCCACGCTGCCCCCACCCATGTGCCTCATCTCTGTCCTGGAGGGACCACCTCTAGAGGTGAGAGGATAGTTCAGTCTCCATGACCCATCCAACCCTTGGCCTTTCTGCTGAGACTGCCAACAAAGCTACGATAGTCACAGTGCTGCAGCTGAACACGTGTCAGATGGGAAGTGTGCGAAGGCCAACAATTCATTCCGTACAGGCCACCTAAATTTATCAGCTTTGCATCTTTCTCACTTGTGGCTCTAACCTGAGTATGGCTAGGTAGGATTTCTAGGGTTTTACCTGATTTTTAAATGCTTCTGTCATTGATTCAGATGTTAATGTGGAGATGAAAAACCACTATCCCACTATGCAGGTACTTATACCATCCTCTCTGTTTAGCTGCATAGCCCTTCCCTGAGGAGATGGGTATCTTTATAATACAGAGTAGTTCCATTAGTGACCAAAGGAAGCCATGGCCATTTGTATTAAGAATCCAGCAGGAATTTAAATCATACTTTCAATTCTCCACTTCCAAAAAATGACCCTTTCTTTGATTTTAAAACAGCAAGACAGGCGATTATTTGGCTTGTCCAAAGAAAATAATAAAACTATTAATAAAAATCTTTTCAAAGGTAGTCATCGGGGAAGTAGACCAATGGCTTGATCATGTCACTGAACAGCAGATTAAGGCACCAGAATTTACACTAGTTACAATATACACAAATTACAGCAAAAGTCTTAAATAGAACTGAAATCAGAATACAGCAAGAATTTTCTAATTCTGTGCTAACAATAAAGACATTACCAGTTGCTCGTTTTTACAAATAGGTATCCTGCAGTTTTCACCTGGCTTGACCCTTGTGTAGCTTCTTCCCTATCAGGAAAGCACCACTGTTGTATGGAGGATCAATAAGAAGTTCAGTTTGGTTTGGCTTCATTTGAGGTGACTCATGAGGCACTGTTGTAACCTTACTGGAGTTAAAAGATTATACAAGACAGTTCGTTAAGCAGAAAATGAAATGCAAAAAGGCCTGGAAAGGGCTAGGAGTGAATTAGGGGGTTTTTTTTCAGTAATTAAATGTGGTTGGGACTCCTCTGATGCACTCGAAAAGCAACTCCCACTTGGACACGATGCCTCTTAAGGCATCCCTACTGCTTCTTCAGCATAGCCCTTTGTTAAAGTGTAGAAAATTAGTCCTGGTGTCTTATTCAGCACTGTGCAAGAATCCTTATGTTAAAACTGCCTTCTTAAAGCAAAAACCTTATGATTTGGCTCGGGAGCAAGCTGTTTTCATAACAGTAATGGAAGTGAGGAATCGAGAGAAAACATTGAATGAGTTTGGAGTTTAACTACACTGATGTTCAGTTTCATTCCTTAAAACTAATACTTGTCACAAGTGGATTAACATATTTATAATTAAAAAAGAAAAACTACCTCTTGCTTCAGCACAGGTTTTCCTTTCTCATTAGTAAGTGCCTGCAGTGCTGCACACACCGAGTGCACTACATGCTAAAAGGAGTGGGCCCTGCCACGTGCTGCAGTATTTTATATATCCACTGGCTGCTCTGGAAGCTTCTAAGAGCCTTTTTTTGGCTTTGCTTTTTAAGTTTTGCCAGTCACTGAAAAGAGCTGTGATGACTGTGCTCTCTACCTGTCCAAAGCAGCACTACTTAATTTGGTTTGCAGACTGGACACTTGACATAGTCCGTTACAAATTTAGAGTAGCAAACAGCAGAGTTTTTTAAACTAGACTCTGCCAGCACATGTGGGATTTTTCAGGTTATGAAATGAAGGTCTGTGGAAACTGTAATCCCTTATAAATTGACAGCACAGAGGTGGTTTGCAACTCTGATATAAAAGAGCAGGGATGACAGGACAAATAAAAAGGGTTAAGTGTAGATTGTGCTGTGCTGTAGTTCTGGGCACACCTGAAAGTTCAGCATCTTCACATTTGTCCTGCAGAACAGGACTATCTGTGACCTGTGAGTAAAAGACTCAGCACAAAGTGTTAACACTGTCTTCTCCAAGCTGATGTTGTTCATAAGAGCAAAGAATGTTGTCTAATTATGTTTCTGTTCTACGTCTGGGGACAAAATGAGTTCGGGACTAGAATGCAGTTACTCTATGGCTGTTCATGTTGGAGTGGGGGCGTAGATTAATCTGGCATCTGCCCCCCCATTGGAATTGTTGCAATTGTAGGGCCTTATCCTGCATTCTGCTGGACACATTGTTCCTTCCACTGTGTGCTGAATATCAGTCCCAAAAGCTGCATGTTTGCTTTTGCTGGGGTAAAAGCTGCTTCAACCAGCACCAATGCCTTTGCTCATATGTGGGAGTGCTGTCCAGGTAATGTGTGTGGTTGTGGAAGTTTGCCAGAGGGGGCATGTATTCCCCACAAGCCAGCATGGCTCTGTAATGCGCTGTGTGCTGCCATCTGTTCAGTGCGTGTCTGTGACGCAATCAAACAATCAGTGCAAATTAAAGCTCACTTCAGCAGCTTCAGAACATCAATTCCTGCCTAATACTGTGCATCCCAAGGGATGTGTGTATCAGTAGTGTCAGATTTCAGGAAGGTCCTAATGAGAATGATTCTTCTGGCAAACCCATTGTCAGCTGTTGCACATCAGAAGGCATATTGTCGCGTGGCACTCATCTTGAAGGACATGAGTCCCAAGTAATTCCACCTGCCAGGAAGCTCTTTACATGAAGTACCCCAGTGTCTTAAACGACAAGTACACAGATAGATGAGTCAGGCCTAGTCCTACTATTATAACTCTAAGCTTTGGTAAATGTCCTGGTGTCATAAAAGGGCTCAGTATAGCAACACGCTCAGTAATCATCATTACAGCAGCATTGTAAGCAAAGTGCCACTCACACTAACAGAACATTCTGTTTATTACCGGGCTTTGTTTTGCTCTAACAAGAGGAAGCTGGCCAAGGTATCACCAGCTAAATAGTAACACTTATCTCTACCAGAACTGAGGAGTGAAGTACCTTCCCACAGCTTCCTGCTTTAACTGAATGGTGTATCTCAAGCTTTTATCCCTTTCTTCCACATTCAGCCCTAAAATGCACAATTTTAAGGCATTTCTGTTACTCTGCAATACTTTATGAGGGCAGGGGAGCATTAGGCACAGCCACAGCCCATTCCACACAGATGCCTACTCTTTCCTTTGTTTAAGAGGAAGCACTTTGCAACATACAAATAGGGACACATACACCTTACACACCTTTCGTGCTACGTCCTTAATTGTACATAACAAGCCAGTTCTTACTCCATCCTCGTGCTGTGCACCCACCAACAGTCAGCTGCTTAGTGGGCTCGGCACCATGTTCCTTTGAGTCCTGTGAGATCATCCGTCTGAACCAATTGCACAGGAGGCCAAAATCCCTGGGCATGCGGAGACCTGGCTGTTGTTTGTCCCGTGTACGTGATTATTCTCACTTGTTTACAGGCTCTCCCTCTCTACCAGATAAGTACCGGCACTCTCGGGAGATGATGATGTTGCTGCCAGCCCACCGGGACCGACCCAGCAGCGCCATGTATCCCGCAGCTATCATGGAAAACGGACAGGTAGCAGCTCCAATTTTTTCTATGTCAGTTCAACCACCCCAAACTGTGACTTTAGTTTTACTGGTTTTGACCACCTTAAAGTGCTTTCCTTTTTTTTTTTTTTTTGAAAGCCCGGCAACTTACTTGGGATCATTTTCGGAGGTGACTCAGAACTTTTCATATTAATCCCCCCCCTGAAGTCACCCACTGTGGCAGTCAAGGGATACAAATTGTAATGACTGTTAAAACTGCAGATACACCCTGTAAAAATTAACTCTCCTTATTTCCCAACTTTATCCTGTAAGCCCTGGTCCAACTGCAAGTCATACTATTTTATTTATTCATTCTTTTAGAACCACAGCCATCTCACAGTCTGGCCTCAAAGTTGATTCTAAATAGCTTTATGGTGATTTCCAGAGGTGTCAAAAAACCATGAGGGGATGAAATAATATATTAATACAAACAGTCTCCAAACAGTCTATGCCCACTTCTCCATCTGTCTCTGGACAAATTGAAAAATTTAGAGTGTGCATTTAAATCTGGCCTTGGCCTGCACTTCTGAAGGGAATCTCCTGATGGTGCCCACGTCAGCTCACCTCAGAGAACTGTCTCAGAGCATGAGAGCAAAATCAAACAGAACCAGAGCCAAAGGTAAGCTCCAAAAGGGCCCGTGGTGCATTGCAGGTGATAAAGGGCACAAGGCAGGCTAGAGCTACTCTGAAATAACTCCTCCAGAGAACACAAGCTGCAGGGACTGGGGCCCTCAGCACTGTTACACCCCAGAGACTGCCATTGCTCTGCAGGATTGCCAGTGTAGGCACAGCCTAAGGTTCCCATTCAACCTTTAGATGAACTTTCTTTGCTTAGGAAAAGGGAACAGAAAGCCCCCATGTTGCCCCAGTTGGTCTGTAACTTCTTTTAACTCTGCTGACTTTTCCTCCTTTAGCCTCCAAATTTCCAGCGCGCCTTGATCCAGCAAATGATTGGACCGTGCAAACCTTGCAGTGATCCCAACCTGTCCGTGGCTGAGAAAGGTACTCCTTTTCCAGTTAGCTGCTTGCTAAAATACTGTTCTTCTGGTCATGCTACAGCAAGTAACAAATGGGCTTCTACATTTCCTGGCAGAGTGCATTCTCTCACGCTTTTCTAATTAACAGTTTAATTAACTGGGCCTTCTGCCAACCTACAGTCATTTCAGAAGGGTGGGGTTGCACAAACCTCTCTATTTCAGGAAGTTTTCTGAGTTTAGCACTTTGTTATTGAAACAAATCCTGTGCCTTTTATCAAACAAGACTTCCAAAGCAGCAAATGAGAAGATATGTAAGAAGAGTAACATTTGAACCATATTTTTTAATAATGAGATATGAGGTTTTTAGGATGTATTTATTGCTCTAAATACGAACTTTCTTTATAATTGCTCTCTGAGGTAGTTTTATATTTATTTAGCATTAGGAATATATGCATTTTTAATTGCTTGCTCTGAAAACAGGCAAAGGCCCTGCAGGGGACAAAAAATAACAAAAAAAGAAAGAAAGAGGAGAATGACCTTGTTTGATGTAACAGAAAAGGAGGAGCTTGTGAAAGGGGTGCCATGGACAAAGCGATGGGCTCAAAAATTACCTGAAAGGCAGCATTCTGAAAAAGCAGAAGAGGGCAAAATTCCTGAGTCTAAATCTGAGACAAGGATGCTGCCTAAGCAAGTAACAGTCATGTGTATGGCTGGGAAAAAGGATATCTTTAAAGATTTTTAAGGCCAGGAAAGACCATTGCACCTTTCTAGTCTGACCTATAATACACTCAGATTTTTACCAGTCTTTTTGTTTCAGTAACTGTGCCAGAAGTAAACTGTACCTTCTTGAAAAAAAATCCAAATTTCATCTTAGAATTTCCAATGAATCAGAATCCCCTACTTCAACACTGTGACAGCCTCACAGAGCAGTCCAGATCAAAACCAAAAGCCAACATCCAGTTCTGATTAAATGCAGAATGATGACTTGATGACAGTAATGAGTGGTGACAACAGAGAGTTAAGACTGGGGGGTGAGGGATTAAGAGCTCCATCTTAGTTTGAAGAAACAGGCACCAGAGATGGTGAGATCTTTATACTGGAGAGGAGAAAGATCTGGAAAAGAAAGGTAAATAAATATTTATTGCCTGTCTAGGAAAAAATACTTGGATTTGTATTTGTGGGAAATATTATACAAGAGTGTGATACTCAGTGCAAAGAGATCAAAGACAGAATCCCCTTCAGGAGCCCAGAGAAGCCACAGATGTTGTTCCCTAGTTGTTTGTAGGGGCTGGTGGGACAGGACTCCCACCTCTTGTGCCAGGCTGGTGGTAAAAATGCAGTGACAGTCACTTTGGCAGGCCTTGAACCCCCATCATCCTTTGAAGTCAGGGTGCCATCTGCCTTGGATTTTGTCAACAGGCAGGGCCTGTGGATTCCCCACCCCCTCCTTGCCCTGTGGGAAGCTCCTCTCGGTAATTCTCACTGACAGGGGTGACATCAGTCACCCCGAGCAGAATGGTTCAAATGCAGCTTCCCTGCTAATTAAACTTGGCCACTGGGCCACTGAACACTGTCATGGAGAGACACGGGCTGGGACAGAGCACTAGGAGCTCCCTGCTTAGGTTCTTCCCTGAAGCATTTTGGAGAAGAGGATGGTTTTAACAGGCAGCAACAACTCTCTAAAATCATCTGACCTTCAGATGATTTCCAGCACTTCTAAATACTTATAAGGCTGTGAATGAGGGAACAATAAGAAAATATAAATGGATTGTGCACTGGGATACCATTGTGCTCTTCTTCACATTCTTATTCTGCATCTCAGTGTTCAAACAAACAAACAAAACTAAGCACAAGAGTTTTACATCCAAGCAAATCAGGTTTTCTCTCCTTTTCATTTGAGGCTGGGGTTTGCAGGCAAGATGAGTGGCTGGCACTGCATGCATCCTGTGCCTCCATTTTAGCCCTCTGACACCAACTGCAGTAGTGCAAACTAGAGCACTCTGCCATATGGAAAGGGAAAATCCATTTGCAGCCCCTGGTCTGAACCTGTTCTCTGTCAATATTCTTAGTGTCTTCTTCATATTCCTTTCTCAGGTTGACAGTCTCTCTTTAAAAATAACATTTACTTTTATATTTTTATGGGGTTTGTTCTGCCTTATGAAGATGTCACTTTGTGATCTTTTTTACTTTAGGGAATTTTAGGCCTTTGGGAGCCTGTGCTTGTGCTAAATCATGAACCAGGGAGGGAAAAAAACCCAGAGAAACCTTTCAAAATCATTTTAGAAAAGAAATGCACCGAAAATGGCTGCAGGCATTTTAATTACAGAGAAATCCTCTTCAGATGTCCAAACTCCATGTTTATTTCTCCAGGCTTCCATTTTCCAAACTAAGATGGAAAAAGCTATTTTTATCCCAGTTTTCTTTGACAGGCTCAGTGAATTACTTTATTTTTTTCTTTTCTTTGCTAATCTGAAGAAACTGCTTATTTGTTTTTAAACAAACATACAGTTATTGCACACCTCTTCTCAGAATAAGTCTTATTTGGAAGAAAGGAAGGTGCATTTTAATAATGTTTAAGGTTGATGGAATTCTCAAGATCTTGAAATAGGTTCATATTAGAAAGAAGCAGCTTCTATTTCTATGAAAAAACAAGTTCATGAAGATCATACCCCCTGTCTGTTTATGAAGCAAATGTTCTCTCTACTTCCTGATTCACAAAGACTTAGGAGTTTTACAAGATCTGTTCAGGTGACTTTGTGATATGAGGCCAAAATGCTGTCCTTAAATATTTTGTGATCTAAATTGTTGATCAGCTCTATAGCTTAGTACATCAGAGCTTTGAAGTCATGATTTCTTTTGCAACGGATTAAGGTGTAATTGCCTTCATGTCCCTTATTCAGTCCTCACTTACCCTGTAGTGCAGACACAGCCTGGTCTGTGTTTCCAGAGGGTTCTGCCACATGTTCCCTTCTGCTCTGTCACCACTCACCAGGGGAACTCAAGCTCAGCTCCCACCTGAGATACAGCTGCCCTTCCATCAGTGGGATTTCATTTTTACCTACTCACTGGCTTGCAAAAAAACCCTCCCAGAGTTCTACTGCTCTTCAGACTTGCTAGAAATGAGCCAAGGGGTGCTGGAGGGGAGCTGGGCACACTAACCCTGCGATCACCTAACTCTTGCTTCCTTAACAAAGCCTCTGTAAACTTAACTCACTGCAGACTAGCCGGTGCCTTTCTGTGCTTTCAATCCTGCCACTCACCAATCCCTGGAATCTGCCTCTCTGCTGCTGAAGAGCACACCGAAAAGCCTGGCCCTACAACCCCCTGTAATGTTACCCCAGTTCCATCTGTTTCAATCCTTCAGCTGTGCCAGCAGCACCCAGTAGCTGGAGCCTGGACAGTGGAACCCGAGAGGCCCTGCCATTCCTGTCTGCCCACGTTGGGAGCATCCTGGCCCCACCAGTGCCTCCCCGAAGCCTGCCCCATGGTAAGGACGTGCCCAGCAGGCCTGCAGTCTTGCACACAGAAACCCAGACCACCTAAAAGCTACCCTTAGCCTTCCCCCCCCCCCCAAAACAATCAGAACAAAAACTCACAGTCTTTCCTGGTCTGCTAGGTTTCCAATTTTTTTTTCAAAATCTTCTGCACTCCTTACAGCAATGTGGACTTGTGCATATTTGGGAATTAGAATTAGGTGTGAGAGTGTCCTGAAGCTTGGCTTGGCTTCTTACCCATGACCAACTTCAGCAGTAATGTAAGGTTAAAAAGCTGTTAAAAGAAACTTCAGTATTCATCATTTATGAGCCTGTTGCCTTGCCATGAGATCCCTGATAAGAGGGGTGGGTGGAGGTTTATCACTGCACTGAAGTTCTCCTTAGCTCTCTGTGTGTGTGACAGATGCACTCGGCAGTGCCCATCGGACAAGCAGCCCTAGGTTGACGTTACCAGCATTTGGAGCTGTTAACCTGGCATTACAAATCTGAACCCAGCTCTGTGGCTGCAGCACAAGTCTGCATTTCTGATCCTTGTCTCATTGCAGGACACTACTCACTGCACTTTGATGCCTTCCACCACCAGCTCAGTGATGCTCCTCCTGCACTGCCTGCACGAACACTGCGCAAGGTAATGGCAGGAGAGCAGGGAGGGATGTAGGACAATAACAGACTCCTGGAGGAATCCCTCTCCTCTGCTCCCACCAAGCAGCTTCTGAATACAGAAACACTATTTTTAACATGGTAATAACTTGCACATGAGAAAATCCACTAAAAGCTCATAACCTGTTCCAGAGTTGAATTCTGTAGAAAAAACTTGTGTCATAGGCCCTTCCCTTTTCCTCCTTTGCACCATCTGCTGTGATTTCAGCACCCTGATCATCACCTCAGCTACTGTTTCTCTAACAGCTCTGTTGGTGAGTGCACTTGTCTGCCCACAAGTGGTACTTGCATACCTGTAAACCAATAATCATTGACATTTTGAACACAAATGGAACTGCTCTGTTGTTCACAACACTGTGAAAAGCTGAAATGGGGAACACCACACAAGGTGCAGCATTGCCTCCTTTTGTCACTTTTAACCCGGTTTTGTTTTTCTCCAAACAGTCCCCTCTTCACCCTATCCCTGCATCGCCCACCAGTCCGCAGTCTGGTCTAGACGGGAGTAACTCCACTTTGTCCGGCAGTGCCAGCAGTGGTGTCTCTTCCTTGAGCGAGAGCAATTTTGGACATTCTTCTGAACCGCCTCCTCGCACAGACACCATGGATTCTGTCCCCAGCCAGACCTGGAACACTGATGAAGATCTAGAGACACCCTACCTCCCTGTCAGGTACAGTCTCTCTGAGCCTGATGTCCTGGAGTCGCTCAAGTCCCAGCCATGCCGAAGCCACTCTGCTCCATCTGGAGTCATTCCTCAGGACACCATGGACCCTCCTGCTCTGCCCCCCAAACCTTACCACTCCCGGCTGCCAAACATGGAGAACGAGGAGGGGATGATCATTGAAGATGATGACAAGCACCGCCCGTTGCACCGTAAAGTGTCCCAGCCAGTGAGTGGTGGAAAGGAAGAGCAGGCCAGGGTGGCATGGGAGCACGGCATCACTGAGCAGTAGGGACAGCTCGTGGAACACAGCTGGCATCGGCATTCCAGGTCTGGATACAACCGAGAGAGAGAGCAGGACTCGGAGAACAGCAAACCGATTTTCTACTGCCGCGAGTTTATGTCTGAGGCCCACACGAGCAACTGGGCCAGCATGGGAGGTTGCTGCTTTCCTTTTTAAGTTCTTTTTACACCTTTCCGTTTTGTTTTTTAACTTTCTGTGCAGTGGACAGTTTATTCCTTCTGCAGTTTCTTAACCACATCACATGGCACACGAGCCATAGAGACTTGCAGAAGCTGAGAAATATGATTTTAAGCGGAGGGGGAAAAAGGGGGGAATGTGGCAAGTTTTGAACCTGCTTTCCTCCCAGTTCTGAGACGCACATGAGTAGAAGCAGTTGCACTAGGGACATATCTCTTTGCTGTACAGAATTGAAAGCTCATTGCTGAAATCAGGGATTCTATGAACTGTCAGGCTGGAAGGTGCATGAGCTGCAGGCAGTGGAAAGATGGCAATTCTAAGAAGAAATTGGCTCTTTTGAGAGCAGGATTGTACATATCTGTGCAGTGATCTCCCTGCATTGGTTCATAGGTGCTGAGGCAATCTAACCAGTGCTGATGCACTGATCTCCAAGATATCATTTCCAACAAACTCTGCCTCCTTTGTTTTTTATGTACTGTTTGATTTCTTAAATTTTGCTTTCACTGGCTAAGCCAACCTGCTTTCTCATGGGAATCATGTGTTATTCATCTGTGCTACAGGATGAGAGGAGGTTGGTAGCTACTGGAGCTACAGCCTCATTGTAGGCCTTTCCCATGCCCAGCTTTGGGCAGGCTGTTGACACCAGCATTTCTATTCCAGTTTAAAACAAAACCAACCAAATTGAATTTCTCATGCCACAAGCTGGTTGATGACCCAGCCAGTAAAGAAAGGGTGGCTTAAATGCATCATATCCAACAATCGTTGCCTCAGGGCTGACCATCACAATTCTCACCAACTTCCATCACCCAGGAGCTGAGATTCATCCCATGTTAACTCAATATCCTCAGTCCCTCCCCAAAACTCACTGCAGTGAGAAGGAATCTCCTATCTCAGAGTAGACAGAAAACACCAAGACTCAAGCAGTGCCCGGTATCCAGTGTACACCCCAGAGTCAGGGACCTTAAAGGCAACCTGTAAAGAACAAGTGTTTGTTTCCTCTTTTGCTTCTTTAGAATGTGCAGTAAGAGCTGCTGCTTCTCTCTTCTGGAAGGTTGATTTGTTTTTTCTTTTCTCCTCAGGCAGCAATGCAGCCTTTCCCCATCCCATTTTTTTTTTATGGGTAGGCCCCAGACGGGGCTGAAGAACACTGAGGGGTTGGGGAACAAACTACACCACACAAACCAGAACTGTGCAGAGGTGAAGACAGTATGAGTCTATGACCACAAAACAAGCCTTTTAATCAGTATTTGCATAGTTCAGGGAAAAAAAAATCTGTGGGTAATAGTGTTCTTTACAAAGAACAGATCTTGGTTTTAAGAAACCTTTTATTCCTGTTTTCATATTTTTCAAGAAACTTTCAATCAAGACAGTATAAAATATTTAATGTTTTTAGATAAACAAGCCATATTCCTTCCCCTTGCCATGTCCACACACATTTTAAGCCTTCTTTATAACCCTTTCACCTGCAGACTGCAAAGCACACTCCGTAGGATGGAAACACACCTCCCTCTTTCCTACCACTGAAAAACCTGAAGCACATTGAAATAAGACACTTACCTCCATATAAATTAGTGCCAGAAACAGGAACAGCACTTACCTTTCATCTTGAATTCTTGTCCTAACTGCTCAGTTTCTCCTGCTAAAAACAGCATAAAGAAGCAAAAAAGGATATTATAAATCTTTTACAGGTCACCTTTAGCACTACCTCTAAATACAGTGACTGGGCAGAGTACATGGCTTCTGAACTGGCTCAAGATGGTCTGGTTGTGTAAAGTCTGGACTCAGCAGTTGTGTGAAGGGGATTTTAAGAGGATTTGTTTCTTTTCTTTCTCCAGCTCTAGCCCATGCAAAACTAAGTTAAAGATTTGTTTCTTAAATGGCCTATTTGGCTGGAACAAAGTCTCTCTTGCTTCCTCTATTTTGTTACTAACGCAGGCTGCTTGTAATCATTATATCCTTCACAATTAAGACAGTGGTAATAAAATCTGGCCCATAGTGAATGCTTCATCTCTAGCAGGAAGGAGAGTTTTCCAATGTGAGGACAGTCCTAAATGTTAAGAAACTGAGCTGGATCTCTGGTATAGAACACATAAATGAAAACAGTTCAAAATTATGGTAAAGGTAAGTCAAGGTAATTCCTTAGAAACGGGTGATATGTTTTCACATATGCTGTTCTCCAGTCCCACTGAGACTCTTCCAGTGACATTTTTAAAAGAACTTACTATTTAGTTCCAATTCCCTTGCCCCTGGTTTTGTTTTTCTTTTTGGCAGCAAGACTAAAAGTAGTAAATGTAGCGACTTACCGAGCTTCCTTAACATGGAAAAACCAGCAGGTCTTGCAATTAAAACTTTGCAGAACCAAGAATGCAACTAAAGTGGGACTGAGTCCCAGGCAGCTGGAAAAGCTGCTCACTAGAGCTCTAATCAGTCTCTCAAAACACATCATCCTGCTCTGATTAGAGGCACGGTACAACAGCAGTGAGTCCATGGGGAGTCTGACATTCCCATGTATTTGTGAGGGTTCGAAGGTCAAGCAGGTGATGTATACAAATACCTAATTTATGGCAGGTCCACACAAAGAAGGATGGAATAAATTGCTGAATTTACCAAATTTAAGCCTCTCTGGAGTTAAATTTCTGTTATGGTTCTGATATTTACCAAGTATTCTGCTTCCCTTTTCAGTGTTTGCCTTAAAGGGGACAGAAGATAGAAAGACTATTATTAAAATATTGTGAATCTTGGAACTAATATTGCTTGGAACTACTTCTCTGTATGGTGAGGTGTCTTTTAGCATAGTACAACTCCAACATCAAGCTCAGTCCTGGAGTAGAGGGAAGCAACAGCAGTTGTTGCACTTGCCCAACAGGATTTGAAGATTCCTTGTATAAACCACAGCAACAGGATGTTTTGAACAGGACCTTGACATTCTATACCTAACTCTAATTCAAACTTCAGTGTACTTGCCTTCATTGGGTTTTCTTTGCATAACAAAATAGCATGTGCATTCCTGAGAAAATTGGTGGAATTCTGCTATAAATCTCTCCATCATCCGTGTACCTGCTGGCCCCATCTGAAACAAAATTGAGAAGGAACTACAGTGATACAAGAAAAGCACTTAATTTCTCTGAATCTCTTTTTTTTTTCCAGTGGTTGGGTTGGTTTTATTACTGTGTACAAGACTCAGATTCTTTTTTGACTTTTCCTCTTTGGTTTTTAGCTTAGTTACCCTTTTTTAGGTAAGGGATATTGCATATCCCTTCTGTGGGAGTATCAGCCAAAACTGGGGAGGCTGGAGAGAGCAAGAGCCTTTGGGAAACAAATTATGTGATATTTAAAATTTCCTCTGATCATGCTTCTTTGTAAATACCCCCATTTGAATGCTGTGTATTTGTACAGGAAATGGAGCAAAAAATGTATAGATTGTGATGTCTGACTGGTATTCTGCCCTGTAAATGTGTTTTTAACCTCTGGCATTCTGTGCTTATTTAAAAAAAAAAAAAAAAAAAAAAAAGCAAAAACCTCTAACCACTTCTCTTTTGTGTATTCATGTTTAAAATAAAATGAAAACAGCTATCTTATCTATAATGGAAATCAAATTCAAAAGGAAAAATTAATTTGTACAAGTGTCCTAAAGGTACTTCATTGTATATATTGTGATAGCATGTTTCCAGAACCAACAAATAAGTGGTGTGAATTTTAGATGTAAATATCTGCCGTTTGTTTTGGGTTCCTTTCCCTTACCCATTCACTCGACTGCTGTGATGTGGAATTAAAGATTAATACCTGATATTAAAACAGTGCAGCTGTATGTTCATTGCTGTCCTCCAGGCAGGGATATCCAGGGGCTGCTCCAGACATCACAAGGGACAGGGGAGCAGCCATCGCTTCCCACCTTGGGGTGCATGAGGAAAATGGGGAGCAACCATAAGGACCTTGTGGCTCTTGAGTGTGGTGAGGGAACAGCTTCCACGTTATTCTTTTAGCTGACAGTATGTTATTTTATTTAATATTAATTTCCTGAAACAAGCACCAGGCATATCCACCACCTGCTCTAGTCAGGTGGATGTACATGGCACATGCAGCAGCCCCAGACAAAGTTTTGGGATAATTGTTTTCAGACACAAAGGCAATGGGATTAGCTCTCCAGCAGGTATCCGTGGAGTGGCTGTGTGCCACTCCAGCTGGGGTTAAACCACCACTGTCTCACTGCCTAGATTGTTGGGTTTTTATTGCAATAGTACTTAAAAACTAATAATTTTAACAGCATAGATGTGAAAAAATAGTAGTTAAGACATGTAGGATCACAAGATTTGGGAATACAAAGCTACAGTGCATTTTCTTCATTACCACTAATACACCGTGTCAAAGCACAGGAAATAAAAAATAACTTATGTCTTGACAAACCAAAAAAAAACCCTTATGAAACTTGTCTCAAGAGATACTTAGCAGTAAAATATAAAGAAATCTGACTCTTCAGCTGGTCATAGGGTGTAAATGGTCTGCCAAGCATTCAGTACACACCACTGTGAAGAGAGAAGCTGTAAGAAGGTACTTCAGAAGTGCATCTGAGATGCCAAAGTGTGGCTCAGCTAAAGGGTTCACCTGGTGCCTGAAGAAGCCTCTATCAGTTATGGAATTGAATCATAGAATCAGCCATGTTGGAAAAGACCTCCAAGAGAAGTCCAACCTTCAGCCAAATACCACCATGTCCACTGAGCCATAGGGTGAAGTGTCACATCCACTCATTTTTTTGAACACTTCCAGGGATGTGAGTCCACCACCTCCCTGGGCAGCCCATTCCAATACTTACCCATGCTTTCAGTGAAGAAATCTTTTCCTGATATCCAACCTGACCCTCCCCTCGCACAGCCTGAGGCCATTTCTCATTCTCCTATTGATAGTTACATGGAAGAGTCGTCAGCCCCCCACCTGGCTACAACCTCCTTCCAGGTAGTTCAGAGAGCAGTAACTGAGCCTCCTTTTCTCAAGGCTAAACACCCCCAGTACCCTCAGATGCTCCTTGTAGGACTTACTCTCCAGACCCTTCACACTGTCTTCAATCAGACCCTTTGAGACTGTTCCCAACCAGACTTACAAAATATTGAATATTTTTTTTATTCAGCTAAAAAATATTTATTAACCAAGCACAGGAAATAAAACCTGCATTTGGCACAACAAAAGATGTGTGAAGCCCTTAGCTTTAAACAAGAGTTAAAAAAAAATTCTAGTTTCTGTTAAAACCAACAGAACAATTTTTTTTCAAATACTTTATTTAAGCCAAGGCGACACCAGTCAGATTGAAATATAAATCCCATGTCCAAACACCTCTCCTTATCTAAATAAGAAAAATTCAGCACAGTTTCAATATACGACTTGCGCGACTCACTCTGTATGAGTTTCGTTACAAAGCTGATAAGAGGAGACACCAAACCTCTAGAAACGCCTCTAATCTGGCTGATAAAATTCAGCCCTTTACATGCTCTGCATAAACGGGCATATGTGTAGATGCCTCCTAACAAACCATGGGTACAGAGACACAGCATTTAGGAGGAAGAGGTCTGAGCTGCAGGTCTCTTGACTGTTAGGAGAAGGTTCACATACCACTGCTTCCTTTTCACGGGCTTTACTGGCAATCCTACATAAATTAAACTTTGATCAGTAGATCTATTGCACCTGAGCTTCTATTCTGCATTCACTCACGGCAGTACTGCATTCCCTTTTCCCAAACTAACCTGGTTTCCCCTGCACCCTGACAGGACCTACTTCTTTAACCCCGCAAGACCAACACCTGAGACTGCACCTTCATCCAACAGATTTATGTTCTTGGACTGCAGAGCCAGCACAGGTCCAGCCCACTCTGCACCCCCACCATGAACGCGCAGCTTCCTCCATTTACCAAACAAACCTCCCAACAACTCCGATCCCCACAGAGCCACCGAGCCCAGTCAACGTTCCTGCTCATGCCAAACATTCTTGCAAAACACTGGCCAGAAGTCAGTAGAGGTTTACCCCTCACTCACCCACAAGCTCCAGCTCTAAGTCTGGGATCATTCCCCGGCACAGTAACTCTCCTAATTCCCAGCACCTCAACTTTTCAGCGCTCTTTGCGTTTAGTTCGTGCTGTGACCGAACCCAGAGCCAGACACTTCACAAGCACAGGGAACAAACACAGCCACCTCTGTCCCTCCCAGTACCCTGCAGGTACAGCGATGTTAGGACACAGCACTGGGACCTCCCCGGGAGAGAGCTAACACTGTTTCATCACTAACTGCACAGTGTGGGACAGGAGTGGTGTGGTGGTTTTAATCTAGGCCTTCCTTGGTTACCAGTTTGTAACCAAGGAAGAGGCAGTGTTCCCAGTATTCCATACGATTTTTACGTAAATCGGGGTATAAATAAGAAGGGAAGAGAGGCCTTCACTGTTTGAAGATGTTTCATAACTGCACTACTTTGGTTGTTAAATTTCCTCCTTATTGTGAAGCTCCCAAATTCTCCTAATGCCAATTTAAGCCGTACTTCCAATTAATTAATAAGCGCTTCATCTCAGGGCTCTTTTGTCCACTATCCTGATAAGAAATAAAGGCATTTTAAGCACAGCTAAGCAATCAGCATAAGGTTTAAAAAAGCCAATAATCTTCCTAAAATGCACTGATACTGAGTAATTCTGGGAATCATTATGGACTGAATTAAAAATAAATAAATAGAACAAGTCAGTAACATTATTACTGATCTTAATAAACAAATTTGGAGAGATAACAATATCTAGAAAGGCACAAAACCAACTTTCTTGATAAACACCTGTGATGTATTCACTCTGGCAAGACACAGTGTCCTAATTACTCTCCTCCTCGTCTCACCTCATCAGGTTTATCATTTGCAGCTGATGACCTGCAAGAACATTCTGATCAGACACTGAAAAATTCCCCACAGCTCCCACCATGGCTTTGCTTGGGGCAGGCACAACCAGCCTGCCTCAGGAGCCTTTCTGTGCCAAGAGAGCCCAGCGAGCTCCGTGTGGGGTCCCTTGCTGTAGCACAGGGCTGTGTGACTTCACCTCTCCCTTCCTCCACTGGAATGCTATCCCAGACACACAGTTAAACACACAGCCCCCCGGAACTATTAACAGGTGTGTGCTCCCCCAGCTTCGGGGCGTTTCAGTTATGAGCTCACAGGGTCGGGGATTGTTCAAGGTAGTTCCCAGCACATCCTGTGAAGGCTTTGGGAACAGAATAAGAACCACAAAAGATTTTGAGTTGGAAGGGATACGTAAGGATCAACCAAGTCCAACTCCTCGTCCTACACAGGACAATCCCAAGAATCACACCACGTGCCTGAACAAAAGGTGATTGGCCCCGTGACTGGGCCATTAAGTTGGAATTTTTTAAAAAATAACAGTAATATTTTTTTACTTGACTCTGCAAAAGCGCTGACCCAAGAAGCCATACACAAGCTGCACGCTGGTTGTTATTTTAAACTCTCAGCTGTCCCACCTGAAAGCAGCCAGTCCTCGGACCTCACAGGGTGTGCCCAAAGCCACTGAGCCCTCCCTGCCCATCCCATCCCCTTACAAGACACAAAATCATAGAATCACAGAACATTAAGGGGCTAGAATGGACTTTAAAGACCACCTAATTACCTGCCACCCGCAGGGACACCTTCCACGAGACCAGGTTGCTCCAAACACCATCCAACCTGGCCTTACCACAGAGAACGGGCAGCTTGTGCCAGGGCCTCACCACTCCCCCAGGGAAGAATTTCTTCCTACTATCTCACCTAAATTTCCCCTCTTTCAATTTGCACCCATCACTCCTTGTCCTAACTACAATTCCCAACGAAGCGTCCCCAAAAGCTGCCGACCCGTGCAGCTCCTCTGCCCCGACAAACTCCCTCCCTCCGTCCTTAGAGAGACGCAAACACAGCCCCACTGACCGCGTGGTGCCTCGCACACCTCCTGTCCTCGCCGTGCCGCCCCGCCCGGAGCCGTGAGGCGGACCCAGAGGGCGGTGCCTCACACAGTCCCTGTCCTGGCCGTGCCGCCCCGCCCGGAGCCGTGAGGCGGACCCAGAGGGCGGTGCCTCACACAGTCCCTGTCCTGGCCGTGCCGCCCCGCCCGGAGCCGTGAGGCGGCCCCAGCGGGCGGTGCCTCACACAGTCCCTGTCCCGGCCGTGCCGCCCCGCCCGGAGCCGTGAGGCGGCCCCAGCGGGCGGTGCCTCAGCGCGGGCCGGCCCCGCCCTCCCGCAGGTGTGAGGACCTGCCCCATTCCAAGATGGCGCCCGCGGGCCGCCCTCAGGCAGCGCGTGCGGACGCGTTATCCCTTAACAAACATGGCGGCGAGGGGAGGCGGGTCCCGCTGCCCGCGCCCAACCAGCGGCCGCCAACTCTCCCGTGGAGGCGGCAGCGCGGCCAATGGGAGCTCGGAGCGTGGCGGCCGCGCGGGGAGCGGGCCAATGGGGCGGCGGCGGCTGGGGCGGGCGGCGCGCGGCGGCGGTGCCGGGGGTGGCGGGCGCTGCCGGGCGAGGCGGGATGCGGGCGGCCCACGGGCTCTGCGCGGCGCTGGCCCTGCTCCTGCTGCCGGCCGGCGGCCGGGCGCTGCGCGACGGGGACTGCGAGGGTGAGTGCGGACGGGCCCGGCCCGCGGGCACGGCGGGGGAGAGGCCGCTCCTCGCCGCCGCCTCCCGCTGCCCGGCCCGCCCGCCCGGCGCGAGAGGCCGGGACACGGAGCAGCCTCGGGGCTGTGGCAGCCCCGAGTGACAGCCCACCCGCTGGGGCCGGGCCGGGCCGGCGGAGCGGTGCC